TCACCGAGCTCCTCGACGCGTGCGTCGCGCTCGCGCACGTCGTCGCCCTCGCGGCCGCGCTCTACCTCGTCTTCCGGCGGAAGCTCTCCGGACCCGGGCTCGCCGTCGCGCTGACGATCGAGGTCGCGCCGTACGCCATCGTCGCCGTCACGCTCGTCACCGCCGCGCTCGGCGCGCCGCGCCTCGCGCTGCTGTCTCTCATCACGACGCTCGCGTTCGCGATCAACGCCGCGCGCGGGTCGTGCGACGCCGCGCTCGCGATCCTCGGCGACGCGCCGAGGTCCGCGTACGACGGCAAGGTTGTGTGGATCACCGGAGCGAGCCAAGGCTTGGGCGAGGAGCTCGCGCTGCACCTCGCGTCGCTCGGCGCGAAGCTCATCCTCTCCTCTAGACGCCTCGGCGCGCTGCAGGCGGTGTGCGACGCGTGCGTCGACGCCGGCGCGAAGGACGCGCGCGCGCTCGTCCTCGACGCGCGCGCGGATCCGAGCGAGCTGCGATCGCGCGCGGACAAGGCGCTGGCCATGTCGCACCTCGCCAAGCCGAGGGGCGGGATCGACTACGTGTTTCACGTCGCCGGCGGATCGCAGCACGCGGCGGCGGAGGACACCGACGCGGAGGTGGACAGGGACATGTTCGAGCTCAACGTGCTGAGCGCGATCGCGATCACGAAGGCGGCGCTGCCGTCGATGCTCGCGAGGAAGCGCGGGACGATCTGCGTCGTCGGGTCGATGGCGGCGAAGGCGCCCGCGCCCGGCCAGGCGACGTACGCGGCGACGAAAGCGGCGTGTGCGGCGTTTCATCACTCGCTGCGGGGCGAGGTCGCGGACCGAGGCGTGCGCGTGTGCGTCGCGCACCCCGGGCCGATCGCGACGGGGCTCGGCGGGCAGACGAGGGTCGTGTTCGGCGCGACGTTGGAGCGGAGCGTGGACACCGGCAGCGGCGGGAACTTGGCCGCGATGGGATCGATGGGATCGATGGGATCGGACGCCGCCGACGCGGAGGACGTCGTCCCGGTGTTTGACCCGGAGGCGGAGGCGCGGATGAAGAAGGAGAACGCGAAGCGTCTGGACGCGGGGTACGTCGCGAGGAAGATCGCCGCGGGCGCCGCGCTCGGCTTGGACGAGGTCGTGCTCGCGAGGCAGCCGATCATGTTGTTGCGAAACTTTCTGCAGTTTATCCCCACGGTGGCGCACCGGGTGTTGTGTAAAGTCGGCCCGAAGCGCGCGAGAGCGGCGCGCGAGGGCACGAGCATGTACGAGCTCAAGTGATGATACTTGAGTGCTCGAATGATAATATAATCAGATACTATCCACTATGAGAAGAAGGCATCCTCGTCATCCTCGTCATCCTCCCCCCGTCACCAACTCCCCCGCGGCGAAGTGCGTCCCTCCGTGGACGCTCATGCCTCCTCCGCCGCTGCTCTCGCGGCTCGGCGCTCGGGTGAACAGCGGCACGAACACCTCGCACGGCTGTCCCTCCTCGCCGTCGCCGTTGAGCGCCGACCACCGCCCGTCGCCCACGCGCGCGTCGTCGTCTAACCCGCCGTGAGACGTGTTGGCGAACCCAAACTTCTTCTTGATCTTGTTCCACAGCCCGCCGCCGCGGTGCCGTCCCTCGTCGCGTCGTCGCAAAAACTCGTTCCACGGGCCGTCGCAAAACGGCGCGAGCTTTCGAAGCGTGCGCATGTCCTCCGGCTTGGGGACGTCCATCGTGAGCCTCAGGTACGCGGCGGTGAGGAGCAGATGCGCGCGCCGCGCGTCTTCGTCCTCCGCGGTGGGCGGCGCGAACGCGGACGTCCTCCGTCGCTTGGACGTCGCGTCGAAGATCACCTCTCTCACGTGCGCACTGTGCACGCTGCCCTCGTCGCCGCCGTTGAGACCGCGAGCGACGCTCTGGAAAGATTTTCCGCACGCGCAGCGCGTCCCTTGGGTCTCGACCCACCGCGCCATGCAGCCTTGGTGGACGTGCGCCGTGAAATCGCCGCAGTCGCACGTCTCGCGCACGTCTCCGCGGTCCGTCGCGTCGACGTCGCCGCAGACGCGGCACTCCGCGATGTTCGCGGTGTCGAAGACGGATAGCTCATCGATCGGCCAGGAGACGGACGAATTTGCGCACTTGAACCCGAGGCCCGCCGCGGTCGCGCCGCTGCGGAGGGAGTCGCTTCCGCCGGAGGTGGACGCGCGCGCGCCGCGCGCATCGCGGGCGTCATTGCCGTCGTGATTCTCGTCCGCGTGGTCGACGTCGTCCTCGCGCGCGCGCGTCGCCATCGCGTCGCTCGCGCGTAGCGTAAGTGTCCGCATGCCACGCGAAGGGTCGCGTGACATAACAAAAGACCTCAAAAGGAAATCTTGAGATTCGACTGGGAAAAAAAAATCTCGGCGATTTTTCTCTGACTAAAAACGCATAGGGACACGCGATACGTAGGCGGGTTTTCCCGCGCAGACTCACAGCGTGGACTTTTCATCGGGAGAATGGATAAATTTACGGACGACGAGTACATCCGCGAATACGGACGTGCGAAAATGCTCATAGCCAAAAAATCGTACTCCTCAGATCGACGCGCCCCCGTGGACTTCTCACGATGACGAACGGTCCAACGAAGCGTCGTGGTTCGGGGTCGTGGTCGGCGCGAGCGCGCGTCGGCTTCTCGTCGTGATCTACTCCGATGTCGCTCGTGCCCACTTGGCACGTTCATCGTTCGCTCTCAGATCGACGACGCGCGGCGTCTTCGCCCGGGCCGCCGACCGCCGCGCGCGACGCGCGATGTCGCCTTCGAAAGAGCCGGACGGCCGCGAGGGGAAGTACTTCCCCGAGCCCGACGACGTCAAGGTCGGGAAGCCGACGGAGACGGAGGGGAAGTACAAGGACATCCCGAGCGTCCTCCCGCTCGCGCCCGGCGGCGTGTACGCGGTGAAGTGGGAGCAGCGCGAGAAGTGGTCGCAGCCGATCCAGACGCCGGAGGTGCCGTACGATCCCCCGCTCGGGCCTCCGAACCCGAGCAACCCGCGATGCTTCTTCGAGATCCGCGCGGGGGGGTACTACCTCGGCAGGGTCGTCCTCGAGCTCAAGGCGGACACGCATCCGGTGACGTCGGAGAACTTTCTCAAGCTGTGCGAGTACAAGTGCTACGCGGGCACGATGTTTAAGGTGTTCCCGGGGAACTGGATCCGAGGCGGCGACTTCACGGAGCTGGACGAGGTCGTGTACGACGCGCGCGACCCGGACTTCTTCGACTTCGCGACGCTCCTCCCGAACGCGGCGAAGGGCGGCCAGTCCATCTACGTCACCGAAGACGGCGGCCCTTACTTCGCCGACGAGTCCTTCGCGATCGCGCACGGCGGCGGGCCGGGCGTGCTCACCATGTACAACCCGGGCGCGCCCGACTGCAACGGAAGCCAGTTCATGATCACGTACCCGAATGTCAACCCGGCGGCGCTGGACGGGACGCACGTCGCGTTCGGGCAGGTGATCGAGGGGTGGAACGTGGTCGCGGCTTTGGAGCAGCTCGGGGACTCGAGGCAGGAGGGAGACACGTTTCAGAGGATCACGATCGAGCGGTGCGGCGTCGTGGCGGCGGCGGCGGCGGCGGGCGACGGCGCTTTTGCGGTGGGGAAGGGTGCTAGCGGTAGCAGCTCGGTGACGACTGCGGTGACCGCGGTGCGCGCGCGAGGGGGCGCGCGGGGGAGGGGGAGGGGGAGGGTCGGGTTCGGACGCGTCGGCGGGGGTGCCGGGGCGCAGCGCGTCGGCGTCGGCGCGCGCGCGGTCGGCGGGTCCCTCGCGTTCGCGCGCGCGTGAAGATGGAGACGTCTCAGGCATCGTTCGTTCGTTCGTTCGTATTTGTAACGCACGCTCGGAGGACGTTTCTCGCGTCGTCCGGTCTTTCCCCGTCGTCTTTCGTTCGTTCGTTCTCCGATCATTCGCGGAGGCCGCGTCCGCCGCGTGTCGTCACTCCAGGCGCGAGCCGCTTCTTCCGCTCGCGCGTCATCACTCCAGGCGCCGCGCGCACTTCGTCGCCGCCGCTGCCGCCGCGTTTCGGCCGCATCGCGTCGCGCTCACGCCGCGACGCCGCGCGCTCCCTGCGTCGAGTTCGAGACGCGGGAAGAAACGCGCTCAGAGTCAGTCTCGGACCGCTCGCGCGACCGCCGCCGCGGCGGCGGCGGCGGCGAGCGGTGACGCGCCCCGTCGGTCGTCACGAACGCGCGCGTCCGCCGCGGCGTCTCGTCGTGGATCGCGTCGCTCGGGATGTTCTCAAACGAGTGTCGTCGGCTGCGCGTGAGCGGAAACGCGCGATGGGTGGCGGTGATGCACCACGGCGGAACCTCGCACCTCTGATCGTTCGCGAGGAGCGTCGCGACGCGCTCGCGTTCCGCCTCTCGCGCGCGCCTCGTCTCCTCGAGCTCTCGCAGGTATCGATCCCGCGGCGACCCGGGCTCCGGGGTCTCGCGGCTCGCGAAGATGATCTCCTCGCTGCCTTGAAGCGAGGACGCGTACCGGTGGCCCGTCGGCGTCGGCGGCGGCGACGACGACGGCGGCGGCGGCGGCGGCGGCGGCGCCGCGGAAGTCTTATCCACGGAGAGGAGCGTCGCGAAGCGCTGGCGCTCTTCCTCGCGCGCGCGCCTCATCCTCTCGAGTTGCGACTCGGGCTCCGCGGCGTCCCGGCTCGGGAGCGGAGCGACATCGTCGATGGTTCGAAGCGAGGACTCGTTCCGGTAGCCCATCGGCGACGACGGCGGCGCCGGCGTCTCCTCGGCGTCGTCGTCGTAGTCGGCCTCGGCGTCGTCGTCGTAGTCGGCCTCGGCGTCGTCGTCGTAGTCGGCCTCGGCGTCCGACAGCGCGTCCTCTATCGCGAGCCGCAGATACTTACAGACGGCCCCGGGGACCTTCTCGTTCCAGGGGAGGATCACGCACGGCTCGCCGTCATGCTGAACGGTCTCGACCCATCCGAGCCTATCGCAGGCGTCTCTGCCCCCGGGGACGTCCCACACCCTCCTGTGGAAGCGGTCGTTCGAGAGCCGTATGTGTCGGTATCTCTCGTCGTCCGGGTGTTCGTACACGTTCACGCACATCGCGAGTAACGTCTGCAGCGACCGCACGGGGTCATCCGCGGTGTGCGCGATGATCCTGCAACATTCATGGAGATCGTTCATGAGGCCTTTCGTGTACTGCGACTTCATGGTCGCGCGCGGGGGAGTGCTGGTCGTGGTCGCGAGAGCTGAACTATCGAACCAACCCATAACCTGGCCTTTCTCGGATCCATCGATCCGTGGTTTTTGAAAAAAGAGCACGCGTCGTCGTCGTCGATCGCCGTCGCGCCGCGGAGGTCAGAGATCGCGACGCGCGCGTCCGCGCGCTCCCTCGTCGTCGACCGCGCCGCGATGAAGTGCAAGACGATCCAGGTGCTGTGGCACGGCAAGGACCCGGTCCTGAGCGTGGACTTCAACCCCGCGACCGGTCAGCTCGCGTCGTGCGGCACGGACAGAGAGATCAAACTCTGGCGCGTCGGCCGAGACGCGGAAGGGAACCCGGAGGTGACGCACGAGGACACGCTCACCGCGCACACGAAGACGGTGAACGTCGTGCGATTCTCCCCAGGCGGCGACGCGCTCGCGTCCGGGGGCGACACCGGCGAGGTGCTCCTCTGGCGCCCGGGCGTCGGCAGCACGAACCATCACGGCGACGCGACGTCGTGGCGACAGAGCGGCGTCCTCCGCGGGCACTCCGACGACGTCTTCGACCTCGCGTGGGCGCCGCTCGGCGTCGCGCTCGTGACGGGCAGCGTCGAGAACACGTGCATCGTGTGGGACGTCGCGAAGACGAAAGGGGTGTTCCGGTTGGAAGGGCACGCGCACTACGTTCAGGGCGTCGCGTGGGACCCGAGAGGCGAGTATCTCGTCAGCCAGAGCGGCGACCGCACCGTGCGACTGTTCGCGTCTCGCGGGGTTCCGCACCCGATCGCGTCGCCGCGCTGGTGCAAGAACGTGTCGTGCCAAGAGATCTTGTCGCGCGGGGAAGAGAACGCGGACCCGTCCGCGGCGCCCGGGACGGCGCGCTCGAAGCCCGGGAAGCAGGCGCTGTATCACGACGACACGATGCAATCGTTTTTCCGGCGGCCGGCGTGGAGCCCGTGCGGGTCGTTCCTCGCGACGCCGTCGGGGACGCACAAGGAGCACGCGGGCGCGAGAGAGCAGCACGTGACGTACTTGTTCGAGAGGGATAAGTTCTCGAGGCCCGCGGTGCGGTTGCCCGGGTTGAGCCCCGCGGTCTGCGTGCGATTTTCGCCGACGTTTTACGCGAAGAAAGACGCGAGCGGTCCGTCCACGCCGGAGACGACGCCGGGGGAAACGTCCGGCGGGAAGAAGCGACGACGCGAGGACGGCGAGGCGAACGCGGAGGCGTGCGCGAACGAGGAGGCGGTCGCGGAGGAAGCGGCGGTGGGAACGGGCGAGGGCGAAGGCGTCGCGGAGGCGACGAAGGAGGAAGCGACGACGAAGGAGGAAGCGACGACGACGACGCCGACGACGGAGGCTGACGCGTCGCTCGTCCCCGCGAAGCCGTACCGCGTCGTCTTCTGCGTGTGCACGACGGACACGGTCACGGTGTACGATACCTCGGAGACGACCCCGCTCGCGTTCATCGGCGGCTTACACTACGCCGCGATCACGGACGCGGCGTGGTCGCCGGACGGCATGACGCTCGTCGTGTCGTCCAGCGACGGGTACTGCTCCGTGGTGACCTTCACGGAGAGCGAGCTCGGGCGGGTGTTGACCCCGGAGGAGGTGCCCGAGCACGTCAGGGGCGAGATGCCGGAGGTGAGGGTGCGCGCGGTGAAGGAGGCTGCGGAGAGGGCAGCGGCCGTCGCGGAGGAGAAGCGGGAGGCGACCGCGCTCGCGGCGGCGGAGAAGGAGAAGGCGGCGGCGGCGGCGGCGGGCGCGGGCGCGGAGCTCCCCGCGAACGGTCCGCGTCGCGTCGCGCCCGCGCCCGTCGCGGACGCGAACGCGAACGCGAACGCGAACGCGAACGCGAACGCGAATGCGCCGCGTCGCGTCGCGCCCGTGCCGGTGAGCGAGCCCGCCGGGGACGCGTCCGCGGTGCCGAAACGCATCGCGCCGGAGCCCGTGGCGGATCCGGCGACGACGGCGGCGCCCGCGGCGAGACGGATCGCGCCGGAGCCGATGTGATGTGATGGAGACGCGCGAGCGAGCGCGAGCGCGAGACGCGAACGAGCGAACGAAATTGTTCTTTGAATTGGAATTCTTCTCTGCGTTCAAACCTCAGCCCGGGCGGGTGCTGTATGATAATACAACCCCCGGCGGCGGGCCGATTCTGATGCCTAATTTTCCTTTGTGCTCCACGCGTCTCGACGTCCGTCCGTCCGCGTCCGCATAATATACCATTCGTCATTCGTTCCTCGTTGACTCCCACACCCTCTTCGCACCCTCTTCTCTTGTTCTCGTATCGTTCCTCGGTACTCGTACACGTATATTACCTCTCTCCCATCCCACGCACCAGGAATATTTTTTTATTTTTTTTCATTCATCGCGACGTCCTCGTCGCTCAAGCCTCCGCCTTCACCGCGGCGGCGTGCCTGCTCCCGAACCGCGGCGTCCGTCGCTTCTTCGGCGTCACCGGCGTCCCCGACCCCAGAAAAACCCTGGAGAAGACGACGCTCGCGGCGGACGCCACCTTGCGCATCACCGATGGCTGGTCGCGCGCGTCCGCCGCCGGAACGTCAACGTCCTCCTCGCTCTCCCAGTCCGACGCCGTGTGCGCGTCGTCGTCGTGCGGCGGCGGCGTCGCCTCGTGAAAGTCCTCGGACGCGATCTCCTCCGTCGGCGACGGCGTCGGCGGGTAGAAATACAGCGGCTCGTGCGAAATCTCCATCGGAAGCTCGAGCGCGATCTCCATCGCCGTCTGCTGCTTCCGTCTTCGCTTCGACGCCGCCGGGTTGAAGCACGCGCGGCGGCGGCGGCGACGCGACGCCTCCTTGATGGCCTCGCCGCGCGCCGCGCGCTCGCGCTGCTGCGCGCGGACAGCCTCGACGCCGAGCACGAACTGGTACTTCCCCTCGGCAGCCTTCTTCGCGGCGGCGACGGCGCCGCCGTCGTCCGCGTCCGCGCCTTTGCCGCCGCCGAGCGTCGCGACGCGCAGCGACGCCGGCGCTGGGCGCGCGAACCTCGCGATGAGCGCGACGCCGCCGTTCTTCGCGCGAAGCTCGCGGTAGTACGCGTACGCGAGCGCGACGTCCGCGTCGGTCGGGACGTTGGGGTCGCGCTTCGCCGCGCCGGCGCCGGCGCCGCTCGTGTGTTTCTTGTTCTTGTTCTTGTTCTTGGTGGTGGTGGTGTTAACTTTTTGGAGCTCACTCGCCCCCCCGGTAACTGGGGAGATGCCCGCGCGCGTTCCGTTTCTCAGCGTCTTGGCGGGGCGCGCGGCGGCTTTCGCCCCGCGCGTCACCCGCTTCCATTCGCTGATCATCTTCCCGTTCGCGGCGAGATCACTGCTCTTACCGTTTCCCGACCCCACGCGCTCGTCGTCGCTCTCGACGTCCGTGTCGTCCGACGCCGTCGCGGCGTCGACCGACCCCGGCGCCGGCGACCCCGGAGGCGTGCGCGCGCCGTCCCCGCCGTTCTCGCTCGGGACGGACGGCGACCCGCGCGCGCACTCGGGCTCTTGCGACTCCGACGGCGTGTGCGGCGGGCTCTCCGTCCCGTTCCGCGTCGCGCGCTTCTCAGAGGAGTGCTTCTTCTCGCCCGCCGCCGCCTTGATCCCCGCGAAGGTCTCGTCCAGCGCGGTCATCGGCGAGACGAGCGGCTCATCCGCCCACGACAGATCCTCGCACGAGAACATCTCCGTGGCTTCGCTCTTCGTCGCGCGCGCCTCCGCGCCCGACGCGCCGCCCCCGCCGCCGTCGCCGAACCCGAGGACGTCGTACGCCGCCTGCGCGCTCGCGACCGTGTCCCCGGCGTGCCACGACGCCTCCTCGAAGACGTCGAACAGCGTCTCGAGCTGGCGCTCCTTGAGCGCCTCCGCGTCGGCGCGTTGGGCGTTGACGCCGTCGAGCCACGCGACGTCGTCGCTCGTCGCGCTGTACAACGGCGCCGGGCCGCACGGCGCGAACCGCCCGCTCACCGTGTGCGGCCGCGCGCTCACGTATTCGCTCGAGGGTTTGAACCCGGTCATGGAGTTCTGCTCGTAGTCGCCGACGATGGAGAAGGTCGGGAGGTGAATGTTGCCGTCGCCGTCGACGTCCATGGCGGGGAGCGGTCGGGGACGCTTCGGCGCCGCGTTCGCCGCCGCCTCCGCCTTGGCGCGCTTCGTGAGCAGCCCCGCGTTCCAGCGCGAGGACCTCCGCCCGCCGAGGCCGTCGTCCTGGGAGTCCGCGAAGAGCGACGGGGGAACCACGACGCGCTTCGGGCGCCCGGAGGAGTCGTACTCCAGACGCGGCTTGGGCTTGTGCGGCCTGTCGCTCTTCGGCTTCCTCGGCTTGGACGCGTTCCGGTGCTTCGCGTGCCGGCGGTTGTCCCGCACCCCGCACGCGTTGCACAGCGTCTTCGGGCCGTCCGGGCCGTTCCTCCACAGCGGCGTCGTCTGCGTGTTGCAGTGCGCGCACCGCTTCCCCGGGATCCCGGGGAGGAGGAGCTCTCCGCTCGGCGCGTGCGTGGGGACGTCCGTCGTCGGCGGCGGAATGGCCGCCTGAGGGAGGACGACCGCGGGAGGTTCCGCCGACGCCGGCGCGGGCGTCGCCATGGTCGTCGCCATGCTCCGGTGTTCACGCGTGGCGAACCCGGGAATTACCTGTGCGTGAGAGAGAGAGAGAGAGAGAGAGAGAGAGAGGAGGAGGCGGGGGAGATGGACGGTCAGAAAAAAAACCTCTCGGAGAAGAGCGTACACAGGGCTGCGAGGGGAAAAAAGCGCCTCCGCGCGCGCGGGGATGCGCGAACGCGGAAGCGAGCACGCCGCGCGACGCGACTTTCACGCCGGAAACGACGACTCGACGCCATCGATTAAGGATCGACGGCGTCAGAAAGTCGTTTCCGACGTCGCGTCGCCGCAATCGCGCCCCGGGGCGCCACCTCACGCGCTCCTGATGACGTCCCCGGAACCACCAGGAAGGTGTCCTCTCGTCGAAAGCGCGGGAATTCCGTGGCGCCGCCAAACGCGCGTCGGGGACGCCCCCGACGACGCGTCGCCCCCGCGAGCGCGAAAATCCGACGAAGGGCGTCCACGAGAAAAAAACCCGCGCGAGAATGGCGAAGCGCGCGCGCGCGCGTCGCGTCGCGGTCGCGTGTTCCCGCGGCAATTGTTGTCGGAGATCGGGGCGTGCGCGCAAAAGTATCTTCGCTCGATTTCACGGGACGCGCCTTCGCCGGAGTACGCCGCTGACGCCGCCACGCGAGGAGGGGACCAGCACGGGGCCTCTCGCACGCGTTCGCGCGTTCCTTTTCCTTCCTCCTCGAAGGCCTCTCGCCCGCCTCCGAGCCTTCCCGCTCGCCGTGTTGTGCCGCGAGCCGCGCGCGTCACGCCGAGATGTTGTAGGCGACCGTGAAGAGTCGCTGGCTGAGTGGCTCGCAACACGCTGTCAGTTGAGGGCGAATGAGAATCGAGCGCGTCCGCGCACGCGCAATTAGTTAGAGAAAAAACGTACGTACTACGAAAGTATGCGCGGAGAAAGAAGCTGAAAAAGTGCTTTCGCGCGTTGCTTTTTTCTGACTGTTTGCCCCGTGCGGTGGTTCGGTACAACGATAGGCGAGGTGGCGGCGCATAAACATGGCATAAACCCTAAAACGTCGCATAAACCCTAAAACGTCGGCCCACGAAGGCCAGGTTCATCAGGCGGTCGCGAGTCGGCGTGCGAACCGCCTCTCGGCGTCCGAGCCTTCAATCACACCACGAGCGCGCCGCGGGTTGGGACGCGCTCGCGAAGACCTCTTCGTCAGCGGATCGCGCACGGCTCCGCGTCGAAGAACGGAGCGCCGAACGCGACGCGCGCGAGCGTCGACGCGCGTCGTCTTCCTCGACGCGTCGTCATCGTGATTTTTTGAACAGGACGAGGCGTTCGTGCCGATCTCGATCATGAGCAAACGCCCGGGCGAGGACGCGGGCGGGCCAGGACCGAAGCGCCCGACGCCCGGGCAAGACATGATGGACTCCGAGCCCATCCTCCCGGAGGAGTACGAGGACCCGGACGACGAGGACGTGTTCCTCAACGACGTCTTAGACCAGAAGGCGCGTATGCTGTCCGGCTGTCGTCCGTCGTCTTTTGAACCGCGCCGCGACCGCGATCGCTCGCGCGAGATGCGACCGCCCCCCCCCGCCGTCCTCGTCCCGCCGCCGTCGCGCCCTCCCCCACTCGCGCGTCTGACCGACCATCGCGCGTCGCCCGCGCCACCGCATCCTTTCCGCCTCAGGTCATCGTCGCGGACGCGGAGCGCGAGCACTGGAAGCGCAAGCCCGCGCCGGAGCTGAACGTCGAGAAGGACAACATCGTGTTTCAACAGCTGGACATCGACTACATCATCGGCGAGCCGCACGCGATGCTCGGGCCGCAGCGGAAGGCCATGGGCGCGGCCGCGATGCTTCGCATCTTCGGCGTGACCGCGGGAGGGAACTCCGTGTGCGTGCACGTGCACGGGTTCGAGCCGTACTTCTACGCGAAGGTGCCGGAGTCGTTCCGCGACGACCAGTGCGAGGGGTTCCGAAAAAACTTGAACGACCTCATGCAGCAGCAACAGCGCGGCGGGAACAACGGCGGGAACGGGACGTTCATCTCCGCGGTGAGCGTCGTGAGGGACAAGCAGTCGCTGATGTACTACCAGGAAGGCCGGACCGCGATGTTCGTGAAGATCACGACGACGCTGCCGAACATGGTGGCGACGGCGCGCGGGATCCTCGAGAAGCAGGGTCTCCTCGTCCCGGGGCTGCACGTCTCCGCGCTGACGTTCATGACGTTCGAATCCAACGTCCTGTACACGCTTCGGTTCATGGTCGACCGCGGCATCGTCGGCGGGAACTGGCTCGAGCTCCCGCCGGGGGGGTATCACCTCCGCGCGAAGAAGAGCTCGATGTGTCAGTACGAGTGCGACGTCGCGTTCGACGCGGTGATTTCGCACGCGCCGGAGGGGCAGTTTAGCAAGCTCGCGCCGTTTCGCATTCTGTCCGTGGACATCGAGTGCGCGGGGCGGCGCGGGCACTTCCCGGACGCGGAGCACGACCCGGTGATACAGATCGCGACGATGGTGACGTGCCAGGGCGACGACAAGCCTATCATCAAGGCGATCTGGACGCTCGACACGTGCGCGCCAATCGTAGGCGCGGACGTGCTCTCGTTCACGGACGAACGCGAGCTTCTGCGCTCGTGGGGGAAGTTCCTCCGGTCCACGGACCCGGACTTGCTCATCGGGTACAACATCGTGAACTTCGACTTCCCGTACCTCATAAATCGCGCGGCGACGCTCGGCGTGGAGGACTTTCCGTACTGGGGTCGTATGATCGGCAGCAAGCTGAGGATGAAGGACACGACGTTTTCGTCCAAGGCGTACGGCACGCGCGACAGCAAGGAGATCACGATCGAAGGCCGCGTGCAGTTCGATCTTCTTCAGGCTGTGCAGCGGGACCACAAGCTGTCGTCGTACTCCCTCAATGCGGTCTCCGCGCACTTCTTGGGGGAGCAAAAGGAGGACGTGCACCACTCCGCGATTTCCGAGCTTCAAGCCGGGACGTCGGAGACGCGTCGCCGCCTCGCGGTGTATTGCCTCAAGGACGCGTACCTCCCGCAGCGGTTGCTCGATAAGTTGATGTACATGTACAACTACATCGAGATGGCGCGCGTCACGGGCGTGCCGCTGTCCTTCTTATTATCCCGCGGGCAGTCCATCAAGGTGTTATCCCAGATTTTACGGAAAGCGCGGCAGCGCGGGTTGCTCGTCCCGCACATGCCGAAAAAGGGCGCGTCGGATCAGCAAGAGGGCGGCGTCGCGTACGAGGGCGCGACCGTCCTCGACGCGAAAGCGGGGTACTACGAGCTCCCGATCGCGACGCTGGATTTCGCGTCGCTGTACCCGTCGATCATGATGGCGCATAACCTGTGCTACTGCACGCTCGTGCCGCAGAACATGGTGAGCCGGATGAACCCCGAGGACGTCTCCAAGTCGCCGACGGGGGACGTGTTCGTGAAGTCGAACAAGACGAAGGGCATCCTGCCGGAGATTTTAGAGGAGCTCTTGAGCGCGCGCAAACGCGCCAAGGCGGACCTGAAGAAGGCGCAGGACCCCTTAGAAAAGGCGGTCCTCGACGGCCGTCAGCTCGCGCTGAAGGTGAGCGCCAACTCGGTGTACGGCTTCACCGGCGCCACTGTCGGCGCGTTGCCGTGTCTCGAGATTTCCGCCTCCACGACGTCGTACGGCCGCAACATGATCGACCAGACGAAGGAGCTCGTCATGGAGAAGTACAACACGAAGAACGGGTACAGCGCGAACGCGGACGTCATCTACGGCGACACGGACTCGGTCATGATCAAGTTTAACGTCACGGACTTGGAGGAGGCGATGAAGCTCGGCGAGGAAGCCGCGACGTACGTCTCGTCGACGTTTATCAAACCCATCAAGCTCGAGTTCGAGAAGGTGTACTGGCCGTACCTGCTCATCAGCAAGAAGCGATACGCCGGTCTGCTGTGGACGAACCCGAAGAAGCACGACTACATGGACACGAAAGGGATCGAGACCGTGCGGAGAGATAACTGTCTGCTCGTGAGGCAAGTCATCGAGACGGTGCTTCAGAAAATTTTAATCTCGCGCGACGTCCCGGGCGCTGTTGACTACGTCAAGCGAACCATCTCGGACCTTCTCATGAACCGCATGGACCTGTCCCTCCTCGTGATCACGAAGGGGCTCACCCAAGACGCGGACGCGTACGAGAACAAAGCCGCGCACGTCGAGCTCGCGAAGAGGATGAAGGAGCGCGACCCGGCGACGGCGCCCGTCGTCGGCGATCGCATCGCGTACGTCATCGTGAAAGCCGCGAAGAACGCGAAGGGGTACGAAAAGTCCGAGGACCCGATCTGGGCGATGGAGCACAACCTCCCGATCGACTGCCAGCACTACTTGGACCACTACCTCGGGAAGCCGCTGATGCGCATCTTCGAGCCGATCATGAAGGACGCGTCGTCGCAGCTGTTGAAGGGGGATCACACGCGCGCCATCTCTCAGCCGACGCCGAGCAGCGCCGCGGGCGGGATCATGCGGTTCGCGAAAGTGCGTCTGTCGTGCGTCGGGTGCAAGGCGTCCATCACGGACGAGAAGACGTCCACGGCGCTGTGCGCGCACTGCCTCGCGAAAGAGCCGGAGCACTTGCAGAGGGCGCTGAACACGGTGAACGACCTCGAGCGGGATTTCAACCGGCTCTGGACGCAGTGCCAGCGGTGCCAGGGGAGTTTGCATCAGGACGTCCTGTGCACGTCGAGGGATTGCCCGATTTTCTACCGAAGGAAGAAGGTCGCGAAGGACCTCGGGGAGGCGGAATCGACGCTGAAGCGGTTCGATTGGTGATGAGACGACGCGGCGCGGGGAGGGAGGGGGCGCGGGGAGCGACCGAGAGAACGTTTAGACGAGCCAGCGGCACGATTTTTACGAACACAGCAGAGAGAACCGACAAAAATCTTCGAACGTCGCGCCAGTCGCGATGGCGCTCACCTCCGCGCGCTTCGAGCTCGGCCCGCGCATCGGCCGAGGCAGCGCGGGCGATGTCCACCGCGCGCTGGACAAGCTCACCGGCGCGGTCGTCGCCGTCAAGCTCGTGGACTTGGAGGAGGCGGAGGACGAGGTGGAGGACATCCAGCGCGAAATCTCCCACCTCGCGCAGATTCGAAGCGAGTACGTCACGAAGTACATAGGCTCGTGGCTGCACGAGGGGTCCACGCGGCTCGCGATCGCGATGGAGTACATGGCCGGCGGCTCCGTCGCGGACTTGGTGACCCCGGAGAACCCGCTCCCGACGGACGCGTGCGCGGTCGTCCTGCGCGACCTTCTCATGGCGCTCGATTACCTTCACGGAGAGGGGAAAATCCACCGCGACATCAAGTGCGCGAACGTCCTCCTGACCGAGCGCGGGGAAGTGCGGCTCGCGGACTTTGGCGTCGCCGGGCAGATGACGCACACGCTCGGCGGGAACAAGCGGAAGACGTTCACCGGGACGCCGTTCTGGATGGCCCCGGAGGTGATCCAATCGCAAGACCAGGGCGACGGGTACGACGAAAAAGCGGACGTCTGGAGCCTCGGCATCACCGCGATCGAGATGGCGACCGGGACGCCGCCGTACAGCGACCTGCACCCGATGCGCGTGCTCTTCTTCATCCCCCAGAACCCGCCGCCGGCGTTGGACGCCGCGAAACACGACCCCGCGCACGTGGAGTTCGTCGCCGCGTGTCTTCAGAAGGACAGCGCGAGGCGGCCGAGCGCGCGCGCGTTGATGGAGCACCGGTTCGTCGCGGACGCGCCGTCGCGGTCGCCCGCGCTGATGCAGCGCATCGATCAGCACGTCCGAGACGTCGCGTCGGGGAGCTACGGGCGAGGGAACTCGCCCGCGGGAGGCGGCGGCGGCCAGGCGGGGCCCGGGAAGGACGGAGAGGGCCCAGGGAAGGCGAAGGCGCCGTCGTGGGATTTCGGCGACGGGACCATCGGGCGGCGGTTCAACAAGCCGACGCGCGAGGAGGACGCGTCGGAGGACGCCGGCGCGGGTCCGCAGGGGACGCCGCGGGTACGCGACCGCGACGGCGCGGAGGAGAGGGAGGAGATCCCGTACGGAGGGACCGTGCGGATGCGACACGCCGAGGACGACGAGCGCGAGCGCGCGGCGGAGGCGGAGGCGGAGGCGGGCGGGGAGCGCTCGACGTCGACGTCGAGCGTCGAAGCCGCCGCGCTCGACGCGATCGCGCGTTCCACCCCCTCCATCGCCGCGGTGCTCTCCCCCGCGGCGTCGCACGCGGCGAGGTCGAGGTCGACCGGCGGCGGCGGCGGCGGCGGCGGCGCGCGCGCGGCCGCCGCCGCGGCGAAGGCGACGAGGGCGCTCGCGGAGCTCGAGGCGGAGGCCCCCGGCGCGTGCGCGGCGTTGCTCGCGGACGCGTTGGAGAGACTCGCCGGGCCCGGCGCGGCGGCGGAGCCGAGCCTGAGGCCTGCGACGCAGCGCGCGATCGCGCTGTTCGGCGGCGGGGGGGAGTGGACGCGCGAGGAGGAGGAGGGCGGGAGCGAGGGGCCGAAGAGCGTGCTTGGGGATTTTTTACTCGCGCGGTGGCAGAGGGACTTGCGACCGCCGCCGCCGAGGCAGCGATGAGTGCGACGCCATGATAATGCGCGATGCGCTCTATTACAACTATTACGCTACTCTCATTTTAAATCCTGCGACTTCGCGGACGGGATGCAGTGCGTCTTCAAGATGTCCTGCGTCGCCCCGTGCGCTTCTTTCGTCTTCAGAACGACCAGCAAGTTGTGATCGAGCTCGAACCGCATGAACGGGTCTTTGCACCCGTCGCACATGTCCGCGAGCTGCTTCAAATTACTCACCGGCTTCCCGTTGAACCCGTTCACCACCGTGTTCACGATGTCCTCGTACCCGATGTTAATCGGCGCGCTCAGCACGTGCGCGACGACGACGACGTTCTGCCCTTTATCCGTGACCTGGTCGTACATCATGCGGTTCAAAATCGGCACCGGCGCGTCGTAGTCGTAATCCTTCCCGTATTCCGACTTTAAATACGGCACGCACACCGTCGTGAACACCAGACCCGCGGCGATGTAGAACGACGGCGGAACGCCCTCGATGTGCACGGGGACGAGCCGAGGGACTTGCGTCAGCGGAAGGTCGACCGCGTGCGTCGTGCCGTCGCGAAGGAACGTCACCCGCGCCTTTTCGCCGACGAATTTTTCGGTGACGAGGTAGTGAAAGCTTATTCTCTCGCCGGTTCGGAACGGCACGGTGCCGTCGTTCGCGATCTCGACGCCGTCGAACGAGAGTAGGACGTCGCCGTTCTTGAGTTTGTTCGACCCGGGGCTCACCGGGTCGACGCGTCGCACCATGACGCCCTTTTGCGCGGGGGTCATCTTCAAAAACTTTCGCATGTTTGGATTTTCGAGTTTCTGCCACGTCGCCGGCAGCGTGGGGAATCCGGTGTACTTCCCGTTCTTCTCGTAGTCGCGTATGAAGTGCATGATGACCGGCGTCGGGATGACGTACCCGATGTTCTCCGCGTCGTCCGCTTTCAAGGACTGAAACGCGACGCCGACGCAACCGCCTTGCGCGTTAAACGCCGGCCCGCCCGAGTTTCCCGAATTAATCGCCGCGTCGATTTGAAGCCCGAGGAGCTCCGAGCTCCCGTGCGAGTACGACGTGACTTCGATTCGAGACACGACGCCGCTGGTGACGGATATCGCGACGCCGCCGATCGGGTACCCCACCACGGTCACCGCGGCTTGAAGCGACGGGAGTTGACCAAAGTCGATCGGCGTCGTCCCCGCGAAGAACTCGTCGTCGTCCACGGTGAGAAGCGCGAGGTCGCACTCGACGCCGATGGCGAGCACCCGCGCTTCGTATTTTTTATCCCCGCCTCGCTTCTTCAGCTTCACCGACGTGTGGTGCTCCACGCTGTGCGCGTTCGTCAGAATGCGACGGCCGCGGATTATGAACCCGGAGCTCGTGCTCGCGCTCTGGCGCTTTCGCTGCCACGGCAGCGAGTAGTTCGGCTCCGTGTGCGTGCAAAAGACCTTCACGACGGCGTCCATCTCCGTCGTGTCCGTGACGAGGTCGATGCCCATGTAATCTACGATCGGTATTCGGCCCGCGGGGGTCGACGGCTTCTGCGGAGACACCGCCGCGAGCGCGCCGCGGGCGCCGCCGCGGCTTTTTCGTCCGGGGTTGAGAACCGTCGCGGGGGTGCCGATTTCCTCCGTCGCCGCGTCGTCGCTGTCGCTCGCGAGAGCGGAAAATTCATCCTCTTCGACGTACGCGGGCTGTCTCGCCGCGCGCTTCGGCGTCGTCTGCGTCGGCGTTTTTTTCGGCTTTCGTCCCGGCGTCTTCTTCGCGTTTTTTCTCGGGCGCCCCATGGATTTTCCGGCGTGCTTCGGCGGGCGGCCGCGGCGTTTCGGCGTCGGCGTCGGCGTCGGCGTCGGCGCCGGCGCCGGGCTCTTTGGCGGCCGCCCCCGCCGCGTCGGCGTCGTCGCCAACTCCGCGAGCACGCCCAACGCCGCGCTCTTAATCGCCGCGGGCTTGCGGCCTCGTTTTTTCGGTGGAACCTTCGACGACGAAGGCGGGCGGCCTCGTCTTTTTCTCTGCGACGCCGGCGCCGGCGCCGGCGCCGGCGTCATCTTGACGAGCTTCACCGCGAGCTTCTTCGGGGGGCGACCGCGGCGCTTCGTCGGCGTCGTCTTCGAGACCGCGAGAGCTTTCGCTTTTGAGGTGAGTTTCGCGGTGCGTTTCGCGCTCACGCGCGGAGCAGCGGGCAGCGCGTTCGACTTCGAGCCTGCGAGGACGGAGGGGACACGTTCACTCGATGCCGACGTTTAAAAGAAATAAATAAACGCGTCGATCGATTTAAAGGGATCTCACGGCGCGAGGAAAAATCGACATCGCGCGCGAAAAGGGCGCGCACCGAAGGGTCGTCCTCGTTTGCGTTTTCCCGTCGGCGGGACGGCGGCGGGGGTGGCATCAGACGCGTCCTTGGTTAGCGCCATATCCCCCGCGCCTTCGCTTTAATGCGATAAAAAAAGGCGGGGGCGCGAGATTGACTTAATTATCCGCTCCTCCGCGCGCTCGCGGACGTTCGCGGTCGCGACGGCGATGCGACGACCGATGGGAAAACTCGCGGATATGTCCTGGTCACGAATTCACGTCGCGGCGCGAGACTCGCGTCGTGGCGCAAGGCCCACGCGGTGAGGATCTGGTGGATAAATCCCGCTGCAGGTTTTATTTATTTCGCGAAAAAGGACGCGCGGTTTTCGCATTCAGATCACTCGTTTCTTCGAAGAACAAACTCACGGACCTCCCGAAGCCGACTTCGACGGCGGCCCGCCGCCGCCCCTCTTAAAACTCTCGTACATCGCCCGCATCTCCTCGCTCGGCGGCGGCGACGGCGGCACGCGCCCGAACCCTTCCGTGAAATGCCGCGCGGAGACCTTCGTCGCCTCGAGGCTCTCCTCCAACGCCGCGAGCCCCGACTCGCGAACGACGGCGGTCAAATCCGCACCCGTGTACCCCGCGCACGCGAGCCCGAGCGCGTCTAAATCCACGTCGTCGTCCAACGGCGTCTTCTTGAGAAGAACTCTGAGTATCGCCGTGCGGTCCTCCGCTTTATCCGGAGGTGGGATGTAAATCAGACGGTCGAAGCGCCCCGGGCGAAGTAACGCCGGGTCGACGAGGTCCGGGCGGTTCGTCGCCGCGACGACGGCGACGCCGTCGCCGAGGGAGCCGACGCCGTCCATCATCGTGAGCATCATCGTCAACACGCGGTCGCTGACCGAGGGGCCGCCGCCTGATTCGGTGCCATCGTCCATGCCGCGTTTACCGACGAGGCCGTCGAGCTCGTCGAGGAAGATGACCGAGGGCGCGTTCGTTTTCGCGCGGGTGAACAACGTCCGCACCGCCTTTTCTGAGTCGCCGACCCACTTGCTGTATAACTCCCCGCCTTTGACGGTTAAAAAATTCCGCCCGCTCTGAGACGCGACCGCCTTCGCGAGCAACGTCTTCGAGCACCCGGGCGGGCCGTACAGCAGGATGCCCTTCGGCGGCACCGCGCCCATGCGCGCCATCGCCTCGGGAAACTTCTCGCTCCACTCCACCGCTTCTTTGATGCGCTGCTTAACCTCTTCTAAACCGCCGACGTCGTCCCATCCCACGTTCGGCACCTCGATCTGCACCTCGCGCATCGCGGACGGTCGTATCTTCGTCCGCGCGTCCAGAAAGTCGGCGTCCGTGATGTGCAGCGGCGCGAGCATGGGGACGCCGTCGTCGTCCAGACTCGCGCGCTCTAAATCCGACGTCAACGCCCCCACCGCGTCGCCGTCGGCTTTTTCCCGCCTCCACGCCTCGATCGCCGCGACGCATCGCGCGCACCCGCACGACGCTCGTTTCTTCCTTTCCTCCGCGGCCAACGCCTTCTCTAACATCTCCTTCCCGAATTCCTTCTCTATTCCCTCCTTCTCTTTCACGCGCCGACGGAGCGCGTTCATCGCCGCCGCCTGCACGAGCGCCGCGACGTCCGCGCCGACGAACCCGTGCGTGTTCTTCGAGAGCTCCTCCGCGGCGGCGTCGGACAACTCGTGCTTCACCGTTTTCAAGTGCGCGTCGAGAATCTCCCGCCGCTGCTTCGGCGCCGGTACGCCGACCTCGATCTCTCGGTCGAACCGCCCGGGGCGTCGCAGCGCGCGGTCGATCGCCTCCGGTCGATTCGACGTCGCGATGACGATCACCTTGTCCATGTCGACGTAATTCTGTGAGGGCGATTCCACACGAAAAAAGTTCATTCATCGGTCAGTTGAAAGGGACGGACCCACGCGAGCGAATGTTGAAACCGAGCGGTGGGTGATAAACGTTTGCACAGAACGCACCTCCACCGACTGCGCGCCGTCCATGATGGTCAGCAACGTGGAGACGACGCGCGCGGACATCTGGTCCTCGCCGCCGCTGCTTCCGCCGCCCTTCGCGCCGCCTCCGTCGCTGTCGCTCCGCGCGGGCGCGATCGCGTCGAGCTCGTCGAGGAGAATCACGCACGGCTTCTGCTTCGCGGCGGCTTGGAACACGCCGCGCAGCGCCGCCTCGGACTGCCCGACGTACGCGCCTATAATCTCCGGGCCGTTGACGACGAGCAGGTTCGCCTTCGCCGCCTCCGCCGCGGCTCTCGCGAGGCGCGTCTTCCCCGTCCCGGGCGGGCCCCAGAGCAACACCCCGCGCGGCGGCGTGATCCCGTAGCTCGTGAAAATCTCCGGCCGGTTCAGAGGGTAGTCCACGAGCTCGAGGAGCGTCGCCGCGATGTCGCCGACGCCGCCGAGCGCCTCGAAGCCCTCGCGACGCCCCGCCCACCGCGCCGCTCGCTCCGCGCGCTTCACCGCCGCGACGACCGGGTCCTTATCCTCCGCGAGGTCGTCGTCGTCGTCGTCGTCGCTCGCGTCCGCCGCCGCGCGTTCTTCTTCGTCCTCCTCCTCCGCCGCCGCCGCCGCCGCGCCCGCGGCGACGCGCGCGCCGACGTCGTCCGCCATCCCCCCCGCGCCGGGCCCCCGCGGCCGCAGCGTCACCTTCGTGCGCTCGTCCACGACGCCCACCGCGCCGGGCCCCCCCGCGCCGCGCGCGTCGCTCTCGACGCGCTCGATCTGGAAGAACGCGCTCGTCCCGAGCAGCGGCAACCGCACGAGGTTCCCGCGCAGGAGCGCGCGGCCGGAGAGCGCGCGGCGCGCGAGCGCTTCGAGCACCTCGGCCTGCTTGGCGCCGCCGCCGCCGCGGTCTCTCTCGTCCAACACGCCCCGCGACAGCCACGCGTCGGCGCCGCCGCCGACGCGCCGCTCCGTCGCCCACAGACGCGCGACGACGCTCGCGATCGCCACCCCAGGTGTTGGGAGCCGCACGCGCGCGTTGGAGTGATCCGAACCGTCGCCGTGATCCGAACCGTCGCCGCCGTCGCGTAACGCGTAGACGTGCGCGCCCGCGCCCGCGGGCGGGCATCCCAACGACATCCACGTCTTGCGCGCGAAGGAGATCCCGTGCGGCTCCGCCGCGGCCGGGTCCGGGTGCGCTCTCGCGAGGACGACGTACCGTCCGACCGCGTCGATCGCCGCGGTCGCGCCGAGGCGCGCGAGCTCGTCGGGCGCGGCGTCGATCGGCAGGGACTCGTGCGCGTCCGCGGGGAGCCCGCCCCCGAGGGATTTCAGCTCGACGTTTCGCGCGAGGAGCGCTGGGATCGCCGCCGCGGGCGCGTCCGTCGTCGGCGTCGGCGTCGGCGCGGACGACGACGACGCGCCGCCCAGGCGCGACGAAACGCGCGGCGACGGCGACGGCGACGGCGACGCCGTCGCTCCTCGCGAATCCGGCGGCGGCGCGACCGCGGCGGGCCCGTGGACGACGGCGACGGCGATCCAATCGCCCGCGCCGACGGCGAGCGCCACCATGAGCTTCGGCGACAGCAGCGCGTGGACGTGCGCGCCGACGCCCTGCGCGACGGGGACGCGCTCCACGACCGCGCCGTGGACTTTCGCGGGCGACGTCGCGTCGCGGAGGCCGGTCCACGACGGCACGGGCGCGATCGCGACGGCGCCGCGGCCGCGTCCGCCGCGCCGGGATCGACGCGCGTCGTCGAAAACGTCGTCGTCGTCGTCGTCGTCGTCGTCGTCCGCGAGCTCGGACCGACTTGTCGGCGTCCCCGGCGCGGGGCTGTCCTCGCGCGTCGGCGAGCGACCGCGCCCGTCGTCGCGGCGCGCGGCGCCCTTCTTGCGCGGCATCGCGAGCGGCGCCTCTCGTTGTGAGGAAGGAGCGCCGCCGCGCCGTGAGTGTTGTAAGTTTTCTTCCGCTCCAGTCCCTGCCGCCGCGCCGTCGGATGAATCAAAACTCGAGAGACTCACTCTTCCGCGCGCGGGCGGCGGGGCGCGCGCGGGTCGATGACGTCCTCCGACCCGCCCGTCCGCGTCGTCCTCGTGAGCCACGACAAGAGGCCGCTGTTCCACTACGTCAAGCTCGCGCTCGACGCGCTGAAGTCCGACGCGCACGGCGACCGCGTCGTCGTGCGCCTGACGGGGATGGGGATGGCGTGCGCGAGGGTGGTCACGCTCGCGGAGCTCCTCAAGCGCGACGGCGCGTGCGTCGTGACGAGGACGAGGACGGGGAGCGTGAAGGGCGCGCGCGAGGGGGACCCGGACCGGGACTCGACGAAGAGCGCGATCGAGATGGACGTGACGCGGGGGGGAGCGTTCGAAGCCAAGGCGGGCGACGTGTTTCGAAGGAGGAAGGTCGAGGCTTCGTCTTCAGAACTACCTTCGTGATATGATAATAGGTCTAGCTACTAGCTAAGGTTCGACCGCCGCGACGCCGCCCGCGAGGCCGCGCTATCCGTCCGCGCCGCGCCTCTCCCTGATCGCCAACGACTCGGACGTCAGCGTCCGATGCGGCTTGGGCGCCTTCGGGTTCCCTCGCACGTAAAACCGCCGCAAAAGTTCCACCGCGTCCTCCGCGAATAACCCCCCGACGGACGGGTACGTCCGCCTCGCCCCGCGCGCGCCGTTGGACGCCGCCGCGTCGCCGCCGTCCTCTTCCTCCTCCCTCGCGTCGTCCGCGTCCGCGTCCGCGCAGGGCGAGCATCCGTCGCGGTGGACGCTCAGGATGGACCCGTTGCCGCCGAACTTGTCGTTGCCACACCCGTACACCACCGCCCGGCATCCGAGCAGCGACAGCGCGCCCGCGCACATGATGCACGGCTCGCACGTGACGTAGAGAACGCAGTCTTCGAACCGCGCGGCGTTCGCGTCGTTCGCGTGCGCCGCGAGGAGGGCGTCGATCGCTTCGAACTCCGCGTGCCTCGTGCCGTTGCGACGCTCGTTCGTTCGGTTGCTCCCGCGCGCGACGATCTCGTTGTCGAGGACGAGGACGCACCCCACGGGGACCTCCCAGCGGTCGAGAGCGGCGGTCGCTTCCGCGAGCGCGGCGCGCATGTGCCGCTCGTCGTCCGCGGTGAACGCCGCCATCGCGCGGCGGCGGCGGCGGCGGCGGCGGCGGCGCGGCGCAACCCTAGCTAGGGGCGGCGAAGAGTGAGATGGGTGCCGAGATCGCGCGCCCGCTCGTTCGCTTGAAGTTGAAAAGTCCGAATCACCATCATCCGCAGAGGTCGGCGCGCGGGGAGGGCGCGCGTCGCGGCCGCGAGATGTTCAGCGACGGCGAGGACGACGACGTCCTGATCCTCGAGCTCGGCGGCGAGAGGATCGTCATGCCGAAATTCCGCGAGGAGGACGACGACCAGGACGCGGACGACGAGGCGACGACCTCGTCGTCGTCCGTCGTCGTCATGTCGCCCGAGCTCGCCGTCGAACGCGTCGGCGTCGGGCCGTTCCAACGAAGGCTCACGGCGCTGTGCACGCTCGGGAACGCCGCGGACGCGGTCGAGGTCATGTCCGTGGCGCTCATCCTCCCCGCCGCGGGCGCGGACCTGGGGATGACCGACGCGCAGAAGAGCGCGCTCGCGTCCGCGGTGTTCCTCGGCGCGTTCTTCGGCGCGCTCCTCGGCGGCGTCCTCGGCGACGCGAGGGGACGAAGGCTCGCGCTCGCGCTCGCGATGGCGATCAACGCGCTCTTCGCGCTCCTCTCCGCGGCCGCGCCGGACGCGACGACGCTGATCCTCTGCCGCTTCCTCGCCGGCGTGGGCGTCGGCGGCGCCAACGCGGCGGTGTTCTCCGTCGTCCCGGAGTTTCTCCCGCGCGCGTCGCGAGGGAAGCACGCCGTCGTCCTCGCGTCCGGCTGGATGTTCGGGAGCGTGTACGCCGCGAGCGCGGGGTGGGCGACGATACCGACCCTTGGGTGGCGGACGTTCCTCGTCGCGTCCGCGCTGCCGTCGATCGCGTGTCTGGCGGGGGTCGCCGCGTTCATGCCGGAGAGCCCGCGGTTTCTCGCGTCGGTCGGCAGAGGGAAAGACGCCGCGGCGGTGCTCCGACGCGTCGCGTCGGCGAACGGGACGGCGCGCGAGATCCCGGACGGGCTCATCGTCCGCGCGAAGGCGAGCGGCGTCGTGAGCGGCGGCGTCGTGAGCGGCGGCGGCGCGAAGCGGGGTCATCGCGAGGCGTCGTCGTCGTTCGCGTCGCTGTGCCGCGACCCGACGCTCTCGCGGAGGACGCTCCTCGTCGGCGCGGTGTGGTTTTTCGTCAGCTTCGGGTGGTACGGGCTCATGCTCTGGCTCCCGGAGTACTTCGACCGGCGCCTGAGCGCCGACGACGACGACGACGGCTCGAGCGTCGCCGACGATCGAGTGTACGCGTTCGCGCTGCTCGTCGCGCTGGCGAACCTTCCCGGGAACGTCGCGAGCGCGTTCGCCGTGGACGTCGTCGGACGAAGGACGACGGTGGCGTGGTGCTCGGCCACCGCGTCGCTCGCCGCCGCGGCGTTCGCGGTCGTAGGCGGCGGCGGCGTGAGCGGTTGGGGCGGGTACGTCGCGTGCGCGTGCGTCTTCAACGCGCTGAGCGTCGGCGGGTGGAACGCGCTCGACCTGTGGAGCGCGGAGGCGTTTCCGACGGCGACGCGGTCGACGGCGATGGGCGCGTTGGGCGCGATCGGACGCGTCGGGTCTCTGGTCGGGACGTCGGCGTGCGGGGCGGCGATCGGGGTCAGCTTGACCGCGCCCGCGTGGATCGCGTGCGTCGCGATGGTGATGGGGTCCGCGGGCGCGATGGCGACGAACCTGGAGACGAGGGGCAGGGCGTTGGAGGACGTCGTCGGCGAGGAGGGCGGCGGCGGGGGCGAGGGGGAGGACGATTCGGAGGAGCTTCTCGCGGACGTAGAACAGCGTAGTTAATTACTTAGACTCGAAGATAACATTGATAACACCCAACGACATCAATTACTAAGATCAAATCATCAAACAAAGAGATTGTTTCAAAACAAAAATACTGCTACAAACAATGACGCTTCCTTTCGCGTCGTCTCCGCAACTTTCGCGGAAAGAGTTGAATCATTTTTTTTGGTCGACTGAGCCTGCTGTGGTGATCATCAGGGTGGCTGAGTGTCCCCCGTCTCTGATCACAGGTCTTTGCCCATGTCGTCCATGCGATCGAGCATAGCGTCGAGCGCGTTCTTCGACAGGTGCCTCGAGTTTGGAAGCACGAGTCGGAAAAAGTTTGGAAGGTTCATCGAGTCGATCGGCTGGAACCCGATCATCGCGTCCCCGGTCCGTTGCATCCGGTCCTTCAGCTTCGGGGCGACGAACCCAATCTCCGTGAGCTGGTCCGCGGTCGCGGACTCGACATCGAACGGCCTCAGGCGCGGGGGCACGTACCAGAACCCGATGTTCGCGCACTGCGCGGGCGCGGCGAGGACGAACGAGCCGTCTTTTTCGCACCGCTCGCGCACCGACGCCTCGACGTACTCCGCGAGGCCAAAGGAGCGGTCCACGAGATTCGCCCAGCCTTCGTCTCCGCGCGCCTTCCACGCGAGCCAGATCTTGAGGGCGTCCGCCTTGCGTCCGCACTGAATCGTGCGGTCGCCGAGGTCCGCGGCGGCGTTGTTCTTGTCCGGCTGGAACAAGTAGTCCGCCTGCGCGGCGTTCGCCTTGGACAGCGCCCCGGGTTGCTTCGTCACGAAGATGGAGCACTGGAGCGGCAACCCGAGCATCTTGTGCGGGTTCCAGCAGAACGAGTCCGCTCTGTTCGCGCCCTGGAGATTGTGCCTTCTCGTCGGGGACAGCGCCGCGGCGCCGCCCCACGCGCCGTCGACGTGCATCCACATGTCGTGCTTTTCGCAGACGTCCGCGCAGCCTTCGTAGTCGTCAAAGGCGCCGAGCACGGTGGACCCCGCGGTGGTGCCGACGTAGAACGGCACCTTGCCCCGGGACTTGGCCTCCTGAACCGCCTTCTCGAGCTCCGCCGGGATCATCGCGCCGGACTGGTCGCACTTCACCTTGATCATGTTGTCCATCCCGAGGCCCATGACCATCGCGGACTTTTTGTACGAGTAGTGCGACTGCTCCGAGCAAAACGCGACGAGGTTGCCGCTCGCGCCCTTGGTCTTCGCCTCCGGCTCCGCGCGATCGCGCGCGAGGATCATCGAGTACATGTTCGCCAGGGACCCGCCGGGGACGAGCAGACCGTCGTGCGGCGGCGTCGTCTTAGACCCGGGCTTGTTCAGCCACATCCGCGCGGTTTTCGCGAGGACGGCTTTCTCAATCTCCGTGAGCACCGGCGCGACTTCAAACGTGTGCACGTTGGCGTTCAACGCGCTCGCGGTCCACTCCCCCGCGAGCGCGACGACGTCGACGCCGGCGTACAGCTGGTTCAAGAACATCGGGTGCGAGGAGCGGACCGAGTTGTCCATGACCGCCTGCACCGCGAGCGCGAGTTGCTCCTCCGTCGCGGGGGCGTCGCCCTCCGCGAGGTCGATGGGCGCCCCCGCGGCGGCGAACGTCGCCGCGAGCTCCTCCGGGGACTGGAGCTTGCTGTGCACGCGCTCGTCGCCCTTGATGGAGTCTCTGTGGTACTGCGTCAGCTTCGGCGCGAGTTCCTCCAGGAACTTGAGCTCGCGCTCGGTCTCGTCCTCGGGCCAGAGGTTGTCGCCCTCGACGGCGGCGGCGGCGGCGGCGTCCGCCGCCGCCTTTCGCTCCGCGAACGAGAGCGCGTCCGGGCGCCAGTACACCTCGCACTCCGCGGCTCTCTCCGCGTTCCCGTCCGAGTTCTTTGCGCCGCCCATCTTCTTCGAGTCGAGCCAGTCGTCGTTGTAAATCTTCGACAGGTACTTCACGCCGTTGTCCGGGAACACCGTGACGATGACGCTGTCGTCCGCGACGTCGCCGGATAACACGCGCGAGGCGTGGAGGTTCAGACCGCTGCTGCCGCCGACGAGGAGGCCGTCGCTGCTCGCGAGCTCGCGGCACACGCCGAACGCCTGCTCGTCCGTCGCGCGCACCATCCCGTCCACGATCGAGACGTCGAGGCACCCGGGGATGGAATCCTTGCCGACGCCCTCCGTCTCCCACGACTTGGACACCTTGACGTCGTCGGCGGCGACGCCGTTGACGACGTGGTCCCAGAACACGCTCCCTCTCGGGTCCGCGAGGACGATCCTCACGTCCGGGTTCTCTTGCTTCAAGTACCTCCCCGTGCCGCTGACCGTGCCGCCGGTGCTGCCGCCGACGATGAAGTGCGTCACCGCGCCCACGCTCTGACGCCAAATCTCCGGCCCGAGCGTCGCCTCGTACGCGTCCGCGTTGTACGGGTTGTTATACTGATCCACGCCGTAGTACGTCCCGGGGTTCTCCTCGCACAGCTTGTTCTCGATGTTCTGGTAGTGCTGTGGGTCGTCCGGGGACACCCCGGACGGGGAGACGATCACCTCGCCGCCGTACGCTCTCATCGCGTCCACCTTCTCCTTGGACGTCTTCTCGTTGGTGATGACGATGTAGTCGTACCCGCGCAACGCGCACGCCATCGCGATCGCGGCGCCGGTGTTCCCGGACGTCGCCGCGACGACGGTCATCCCGGGCTTGAGATCGCCGCTCTTGATCGCCTTGTCCAGGATGTGCGTCGCGATGCGGTCTTTGATGGACCCGGACGGGTTGAGGTACTCGCACTTCGCGAGGATCTTCACGGTGGGGTTCAGGGAGTACGCGCTCAGATCGAGCAGCGGCGTGCTGCCGATGAGGTCCCTCGTCGTGCACGAGCTCTCCTTCATGTCGCAGAACTCGCCTTCGCAGTCGCTGTCGGCGGGGGAGGCGGTCTGCGGTGGGCGGCGGGGGGGGGGGGAGGGGGGGGGGAGGAGGCGGAGGGTCAAAATCGGCGCTTAGAATTGAGGCGCGCGCGCCGCGCGTGCCCCCCGCGAGTTCGTTAAAACCCGGCGACGCCGCCGCGGGAATCGCGACCGCGGCGCCGAGCGTCGACGCGGGTTCGCGCGTCGGAGGCGATGCACGCGATATGTGCGACGTTCATCGAGACCAGCGCGCGCGGATTCGCCGCGCCATGGCGCTCGGATGACTGTCAACGCGCGCGGATTCCGGGGCTGCGGCGCGCACCTCGGCCGCGGGCTCGTCGGTGGGCACGGTGAACGCGAGGACGTCGTCGACGGTCGATATCGCCCTCGGAGGGTTCGAATGCGGGCCCGCCTTCGAGGTGACGACGCGCGCGATGCGCTTAGGACCTCGCGGAGTGAAAACCGAGGTCGATTTCCCGAGGGAGACGCCGGGGATGGCCGCGGCGGCGCGGTTCCGACGCGCGCGTGCGTTACGCGAGGTCGCGAGATGCCCGAGTAGGGGTAGGGATAATGATCCCGTCGCCGCGGACATCAACGCCGACGTTCTGACTCCGCGATGCGCGTCGTCGTGATTTTGTGGTGTTACTGCGTAGTAACGATCGTAAACTCGATGTTTCGCGAACCGAACCCTCCGTAACGGTGGAACGCGCCTCACTAACTGGGCGAGCCCGGCGGCGGCGGCGTCATCTCGTAATCCTCTTCCCGGGTTTATTTTTAGATTCCCCGCTCCACGTGCCGTCAGAGGTCGTTTGACGCGCCAGGCTGGCCCGATCAGTTGTCCGAACGAAGTTTCGCGGTCGGTCAAAAGTTGACCGATTATCAGCCGGTGAAAGTCAGTATGAATCTCCTCTTCGATAAAAGTCGGGACGCGCGCGTCGCTACTCTCCCTCTCCCCCCTCTTGCTCCAGCTTCTGCTTCTTCCACCGGTGCGCCGCCTCTAAGATCTTCAAGTTCGGCACCGCGCCTTGCTCCTCCGGGAAGATATAATCGTAGTACTCCTCCTGCCCCGCGGGGGTGCCGTCCTCGGTGTAGATGGGCCGCTTGCGTTTCACGCGCCGCGGCAGCTTCTTCTCCACCTTGGCGAGCACCTCTTCGCTCGACCCGACGCTCTCTTCGAACGCCTTCCACGCCTCCAGCAGCATGACGCGCTCCTCCTTCGCGTCCGGCTGCATCTCCTTGAGCGACAGCAGCGCGCGCTCGTACACCGCGCGCGCTTTGCTCGCCCTGACGTCCTCAGCCTCGTCCGGGTCGTCGGCGACGGCGGCTTCCGCCGCGGCGGCTCTGCGCGCCGCCGCCTCCTCGTCCTCCTCCTCGTCGTCCTCGTCGTCGTCGTCCCCGCGCGCGGCCGCGGACATCGGCGCGGCCTCGAACTGCGCGTACGACATCCACACCTTGACGTGCTGCGTCCTGTCGAGCAGGCGCTCGTACAGGTCTCTCGCCCTCGCGCGTTCGCCCTCGCCGATCTCGAAATCGACGTACGCCTTCCACAGCACCTCCGGCATGTCCAGAACCGGGCGCGCGATGGCGATCTCGAAGATGGCCCTCGCGCGCTCGGTCTCCCCCAACGAGTTCTCCAGCTCCGCGAACTTCTCCCACGTGAAGCAGTTATGCGGCGCGATCTCGAGGTGTTTCTGGTACAGCGTCCGGCACCGGTCGACGTTCCCGAGCTGCATCTCCATGTCGATGTATACCTTGAAGATCTTATCCTTCGGGGCTAACCCGATCGCGAGGCCTAAGATCTTCCTCGCCGCGTCTAGACGCTTCTGGCGAATCTCAAACTCCGACGCCATGACCCATATCTTCGAGAAGCTGAAAACCTTGTGCGGGATGAGCTTCAAGCACTCGCGGTACACCTCGCGCGCGCGCTCGAGGTCGCCGGCTTCGAGCTCTTCGAACAACGCGTAATTGATCCACAGGTAGATGTACCTGCGCCAGAACTGCTTCGCCGTCGCGGGCGGGACGTTCGCGATCGCGCGCTCGTACACTTCCCTCGCCTTCTCGATCTCCCCGGCGTTCTCTTCCAGCCGCGTGTAATCGAACCACGCGTCGTAGTTGGTCGGATCTTTCCGCACTTCGTCCTCGTACTCAACGCGTTTCTTCCCGAGCACCGCGTCGTCGATCCCGGCTTCGTTCCCGTACTGCTTCTCGAACGTCATGAAGTTCTGGTACACCGCCTGCGCTTTCTCTTTCGGGAGGTTATCCAGCGCGTACTTGTATATCGCCCGCGCGCGCTCCGGCTCTTTGCACAGCTCCTCGAACTGCGCGAACTTGACGTACAACGCGTCCGCGTCCACCTCCCGCTCCACGCTCTCCACCGCCAGCTCGTACACCTCCCTGGCTTTCGCAACCTCGCGCTGCGACATCTCGAACTTCGCCCAGCGCACCCACGCTTTCACGCTCGGGTGGCACTGGACGTAGCGCTCGTAAATCTTCCGGACGCGGTCCCACTCTTTGTAGCGCGTCTCCATCTTGATGTACGCGTTCCAGCCGTTGTGGTCGGGCTCCCAGTTCATCCACCGCTCGAAGATCATCCGCGCGTTTTGGATCTGCCCCATCATCTCCTCCATGTGGATGTACTTGTACCAGAACTGATCCACGCGCGGGAGAAGCTTCACCGCGCGGTCCCACACGTTCCGCGCGTGGTTCACGAACTTGTGCGACATCTCCATCTCCGCGTATTTCAGCCAGAGCGAGTGCGATCGGTAATTGTGATCGAGCGCGCGCTCCCAGACCGACCTCGCGCGCGGGAAGTCCTTCTGCGACTCCTCCCATTTCGCGTACTTGACCCACACCGCCTCGTTCCAGTACACGCGGCGGATCAGGTCCTCGAACTCCTTGCGCTTCTTCAGGCGGTACTCCGCGAGCTCCTCCGCGTCTTGGATCTTCTGCTTCGGCGCCTTGTACGTCTCCTCCTGGCGCTCCTTCGCCTCGCGCACGATCTGTTCCGCGGTGATCTGCACTTGCGCGGACGTCTTGTTCTTCACCCTCGTCGGCTTGGGGTACTTCACCGCGGTCGCGGACTGGTGAAGCTTCGTCCCGAGCGGGCCCTCGCCGAAGCCGGACATGGCGACGATCGACGCTCCGCCGCCGCTGCGCGTCTTTCTGTTTCTTCGCTTCGAGAGCCGCCGGGCGCGGGCGGTCGACGATTCTTCCTCGCCGCCTGCGCGCGATCTCGCGCGTCGCGCGCGCGCGGAGCGATCGCGAGGCCCGGGGTTCGGGGGACGCGACCGCGGGGGGGGGGTCTGCGTCTTCGCGCGACCGGCGGTGGTGCGACGCCGGGGTTCGGTGCGCGCGAGTGTGGCGCGCCGCCGCGGTCGCGCGCGGTTTTTTCGCTCAAACGCAGCGGCTTGCCGTGCAGCAGTGCTGATGCGGGGACGACGACTTTCAGTTCCCCTCCCGCCTTTTTTCAAAGCACGTGTGAGCGCCACTTCCTCCCGCGCCGCCGCACGACGCCGCGCGCGTCGCGATGCCGAAGGTCAAGCTCCCGCGGACGATCCGCGACCTCGCGAAGAAGGCGAACGGCGACTGCGGGGAGGCGGCGCTCAGGCTCTTCCTGCACTACCGCGACGGGACCGGCGGCGTGGAGAAAAACGACGAGCTCTTTCGCCAGTGGCTCACGAGGGCCGCGGAGCTCGGAGACGCCAACGCGCAGTACAACCTCGGCCTGCGGCACTACATAGAACGTGATTACGACGCCGCGAGCGAGTGGTACTTGAAGGCTGCGGCGCAGAATCACACCGGCGCCATGAACTACCTCGGGTGGCTCTACTACGAAGGCCTCGGCGTGGAGAAAAACAAGGCGACGGCGGCTCAGTGGTTTCTGGGGGTCGCGTTGAAAGGTAACGCGGACGCCCAAAACAGGTACGAGGTTTATCTCCTCCACGATTTGCACGAGTACGTGGAGGCGATGAAGTGGTTCGAGAGAGCCGCGGAGCAAGGCCACTCGCTAGCGATGAGCAACATCGCGTTGAACTACTGCCTCGGCCAAGGCGTCGAGCCAGACGTCGTGAAAGCGCAGGAGTGGCTCACGAAAGCCGCCGAACATGGGGACGAAGGAGACAAGAAACAAGTGATGGAAATTAGGAAGACATTGAGGAGGCGCTGTCTAATCTACACGGTGAAAGTGTCCGGTTTGACGATGAGCCACGACGCTGTGGACGCGTTCGAGTCTGTCCCTCTTCTTGACCACGTCCCTGTCGACGACGTCGACATTACCCACGACCTCGCACTGTGTTTCCTCCACGGCAGGTGCGGCTTGGAGATGAACCTTCGCTTGGCGAAGGATTGGTTCAAGTTCGTCGTCGAGCGGTGCCCCGATAACACGGATGCGGCGGTGGAGCTCAAAAAGCTCCGGTTGTGCGTCACGTGCGGCAAGAAACGCGCGTGGGAAACGTGCAAGCTGTGCCGCAGCGTGAGGTACTGCGACAAGCGGTGCCAGCAACGCGACTGGAACCGCGGCGAGCCGCCGCACAAAGAAACGTGCCCGAGGGCGGTCACGATGATGCCGCGCGGGTGGAGAAAGAACCAAGAATGGTACAAAGGTGATTTGGGACTGGGTTCGATCTGACGGAAGAAACGGCAAGGCAAAACGAAGTGACGTGAGCGTGTGCGATGTATGAGCGTGCGTAACGAAACTAGACTACGTGAACTTTTCCTATCTACGACGTCACATCACCTTGCACACGACGACGTCCACGCCCGCGTCCCTCAGCGCGAGCAACCACGCGCGCTGCTGATCGCTCAGCCGGTCGTTCGCGCTCTTCACCTCGACGCACTTCACCTCCGCGCGCGCTCCCGCGCCGCTCCCGCGTCGCCGCCACAAGATCAAATCCGGCGCGCCGCCGACCCACCCCCGGCGATCCTCCGCGAGCAACCCCATCATCGACGCCAGCGCGTCGCGCCCGATCCCCTCCGCGACGTCGCACAGGTCATCCAGAGACATCAGCGTCCACGACACCCCCGCGATCGCCGCGCCGCGGTGCTCGCGCCACGCCGCGGACAGCCGCGTCCGCGCGGCGCCGCCGCGGATGTCGCGCAGCGCCGCCGCCAGCCGCGTCGCGCGCGCCGGCGCGAACGCGTCCGTGTCGAAATCCAACGGCGCGGACTGGAACGGCCCGCGGAACGTCCCGGGGACGCCGCCGCAGAAGATGACGTCCGCGAAGAGCAGACCGAACAGCGTCGTCCACAGCGACGTCTCGCAGTGCGCGCCGCGCCAGCCGCCGTTAGCGGCGACGGAATAATGCGCCAACGCGAGCGCCTCGACGGAGACGACGCACTCCCCGCCCACGGCGCCCTGAGGGCGCGAGAAGAGATCATCCTCGAGGCCGCCGTCGTCGTCGTCCTCCTCGACGACGTTCACGTACTTATTCTTCTCCCGCGCATCCGCGTTCATCGCGCGCGCGTCGATGCGCTCGACGGGGGCGTCCCAGTGCGCGTCCTCTCGCCACGCCGCGACGGCGACGCGCCAGTTTTTCGTCTTTTTCGCCAGCCGAGCCGCGCGCCTCAAAAGCGCGACGCGATCGCCGACGCGCACCCACGGGTCCGCGAGCGCGTGATCTAACATCTCGCTCGCGTCCGCGGGCTTCCCCAAGTGCGTGTTGAAGTTCGTGCTCGCGCGGTCGTACCACGCGCCGCGCTTCTCCGGGCAGACGTCGCCGCTCAGGAGGGACAACAGCGCCGTCGTCGCCGCCGCGTGCTCCCCCGCGCGTTCGAGGAGGCCCACCGCGGTCGTCGCCGTCCTCGCGCGAACGTGCGCGGGGTCGAACCTGCGCAGGTACGACGGCATCGTTTGCCGCCCGTCGACGTCGACGTCGTCGCGACGCGCGCGCGCGGGCGCCGCGCCGATGAGCAAGGGCGCCAGCGCGCGACGCGAGAGACGAAGCGCGCCGGCCTCGTCGCCGGCGTCGACGGCGGCGTCCACCGCCGCGGACTCCGCGACGGCATCCAGGTACGCGTCCAAGTCCGCTCTCGTCGCGAACAGCGGCGGGACGGAGGCGGCGGCGTCGTCGTCGTCCTTCTCGATCGGCGGCGGCTTCACGTACCGCACCATCCCCAGATCCTCCATCGACAGCTCGCCGACGTCGCTCGGGCGGCAATACGCGAGGAAGAGCGCCGTTCGAAACGCGCGCGTCAACGCGGGGGTCAGACGCACGACGGCGTCGTCCTCGCCGTCCTCGCCGTCCTCGCGCCGCACCGCTCGCCACGCGTCGACGACGCGCGCGGGCGCGACGGTGGAGAGCAGCTCGGAGACGAGCGACGCCTTCGACGCGCCGCCGCGTTTGCGTTCGGTCGCGGAGAAGACCCCGGGAGGCCCCGGGAGGAGTCTCTTCGCCGCCGCCGACAGCTGCGCGGGCGTCAACAGCCGCAGCCGGCCCTCCGCGTCCGCGATCGATTCGTCGTCGTCGCCGTCGACGTCGCCGCCGTCGTCACCGTTCACGAGCAGTCCGCGCTCCCACAGCTCGCGCAGTGCGGCGTCCGCGTCCGGGACCTCGCGGAACTTGCCTCGCAGCGACCGCGCTCTCGTCCACGTCATCTTCCGTCGCGACAGACGAATCGCGAGCGCTTGCGCGGGGGCTGAGCACAGCCTCAGGTCCTCGATGACGATCGCGTCGCGCGACGTGAGTAAACTCTGATTCTGATTCTGATTCCGACGAGAAGACTCGACGACGCCGTCGATTATCTCCCACAGGCGCGCGCGGAGCTTGTCCGGCAGCGCGTCGCTCGAGGACGCCGCCGCGGTCGCCGCCGCGCGCCACGACGCCGCCGCCTTCTCCGTGGCGGTCGCGTCGGCGGCGTTCGACGCGGTCGCGACGAGCTCGATCTCGACGTCGACGTCCTCGCCGCCGCCGTCCACGGCGTCGTTCATCGCGCATCTCACGACCCTCCCGGTCACCGTCACTAGCCCGGCGTCGATCAGCGGCGAGACGTGCGCGCTGACGACGCGCGGGACGTACCCGAGGCTCTCGCCGTCGACGGCGGCGTTTCCGTTTCCGTCAGCCTCGAAGCATCGCAGCGCGCGCGCGTCCGCGGGGTTGTCTCGCTCGCGAGCGATCGTCAGCGCCGCGCCGACGGGGGTCGTGAACGGTCTCATTTTCCTTCGCGGTCCCCGTCGCAGCGGCATCGATATCGGATCCAGAGTAGGAGGAGCGGCTGTTGGGGTGCCGCGATCGTCGTCGTCGGCTGGGTCACTGACGACGTTTGTGAGATCCGACGACGACGACGTCGTCGCGACGAGCGCCTCTGGTACCTTTTCGCCCTCGTACCCGCCCGTCGGCGTCCGCCATCGCTCGCCCAGGCGCGTGAAGACGACGCGCTCGGGCGCCGCGAGCGCGGGGGGGCGGTACATCGCCGCGGACGGCGGCTCCAGGACGGCGATGTGGGACGGCGATGTGGGCACCCCGGGATTATTTCGTCGGGGACGATCGATCCCCCCGCCGCCGCCGAAGAACCGCAGCGTGCGCTGGACCATCGGCAGCATTTCGGCGGCGGCGTCGACGACGGCATCCTCCTCAGCAGACGCCGCCGCCGCGCGCTTCTTTCCCCTCGCCATCGTCACCCTCCTCGAGCGAAGGGGACGACGGCGAGGCGGGAAGTGATGTTTGGCGGGAGGATTGGTTTTTTTGGCGAAAAAGGTTTGCTTTCGAGGCCATCCGCTCATGTCATGTAGAACCAGATCCGCGTTCCGCGTTCGATCGATCGATAGATCTATCGTTCGTTCGTTCGTTCGTTACAAGCGCGTTCTCTAGCTAGTCGTCACATTACTCTGGAGCGCCGTTCGCGCGCGCCCACTGGAGCACGTCCAGGTGGCCGCCTTCTGCGGCATCGCGGCAAGTCCTCTCGTCCCACGGAGCGCCGTTCGCGCGCGCCCACTGCAACACCTCCAGGTGGCCGTATTGCGCGGCGAGGGCGCAAGTATCCTCGTCCCACGGAGCGCCGTTCGCGCGCGCCCACTGCAACACCTCCAGTTGGCCGCGGAACGCGGCGTAGGCGCAAGTCTCCTCGTCCCACGGGCAGCCGTTTGCGCGCGCCCACTGCAGCACCTCCAGGTGGCCGCCTTCCGCGGCGTAGGCGCAAGTCTTCTCGTCCCACGGGCAGCCGTTCGCGCGCGCCCACTGCAGCACCTTCAGGTGACCGAATTCCGCGGCATTGGCGCAAGTCCACTCGTCCCAATGAGCGTCGTTCGCGCGAGCCCACTGCAACACCTCCAGGTCACCGTCTCCCGCGGCTAAGGCGCAAGCCTCGTCGCCGACCTCCTCCGGAGCGCCGTTCGCCCGCGCCCACTCCAGAACGTCCCAGTCCTTGGCCCACATGCAAGTACCCTTGTCCCACGGACAGGGAGGGTCGCTCGCGCGCGCCCACCGCAGCACCTCCAGGTGACCGAATTCCGCGGCCAAGGTGCAAGTCCACTCGTCCCACGGACAGGGAGGGTCGCTCGCGCGCGCCCACTGCAACACCTCCAGGTGGCCGCCAGCCGCGGCATTGCGGCAAGTGAACTCGTCCCACGGAGCGCCGTTCGCGCGCGCCCACTGCAGCACCTCTAGGTGGCCGCCCTCCGCGGCATAGGTGCAAGTATCCTCGTTCCACTGACATCCGTTCGTGCGCGCCCACTGAAGCACCTCCAGGTGGCCGCCTTTCGCGACTTTGGCGCAAATCTCGCTCTTGTCCTACGAAGCGCCGTTCGCGACCGCCCACTGCAGCACCTCCCAGTGACCGCGTGTCTCAGCATGTTGGCAAGTGTAGTGGTTCCACGGGCAGCGTTTCGCGCGCGCCCACTGCAGCACCTCCAGGTGGCCGCCAAACGCGGCTTCCTCGCAAGTCTCCTCGTCCCACGGGCAGCCGTTCGTGCGCGCCCATTTCAGCACCTCCAGGTGGCCGCCCTCCGCGGCTTTGCGGCAAGTCCACACGTTCCACGGGGCGCCGTTCGCGCGCGCCCACTGAAGCATCTCCAGGTGGCCGCCAAGCGCGGCTTCGGCGCAAGTCTCCCCGTCCCATGGAGCGTCGTTCGCTCGCGCCCACTGCAGCACGTGCAGGTGACCGTGTTTCGCGGCATTGACGCAAACCGACACGTCCCACGGACAGGGAGGGTCGCTCGCGCGCGCCCACTGCAGCACCTCTAGTTGACCGTTTTGCGCGGCGTAGGCGCAAGTCTTCTCGTCCCACTTAGCGCCGGTCGCGCGCGCCCACTGCAGCATATCCAGGTGGCCCCCATACGCGGCATCGGCGCAAATGCCCCTCCCCTCCCTCGTCCACATGAATGACCCTTCCCACGGAGCGCCGTTCGCGCGCGCCCACTGCAGCATCTTCAAGTGGCCGCTTTTCGCGGCATCGCGGCAAGTCTGCTCGTTCCACGGGCATCCTCGTTCCTTCGCCCACCTCGCGACCTCCACGTTCCCACCCCTCGTGATGCACGTGAACGTTCTCGAGTCCCACGGAAACCCTCGCTGATCCTTCGCCCACGCCAGCCTGCCGACCGACCCGACGAAGTTCGGCATCCTCCCGAGCTCCCTCCTCACCGCCGCGAGGTCCTTCACGTCGCCGACGGGCGAATCGAACACGACGTCGCGCAAACTCCGGCTCACCAGCGCGAGCATCGCGAGGTCGCCGCCGTCGAGCCGCGAGAGCACGTGCGCGTCGAAGACAACGCGCGCGTCCGCGGCGAATCGTTCCAAGCGCGAGCCCGCGGCGACATCTGGGGAAGTCGATCCGTCCCCCGAGATCTCGTCGACGTCCCCGCTGTTCATCCGCGGTGGAAGCGACGTCGCGTCGCGACGATCTCGGGGTGCGCGAGCACTTCGCGACGAGGCCGCCGCAGAGGCGGAGGAGGGAGAGGAGGAAGAGGACGCGCCCGTCGTCGCGCGCGAGGCGAGTGACGAGACGGGACGACTCGACGCGGGCGTTTCTATGCTGTTCGCGGGTCGCCCTTACGGGCACGTTGAAGGGCGCGCGCGTGGGCCGATTTGCCTTTCAAAATTTTCGCCCCTTGATCGTGAATCTCCGGTCAGCCTCGTTGAAAAATAATCATCGTTGAAAATGCGATGAAAATTTCCCCACCGGAAGGACGCGGTTTCAACGTTTTTTTACCCGACTAATTTGAAACTGGCGAAGGTGGCCAAACCTTTTCTTCGACGAGAACGACCACGGGGGCTCGATACCGATCCGATCGAGCTGATTTTTTTTGTGGATGTGAAGCCCGGCATGCAGAAGATGACGGGCATCGATGCAAAACGCAAAAAGGTTGTTGACGCGGACGCCATCGTTGGGGATCCCTTCCCCACGAATCCCCGTTTTTTTTCAGTGACATGCACCATGCTCGATTGACGCGACCACCACCGCCTCAAAACTGCTCCGATCGACCTGAAAATTTGTGGAGAGGTTCCTTACATCATATAGATGATGATCCCGATGTGTAATGCAAAAATGTGGCGCCACCAGGGATCGAACCAGGGACCTCCAGATCTTCAGTCTGGCGCTCTCCCAACTGAGCTATGGCACCTATGGGCATTTAGTCTGAGGTACCATTTCTGTACACGTACACGACGTACAGCTATGGCACCGGACTAGCCCATGAGGAACAGACTGACATCGCCGATTTCTCGGCGTGACGGTTGTGGTTCGGAATCTCGCATCGTTTCGCGAGCCTGTTTTCCGGATGAACTTCCTTGGAATTCTGGAAATATAAACCGTTAGGGTTAGCGTCCGAGCTGGAAGCCGATACGCCAATCACGTGCGCGCATTGCGCGCGTTTTACGAGCAGCGCTTTTCGGCAGCGCGACGACAGGAAGGATTAATTATTTTTGGTTTTCAAACGCCAGAGGGGCACGCGCGAAGGGGACGGACGTCGTGAGGGGGTCGTCTCCGTCGTCGTCGGAGGGAACGACGAGACGAGAAGCTCGCGCGCGGCTCAGGACTGCTCTTCGGTGGTGTCCTCGGGACGCGGAGGACGGGGACGTCGGCGACGCGTCGCCGAATCAAATCTTTTGGCAGCGGCACTGTAGTAGGCACCGCCCGAGAGGAGGAGATCTCATCACGCGTCGTCGCGGGACGTGACGACGTCCACCATCACGACCATCATGGCGGCGGAAAAGTCCACCACCGCGATGATGACGTCTGCGTTCACGCTTCTGCACGATAAGAACATGCTCGCGCCCGCCTCGGCCTCGTCGTGGTGCCCGACGATGGACCTCCTCGCGCTCGCGACGACGGACGGCCAGCTCTCGCTCGCGCGACTCGATTGGAACAAGCAAGGCGGCGAGCGCGAGAACAAGCTGTGGACGACGAACCCCGACAGCGCGGTCACCGCGCTCGGGTGGCGACCGGACGGCCGCGTCCTCGTCTCCGGGCACGCGGACGGGTCGATCCAGCTGTACCACGTCGAGGACGGGGAGATTTTACATCACTCGCGGCCGCACGCGGCGGCGGTGACGAGCCTACACTGGCAGGACGCGCCGGCGTCGGACGCGACGCGCTCGAGCGCGGCGTACCAGTCCGTCGTCAGCCGGTTCGCGCTGCCGACGACGACGACGAAAAGCGGCGGCGCGGGGAGGGGAGGGGGACTCGCCGGCGCGAAGGGGAAGGAAGGCGGCGGCGGCGGCGCGGGGTCGAGGACGTTGTTCGACCACTTCAATCCCCCCGCGAAGCTCTCCGTCCTCGTCGGCGGCGACGCGCGAGGGGTCGTGACCATGTCCGCGCACGGGGTGTTCCCGATCGGCGTCGCGGACGTCGCCGCCGCGGGATTGGGGATGTTAGGGGGGTTCTTCGGCGAAGGGGAAGGACTGGTGGAGTCGTCGTCGTCGTCGTCGTTCAGCGTGCAACACGCGTCGTTGTCGCCGGACATGGCCCGGGTGCTCGTCGCGTTCACCGCGGCCCCGTCGTCGTCGTCGTCCTCCTCCTCCTCCGCCGCGTTCGTGGCGACCGCGGCCGCGCCGCTGCTCGCCGCGCGGTCCAGAGAGATGTGCGAGATCGCGTCGCACGGGTCGCAGTGCGTCAAGCTCGCGAACGAGTCGTGCGCGGAGATCGACGCCGCGTCGACGGCGTGGTCGAAAGCTTTCGGGGACTTTTCGTCGAAAATGCGCGCGCTGCGAGAGCGCCTCGCGACGCACTGGCGGCACTCGGACGAGTTCGATCCCGCGGAACCGACGCCGCCGAGCGTGGAGGAGCACTTCCTGTCGCTGCTCGCGACCGGGACGGTGAACGACGCGATGGAGGAGTTTTTCACGCACGAGTTTCAACCGAGCGCGGCGCGGCGAGTGGCGAAAACCGTCGACGCCGCCGCGAACGCCGCGCACGCCGCGCTCCTGGAGACGATCCTCCCCACCGCGGAGGCGGCCGTCCTGAGGCTTGCCGAGCTCCAGGCGCTCGCGAGGTGGAGAGAGCGCGTCTCCGCGGTCGGCCTCAGCGAAGTCGCCGTCGACGCCGCGCTCGACGCGGCGGAGAGGCACTGCCTCGCCGCGGGCGTCGCGATTCGCGCCGCCACCGCGCACGCGGCGCGGCTGCGCGCGTTCTTCGTCCTCATCCTCCGCACGCAGCGGGTCATCATGGGCGAGAACCCGGACGGCGGCGGCGAGGACGACGACGCGAACGCGCTGCCGGCGCTGAACCCGGGGTTACTCCGGGAGTTATTCCGCGACGGCGTCGACGCGGACGCGCTCGGCGCGCACTTGAAACCTCCCTCTCCTCCTCCTCCCTCCGCGGCGGCGGCCGATCGGGACGACGCCCAGGACGCCGCCGAGCGGCTCCGTCGCGGGAGGCTCGACCGAGGCGACGACGATGACCACCGGGACCGGGAGGACGCGGAGACGGACGCGCGATCGAAGACCGCGGCGGCGCGGGACGCGTTCCTCGCCGCCGTCCGCGGCGCCGCCGCCGCGGCGGGGTTCGGCGGCGAAGACGCCGCGTCCGCGTCAGGTGCGTTCAACAAAAGTTTTTCACCCATTGTCCGGTTTCAACATTTGATCGCGTCTCCTTTCAACTGACCGGTGAACTTTTTTTGTATGGAATGGCCCTCACAGATCGGCGGCAGCGCGTGCCGCCGCTGTGGAGCGCCGCCGCGGAGCTCAGAGGCGCGTGCGTCGCCGCGCTCGACGGCCCGGCCGCGGCGATGTCCGCGTCGCTGCGATTCGGCCCCGCGTTCGCGGTCGTCGCGTCCGGCGTCGACGCCGCCGGCGCGGCGGCGCCGCCGAAGATTTCGCACGGGGGGTGGTCCGACGACGGCGACGCGGAGACGCTCGTATTCCACGCCGGCGGCGACGTCGTCCAGGATGGCGAAGAAGAATCGCGACAAAAACAACAACGTCAGCACGTCGGGACGCTCACCTTGCGCCGCGGCGTCCCCGAGCGCGCGATGTCGCTGCGGGTGGAGGAGGGCCGAGAAGTCGTCGACGCGCGCGCGTACACGGAGGGTCGCGTGCTGGTGTTGACGCAGCCCGCGGGGGGCGACGACGCGGCGCCGGGCGCGGCCGCGGCGTCCGCGGCGATGATCGACCCGTCCGAGCTCCCCGGCGGCGGCGAGGGCGCGAGCGTGGAGGCGGGAGGCGGCACGGTCGCGAGGCCCCGGCCGCCGCCGGGGTGCGTCCCGGAGGCGGGGGTGTTGGACGCGTCGGCGGCGAGGGCGCGGCGGCTCCCGGGGCTGGTCGCGACCGCGCCGCTCGCGGTCGGTCCCGCGAAGGGGCTCGCCGCGGTGCTGGTCGGGTCGCGGCGGATCGTGTTGTTGGACCTGGAGGAGGACGAGTGCGACGAGGATGACGACGAGGAGGAGGAGTAAGTTAGCGACGCGCGCGTGAACCGACGAAAGGGATACGAAAAGGCTCGAAATCACTGCTGCCTGGCAGTGCTGTTCGTGACGCCGACGTCGAATCGGACGTCGATTACATAATGCGCCGCGCCCTTCTGCAGATCGCACGCGCACACCCCACGCGCGCCTCTTTCCTCCCCCCCGCTCTCCTCTCTCAAACGCGCAAGATGCCCACCATCGTCGACGGCGTCGACTTCGCGCACGTCGCTCGCGAGTGGCGCTGCAAGTGGGACACCGCGGACGACAAGGCGTCGCTCGCGGCGTGCCAAAAAGCGCTCGCGACCAAGCTCGACGCGATCAAGGCCGTCCCGGGCGTCGTCTCCGTCCAGCGCGTCGTCTGCGGCGGGTGCCAGGACTTCAAGGTCATCGCGAAGCTCGAGGCGGCGAAGTTCGCGGACTGGGAGGCGGCCGCGTTCGCCCCGGAGGCGGAATTCCTGAAGGAGGTGGAGGCGATCCCGGGAGTTAAAAAGGTGGAGACGCAGACCTTCACGCTGGAGGACCTGTGATGCGACTGGATGCGATGCGATGCGCGAGGACGCGCGAGCGGACGCGCGGTGGGCGGTCTGGCGACGATCAGACGGACGTCGCGACGTCGGCGTCGGCCCGCGTTCGGCGCGGTCGAGCGCCGGGCGCGCGATGCGCGCCTCGCGCGCTCTTATTCGTCGAGAGCGGATTTTTTTGCCGCGAAACAGGTCTACTTGTGAGTAAGAAATACGCCTCCGCGACCATCGCGCGACGACGCCACACCTCGCCGCCGCCCACCATGGCGTCCACGCTCGCGTTCCATCCCGCGCTCGCCGCCGCGTCCGCGCCCCGCGCGCGGTCCCGCCGCGCCAGCGACCCGTCGCGCGCGACGCTTCGCTCGCGGGCGCCGCCGAAACGAACAACAAGATCATCCACCGTCGGCACGTCCGCTTCCTCCTCCTCCTCCTCCTCCTCCTCCGTCGCGGTCGCGGACGACGACACGGACGCGATCGACGGCGTCGTCCCCGCGTTCGGCCCCGGGTCGCCGCCGTGGCCGGTCGTCCACGCGGAGCTCAAGGCTGCGACGAGAGGAACGGTGCGGACGATATCCCCGGAGGAGGCGAAGCGAATGATCGACGCCGGAGGCGCCGCGCTCGCGGACGTCCGACCCAGGATCGAGCACGAGGAGTTCCGCCCCGGCGCCGCCGCGGACGACGACGCCGCCGCGACGTCGACGTCTTCTTCGTCGACGTCTTCTTCGTCGAGCGCGAAATACGTCGTGAACGTGCCGTACATGGTCCCGCATCGGAGCGTCGCCAAGCGGTGGCAAGGGTACATGCTCTGCACGAAGGACGGCTTGAAGGAGCGAGACCCGACGTTCACGCGTTCGTTCGCGGCGGCGTTCCCGGACAAGTCCGCGCCGATCGTCGTCGCGTGCAAGTCCGGCGGGGACATCTCGCAGGAGCCGATCACGATCGATCCGACGACGAAGCGGCAGGTCATCCCGAAGGGGAGCTCGCAGTACACGGACAAGAGCAAGTCGCTGTCGTTGTACGCGATTTACGAGCTTCAACAAGCCGGGTACACGAACTTGTATCACCTCGACGGCGGCGTCACGGAGTGGTGCGTGAGAGGGTGCGAACACGTGGGCGACCCGTTCAAGTTTTACTTTCACCCGACGATCCTGCCCGGGATCTTGTTTCAGCTGATCGCCGTGGAGGGCATCGTCGTGCGGTCGAACATGGCCTACGTCAAGAAGTTCCACCCGGAGACGTTCGACAAGATCAACGAAGGGAACGCGTTGTACGCGGCGGTGAACGACTTCATGGCGAACTCGCCGATCAACTGGATGTTCGATTATTACAACTGACGACGCGATGCGGCAGAGTCGCGCGGAAGTACACTACTTGTACTTCCGTGCGCGCACTTACAGTAGTACTTTCTCTCATAGATGGTGACGACGACGATCTCGCCGCGCCCCGCCGCCGCCGCCTCTTCACCCGCACACGACGGCGGTCTTCCGCGCCTTGGCGATGATCGTCCCCACGAGCGCGTTCACGTTCGTGTTGGCGTTGTAAAAGTTCCGCATCACGGTCACGCTGTGATCGAGCGCGACGGCGTAGTGCCACCACCCTCTTGGACACAAGACGACCTCCCCCGGGTGCACCACGAACACGACCGGTCGCGCGTCCTCGAAATACGCCCGCCGCTGCTTCCGCAACGCCTCCGGCGGCGCCAGCGGATCGATCGCGGACTGCACGGTCTCCACCTCGCCGTCGATCGGAAACAACGCCGCCGCGTCGTCGGGCGGGAAACACACGAACAGCTTGCGACCGACAGCCTGACCGAGCCACGCGTGCGCGTCCCCGGCGTCCTGATGCAGCCGCGTGATGGTCGCGCACGGACCCACGAATAACTTCGTCAGCGACGCGTCCAAAGAGTCCACGACCGCGGACGCGGCGTCGTCGCTCGCGCTCGGCAGCAGCTTCTTGTACGTCTCGAGCGTGATCAGCCGCGTGTGGTCGATCTCGGACGTGAAGTACGGGAGCGGGAACGCGGTCGCGAGCGCGGCGTCGTCGGAGAGCGCGTCGATCTTCGCGGCGTCGTCGGTCTTCTTCGCGAGCGTCGACCTTTCAAACGCGCGCCAGCCGTTGGCGTAGAACGGCGCGTCGGCGGCGGCGAGCGCGGCGACGTCGTCGCACCCCGGGCGCGCGCGCGCGTATTGCAAGTAGTCCTCGAGCGGCAGCGCGCAGCTGCGCTGCGGCCCGCCCCAGGACCCGAGCACGGCGCCGTTCGCGCGCGCCGCCGCAGATTGCTCGACGGCGGTTTTTTTTTCCCTCGAGTCGGCGCGTCTCGCGGGCGCGCGGTCGTTGCACACCACGTGACGCGCGCCGTACCTCTTCGCGAGGCCGTCGAACCCCCACTCCATCCCGATCGTCCAGTCCCTGCCGCCGTCGGTCACGACCACGGGCTCGCCGACTTTCGCGCCCGTTCTCGCGTCCGGGGTCTCGAGGTATCTCTCGCAGACGACGGCCGGGTTGAGATTCGCGACTCGCGTCGCCTCGCGCGCGTTCGGATGCGCGCGCAGCAGCGCGGCGACGACCGCGTCCGCGGTGATCTCCCCGTCGCCGTTCGCGGCCGCCGCGTCGCGCTTGACGTGCGATGCGAATCGCACGAACGACGCGTACTCGGACGTCTTCCGGTTCGGCGGCGGCGGCGTCGCGAGCCGCGACGCGCGCGACGCCTCGCCTCCCCCCGCGACGATCGGGGGATCCGGCAGCCGCAGCATCGCGCGCGACGCCCGCGTCTGGAGCTCTTCGAAGCTGCAGTCCAACGACGCGGGCGTCGCGAGTCGCGACGCGCCCTTCTCGCGCCCCGCGACGTTCGGGTCGCCGATCGCGCGGCCCCATCCCATGCCTTCCAGGAGCTGCACGACGTCGATCTCGGGAAACGCGCCTCCGTCGCGGTAGTGACGAGATTCCGTCGGTCGCCACGCGACGCCGCCGCCGCGCTCGCCGTACCGCGGCGGCGACGACGCCGGCGGCGGCGGCGGCGCGGGCGCGCGCGGCGAGATGTGCGTCCCCGCGAGGAGGTCGCGGAGGTTAGACGACGTCACGTGCGTCATGTCGGGGCGGGCGGGTGTGGTCGGACGTCCTCGGAAGCGACAGGACGTCGTAACCGCTGAGCTGCTTGCGTGACTCAGAAGTTCGACACGCCCCGAGATCTCGTCCCCGTCTTGTCACTCGCCTCGCGCGCGACGACGGCGCATCCTCTTCCTCCTCCTCCGCGGTCTCGTCGTAAAGTGTTCGCGAAACCCGCGATCGACGCGACGCGATGTCGTCTCCAAAGCGGATGAAACGCGGCGTCGACGACGATGTCGCGGGGGACGGTTCGACTTCCCCAAATCTCGACGACGCCCCGCTCTTGGAACGACCCGCCGCGGACGCGCGCACGCGCGATGTCGTAGACGACGACGACGACGACGACGGCAGATCCATCGACGACCTGCGGCGGGAGAACGCCGACCTACGGCGGGCGAACGCCGCGCTTGAGGAGGAGCTCCGATCGCTGCGCGAAGCCGCGCGCTCGCCGTCACTCCTGGAGCGATTCGCCGCGGACGCGAACGTCACCGAGCACGTGCTCTCGCGGCTTGACGGCGGCGACCTCGCGATGCTCGCGCTGGTGAGCCGGAGTATGCGCGACGTCGTCTTCACGTCGTCCGTCGAGCATGACGTGAGGGATGTCCCGGCGGTGAGGAGGGAGCTCGAGAGGATGCCGAACTTCGTCGGGTCGGTCAGCAGGTTGGCGTGGGCGAAGGAGCGAGGGTGTCCGTGGGACGCGAGGATTTGCCGCGAAGCCGCGGAAGGCGGCCACCTGGAGGTGCTGCAGTGGGCGCGCGCGAACGGCGCTCCGTGGGACAAGTGGACTTGCGCCGAAGCCGCGAGTGGCGGCCACCTGGAGGTGCTGCAGTGGGCGCGCGCGAACGGCTGCCCGTGGGACGACTGGACTTGCATCTATGCCGCGAAAGGCGGTCACCTTGAGGTGCTTCAGTGGGCGCGCGCGAGCGACCCTCCCTGTCCGTGGGACTCGATTACTTGCACCTATGCCGCGAAAGGCGGCCACCTGGAGGTGCTGCAGTGGGCGCGCGCGAACGGCGCTCCGTGGGACATGTGGACTTGCCGAAAAGCAGCGAAATACGGTCACCTGGAGGTGCTGCAGTGGGCGCGCGCGAACGGCGCTCCGTGGGACGCGAGGATTTGCCACGAAGCCGCGGTATACGGCCACCTGGAGGTGCTGCAGTGGGCGCGCGCGAACGGCGCTCCGTGGGACATGTGGACTTGCCGCGTAGCCTCGTTAGGCGGCCACCTGGAGGTGCTGCAGTGGGCGCGCGCGAACGGATGTCCGGAGTTTGACGATGACAGCGCGCGCGCGAACGGATGTCCGGAGTCAGACCCAGACCGAATCAGTTTTGATAGCGAATTCTTACGAACGCACTGCTTTTCTGACAATGACAGTACTGACAGCGAAGATGACGATGACAGTGTTGACAGCGAAGATGACGATGACAGTGTTGACAGCGAAGATGACGACGACAGTGTTGACAGTGAAGATGACGACGACAGTGTTGACAGTAGCACGCCCGGGCGGTGACGCGGCGGTGGAACGAGCGTCACCGCGGCGGCGACCCGCGTAGGAGAGTGAAGACGAGAAGAGTTCAATCGAACACGACGCACGACAGCACGAGCACGACGCGCACGACAGCACGAGCATCTCCATGATCCGAGCCCGACGACGAGGCGTACGGTAGAGACTCTCGTGACGCGAACTTTGAAAATGCATTCTTTTTACAAAACGTGCCCGTCCCGCGCTCGTCCGCGTTCGCTCCCGACACATAATACACTCGTGCGCACTGTACACGACGGCTCCTCATCACTTCGCCGCGCAGCACGCCGACGCGCCGTCCTCCTTGCTCCCCGCGACGTCCGGCGGCGGCAGATCGTTCCCCGGGTTCCCCTGAAAGAACCCGTCGGGCTTGAAAGAGAACCCGACGTGCTCCGCGTTCATGCACGGAAAATCCTCCGGCCTCGGGACGTGCGCGACGCCGAACGCGTGCCACAAGACGACGTCCTCGCCCTCGCCCTCGTCCCCCAACAACGATCTGTCGTCCTTCGTCCACGCGGGAAGACCCTGCCCCGCCGCGCCCTGCGGCGTGAACTCGCCCGCGGGAAACCGCTCGTCGTCGCGGTGCGGCGTGACCCACAGATTTTTCGTCGCGAACGCGCCCTTGGTCGCCACCGCGCACGCGCCGCCCGTCAGCAACGTCGGCTGCGCCGGCCCGCGCGTGAACGGCACGAGCTTGTACCCGACGGGCTTGCGCGTGATCGGGTTCATCACCGCGGGGTTTGAGACGCGCCACGTCCGCGCCTTGGTCTGGTCGCAGACGCGCGCGGCGGTCTTCTCCGTCGCGAGCCGCGTGGCGACGGGGCCGAACGCGTTGGCGAAGGGATCGTCGACGCCCGCTGCTTTCCCGACGCACCCGGTGAGGAGGTCCACCTCCTCGACGACGTTCTTCGCGCCGTCGACACCGACGTCGAGCCTCGCACAGAACATGTGCTGATGCACCTGCGCGTTCACTCCCGGCGCGACGAGGATGCCGTGCTTCGGCGCGCCGTCGCCGCCGCCGTCGCCGCCGTCCTCCGCGGCGCGCTCCCCCGCGGAGAGAAGATTCGTGGACAGCATCCCGGAGAGCTTGATCTCGTACTCCATGCTGCCGTCCTGGTTGAAGTACCAGTAGAACAGGTACTCGTAGTTCACCACGGTCGCGACGAAGGAGACCACGAGCTTGCGCGCGCGCCTCGCCTCGTTGTGCCCGTTGCGATACTCCACGTGTTTCCATAGCACGCCCGCGTCCTCCTCGTGCAGGCAAATCGCCTTCTTCGTGACGTACGGCTCGCCCTTGCTGTTCGCCATCGTGACGTCGAAGTAGCGGATGTGCCCGAGGCAGTCGCACCCGAGCTCGAGCGAATCCGCGCAGTACCCGAGCCCGTAATCGCCGACGTCGAACGCGCACTTGCGCTCGAACGGCGGGTTCGGATCGGCGTACGGCACCGCCATCTCCACCAGAGACGCGCGCTTCACGACACCGCGGCCGTCGTACGCGACGTCGTGGATCACGAGGCCTTCGCGGTAGTTGAACCCCAGGCGCATCGACCACTTATCCCAGGTCACGACCCTGCCGCGATCGTCGCTCACGACGAAGTTTGGGCCGTCGGGCTGGACGACGTGGAGCGGCTTCGACGGCGGCCGGTGCGTCGTCGCGAGGTACGCGTTGGTCGAGAGCGACGCGCGGTGATAGTTGACGTTGTTCTTGAACGCGATCTTCGGCGGCGTCGCGCCGGGCTGCCTCGAGACGTGGATCACCTTGCGCGCGTTGAGGTCCACCACGGGGAGGAGGTCGATCGGCTTCGCGTACTGGTTGTCCGCCTCGGAGTTTCGCCAGTAGAGGAAGCACTGGATGAGTCGCGCCGCGCCGCCGTCGTCGCGCCATCGCAGCGGCTCGAAGTCCGGCGTCGCGACGTGGACGCTCCACGGGTCGCAGACGAGGCACTCCGCGAAGTCCGCGGGGTCGACGCCGTAGCGTTCGACGAGCTCCGCGCGCACGGCGTCGTCGCCCTTGACGATCTCCTCCGCGAGGAAGCAGTCGTCCGGGCTGAACATCGGCTGGCAGTCCGCGGGGATGCGTTCTCTCGACGCGACCGAGGCGACCGAGGCGGCCGAGGCGGCGTCGTCGCCGCCGCCGCCGGGCAGATCGACGACGAAGACGAACGACGCGAGCTTCGCGACGATCGTGACGAGAACCTCCGCCTGGCGCTTGGGTTTCGCGCCGTCGCCGGCGACGAACGCGGTCATCTCGCGCTTCGGAGGCTCTCGGAGGGTGACGTAAGAGAAGCGGATCTCCGATTCTTCGTCGTCGCCCGCGTCCTCCGCGAGCGCGGTCTTGACGGCGGACGTCGCGAGCGCGATCTCCGCGGCGTCGAGGTCGTCGAGTGGATGCGTGGAGGTGGTCATCGCGGCGGACGCGAGGGTCGTGCGGGCGCGGGGGGGGGCGCGGATGCTGTGCGGGAGCGGTCGCGGCGTTTCGACGAAAAGCGCGACTTTTCGCGCGAAAAGTCGCGGGCGAGCAGAGATCCGGAGATGTGACGTCACGTGCGTCCCTCGGTTTCAACATTTGATCGTGTTCCCTTTCAACTGACCGATGAATTAAATCTCCTCGAACGAAACTCAAAGCTGCGGTGACGACAATGACGGCGAAAACCTCGAGGGTTAGGGCAAATGCGCGTCGCGGGTGCCGCTCGCTCCTCCTCAGAGCGCGGCGAGCACCGCACGGCGAGCGGACCGCAGCGATGACCGTGACGTCGTCCCTCCTCGCGTGCTCCGCGAGGGCGACGCGGCGCGTCCGCCTCGCGCGGTGCGTCGCCGCGTTCCCCGCGGCGCGTCCTCCCCCGACGCCCGCGCCGACGCCGGCGGCGACGCGGAGGAAATGCTGCGCCCTCGTTCGCTGGGCGACGTCCGCGCGCGCGACGACGCGCCGCGGCGTCGTCTCTCGCGCAGGCGCCGCGCCCGGAGACGCCGCGGACGACAAGACGAGCCGCGTGCGCGGCGCGCCGTCGCAGTACCCGGAGTACTACCTCGACATGGGCCCGCGCATTCGCAAGGTGTACCCCGACGACCCGAGCTTTGAGCCCGCGGACTGGGACGTCATCTGCGACGTGCGCTCGCCGTCCGAGTGGGCGGAGGACCACGTCCCGCTCAGCATCAGCGCCCCGGTCCTGGACGACGACGAGCGCGCGAGGGTGGGGACGATATACAAGCGAGAGAGCCCGTTCCTCGCGAAGAAGGTGGGCGCGTCGCTCGTGGCGAAAAATCTGTCGAAGATCATCGACGCGCACTTCGCCCACAGAGAGAAGGACACGAAGGTGCTCGTGTACTGCTGGCGCGGCGGCGAGCGAAGCCTCTCGCTCGCGCACGTCTTATCGCGGATCGGGTTCACGGTCGGGATCGTCCCGGGCGGGTACAAGCGCTACCGCGCCGGCGTGCTCGAGTTTCTACGCTCGATGGACGGGTTCCGATACCATCTCGTCGCGGGGAAAACCGGGTGCGCGAAGGGGAAGATGCTCGAGACGCTCGAGGCGCAGGGCGCGCAGGTGTTGGACTTGGAGGTCATGGCGCAGCACCGCGGGAGCGTTCTGGGCGAAGACCCGGAGACGAAATTTTCGCAGCCGTCGCAGAAGGCGTTCGACACGAGGCTGTGGGAGAAGGCGAGGACGTTTGACCGGACGCGGCCCATCTTCGTCGAGGGCGAGAGCTCGATGATCGGCAAGGTGCAGATCCCGAAGAATACGTGGAAAGGAATGCGCGCGGGGACCGTGACGCTGTTGGAGGTTCCGATGGCGTCCAGGGTGAAGTGGATCCGCGCCGGGTACAAGCACTTCGAGACGACGGAGGTGCCGCGTCTGATCGAGAAACTCAACGTGCTGGTTCAAAAAGTCGGACGGAAAAAAGTCGAGGAGTGGGAGGAGATGGTCGCCGCCGAGCGATGGGATGAGTTCGTGGAGGACATCTTGGTGAACCACTACGACAGCGCGTACGGCGAGGCGGCGAAACGGAGCGGGCGCGACGACGCCGCCGCGGAGTTTCTGATGCTTCCGGACACGGAGGACGAGACGTACGCCGCCGCCGCCGCGGAGCTGATTCGGAAATACGACGTCAGCGTTCCCGCGGCGGAGGCGGAGGCGGTGGAGACGGAGACGGAGACGGAGGCGGAGGCGGCGAGCGCGCCGGCGAGGTGACTTCAGGAGGCGTGCGCGCGCGCTAGTGTTCGGTGGTGATGTTTCGATTCGTTCGTGTTTCCTCACAACGAGGGCGCGAAACGCCGCGGCTGCTAATCAGCTAATCAGCTCGCGAGCTCTGTCGCCTTCAATTCGTCCAAACCCCCGCGCCCGCGCGCGTCTCAATCGTCTCCCATCTCGAGCTCGTTCGCGGGGATCATCCCCGGGATCGCCTCGATCTTCGCCCGCTCCGCCGTCTGCCTCGCCGCCTGCTCCTCCGCGAACATCGCGCTGTTGTCCGTGGACTTGAACTGCTTCGTCTGCACCAAAAAATCCCGAAGGTGATTCTTGAACATCGTCAGGTCCGTCTTGTAATCGAACATCCCTTGGACGAGCACGGCCGCCTCCGCGGGCCCCATGTTCGGGAACGACGTCGTGAGCAGCTTCGCGACGTGGTCCTTCACGAACGCGGCGTTGTTCGGGTACGTCCCCGCGCTTGCGTCCCACAGCGGCGCGGTGAGCTCGTTGCTCTCCGCGACGCAAAACAAATTTTGAAGGATCAACGCGTGGAGCTTGAACCCGGGCTTGTGGAACCCGTCCGTCATGACCGCGAAGATCTCCTGAATCAGAGAGAGGTAGAAGCTCTGGTGGAACTGGTTGCAAAACTCCGAGCTCTGGAAGTACTTCATCATCTCCAGCAGAAGGTTCAGCCCCGTCTCCGCGATGTTCCGCTCCGTGTGCCGAAACGCCCACACGATCGAGTCCACGACGAGCTTGAGCTGCGCGGGCGCGAGCGTGAACAACGCGCGGAAGCAGTGGTTCGTGATCGCCCTGAGCAGCGCGAAAAACTTCAGTCGGTGGTCCGGGTAGTCCTCGAAGTTCGCGGTGATCATCTGCAGCGTGCACTCGAAGACGGCTTCGAATATTTTAGGCACCTCGTCCAACATGGCGCCCTGCACCTTGTTGATGATGGCGGCGAACAACGACAAAACCTCCGCGTCTCTCGCGTCCGGGACGTTCCGCGCGTAATCGCCCAGCACGGGGTCCATCATCTGCGGAACCATCTGCTGCGCGACCAAGTGCGGGTCCTCGCACCGCTCCACGAACGTCTCCACGAGCCTCAGCACCTCTCTCTTCACCGTTCGCATCGCCTTCACCAGCGACGTCTTCGACGCGTACGGACCGCCCTCCGCGATGGAGGCGCTGATGAGCTCCGAGTACAGACGGTACACGTTGAGCACGTCGGCGTAGATGTTGCTCATCTGGTTCTGGAACGGCTGCCCTAAGGACGTGCACGCGGACGTGTTCGTCTTGAGAATGTTCGCGATGTTTTTAATCACCTCCTGCGGCTTGAGGCACTCGCTGCCTTGCGACTTCGCCTGCGACATGATCTGGTTCCACGTCGTGTTCGGCGGGTCCATGAGGCGCTGCACGAGCTCCTCCCTCTTCGCCGGGTTCACCTCCGAGGAGATCATGTGCCCGACAGCCTCGTAGAACGTGTGGATCTGGTGCGGCTCGAGATCGCGAATTGTCGTCCCGATCGATCGCAAGAGTTCGTCCACGAACGGCTCGTGCTCGCCGACTTGCATGATGACAAACTTGCGCTTGCACTTGATCGCGATCTTCAGAAACGTGTCGCACGCCATGTCCTGCACCCCCGGGTGCGTCTCGTGCATGAACTCGAACAGCTTGTTCACCACCGTCTTCAAAAACTTCCAGTGCAGGCGGAGAAACCGCGGGTACTGTCCGACGACGTACATGATGTTCGACGCGATGACCGCCTTGTGGTCCTTCCCTCTCGTGATCTCGCACAAGTTTAACAGGTCGCGAATCGCGGTGACGAGGAACCGGTTCTCTTGGTCCTCCGCCATGGATCCGGATATGGACCCGATCGCCCAGCACAGCGTGTTGAGGACGTTCCACGAGTACTCCTTCCCGTTGAGCTGGTTGGACAGCTTCTCGAGCATCTGCGTCTCGGTGTCCTTGTGGTCCAGGTGCGCGAGATAGATGAGCGTCTCTCTCATGATCTTGTACTGCACGAGCACGTCGTTGTCCTTCAGCGTCTCGCGGACGATGTTCCCGTTCTCGTCCTCGACGATCAACACCTCCTCGGGCTTCGCCATCCTCGACACCATGAGCATCCTGAGCTGCGACATGGAGGAGGAGTAGAGCATGCGTCGGGTGGAGCCGCCGGCGCCGCCGCCGGCGCTCGCGGGGGCGAAGGAAAACTCCGCGAGACCGCTCCCGGCGTTGACGCCGTCGCCGTCGCTCTGGTACAAGTCGCACACGAGGACGTGCCAGTAATCGAGGCACACCTTGAACACCTCCGGCTCGTCCGTGTACGAGATGTTGAGCAGATACTCGAGGCCGACGAGAAGCAGCTGCTGGTGCTCTTGCGTCTTCTCCAGGAGCGTGATGTGCTGCTTGAAAAACTGCGTGAGGAAGATGGCGAGGTTCTGGATGTACGCCTGCTCCTCGTCGCTTCCGTTCGCGTACGCCTCCGCGATCTTCACGCTCCTCGGCAAAATCTGCTGCAGCTGCGTGATGACCGAGACGTACAGCTTGACGAAGTGTTGGTCGTACTTTGGCTCCACCGCCAAGCCGCCAATCTCCGCGAGGCACTGAATCGCGACGTTCCGAAAGTCCGGGCTCGGGGACAACCGCAGCAGCGTGTCCAGCAGCGTGCTCTCGAAGATGTACCCGAGCGGGATCCAGGACAGGAACGCGTGCAGCGTGAGCAGCGTCTTCTGCACGAGCTCCGTCTTCCTCGAGTGCGTCAACACGAATTCGCACAGCTCGTGGATGAGCGGAAAGTCCGTGTTCAGCGCGTTCTTCAGCTCCATGATCTTCGCCTGCGTGAGCTCGCCTCTGGAGAAATCGAACACCTCCTCGGATAACAGCCGCAGGATGCTCATGCAGTTCTCGCACAGGGACTCGCTCTGTTTCGCGGCGCCGACGAGGTCGCCGACGAAGCTCCCCCACCGCTGCGGCCAGTCGTGTTTCAAGATCTGCACGAGGACGTTGTTGATCTTGTTGATGAACGCGCGGTCGCGACGGAAGCTCGCCTCGTCCGTGCTGAGCTTGATGATCAAGTTAGAGATGAAGTTCTTGATCCCCTCGCGCTGATCGTCCGGCAGCGCGTTCCAGCGGTATTTAATCACGCCGTCTAGCACCTGCAGCGCGAAAAACTTCGTGTTCGGGTTGGCGCTGCGCTCCAAGATGGCGTCCGCGCGCGTCCACATCATCTCGTGCTCTTGCAGGCCCGTCATGATCTTCTCCGCTTCCGCGCGCTGAGGGTGATTCAGGGACGGAACGGCGGGGACGGCGTCAGCGCGAGCGAGATCTGAGCGAGGAATCGAGGAGGGTAAACGATCGCGAGGAGAGCGAGCGAACGCGGGACGCGGCCGCGACGACGACGCGGTCGTCGCGCGCGCGGGTTGGGGCGCACCGTGACCGGGTCTCCCCCGGGGGTGTAGAACGCGCCGACGACGGTGTCGAGCATCCCGACGTCGAACTCCTGGCTGAAATCCAGGAGTCGCTCCGCGCCGGGGAACGCCATCGCGCGCGCGTCCCTCGCGTCCGCCCTTGCGGATGAAGACAAAGGAAGACGCGGACCGCTTTACTTTATTTCAAAAGCCCCTCCGCGTCCGCGACGACGTGAGGTCTCCGATCGCGCGCGCGGTCGAGTCCCGCGACGCGTAGATCGACGATCGGCGCCACCGACGAACGTTCGCGCGCAGTCGCGTCCGGCGTGCGTCGCCGCGCGTCTCGGACTGCCGATCGCGCGAGCGGACGCCGTGCCCCCGCCGCGAGAAGATGGCACCCGACCGCACACAACGGTCGAGCGACAATCGGAATTTCGAGAATCCCGTGACGGTAACAACATCGCGTCGCGTCGCGCGACGGCGGCGACATCTCGCCGCGCGCCGCCGCCGCCGCCGCGCCTCCGTCGTCGCGCGTCGTCCGCGGACCCGAGACAGCGCCGAAGACGCGCAGCAGAAAGAACGCGATGGCGCAAGACGCGGTGACCGTCGTCCCCGCGGGCGAGGGCGACCTCGCGGTCGCGGCCGCGTTCGCGACGGGTGCCGATTCCACGAAGATCCTTCCACCCGCGCGCGCCGATTCGACCGACGGCGAGGGCGACGACGACGACGACGACGACGACGACGACGACGCGACGCGCGTCAAGGCGCACGACGCGAACGCCGCGAACGCCGCGGAAAACCCCGAGTTCGAGTTCAGCGACGGCGACGACGAGACGACGACGACGACGACCGGTGGGCGCGCGCGGCGTCGCGCGATCCCGGACGTGATCCGCGACGGGGACGATAGCTCCGAGTGGGAATCCTCCGACGACGAATCCGTCGAGGAGCTCGACTTGGAGAACATGCCGAAGTGGCTGCAGGACATCAAGGACGGCGTCGACACGCGAGGAGGAGGAGGAGGAGGAGGAGGAGGAGGAGGAGACGACTTCGACGGCGACGACGACGGCGACTCGGTCCCGCCGCGGACGCTGAACGAGGTCGCCCCGGACGCGACGCCCGCGCCCGCGCCGCCGCCGCCGATCGACCCGGACGAAGCCGTCGCGCACGTCGGCGACGTCGTCTCCGTGGTCGGGGACACGATCGTGGTTCAGTCCCTCCCGGGGATCGAGTACCTGGACGAGGAGAGCGTGTTGTGTCTGAGCGACCGCGTCGCGTTGGGCGCGGTCGAGGAGGTGTTCGGGCCGGTCGCCGCGCCGTTGTACGCGCTGCGGGTGCCGCGACGGAGACGCGAGACACGCGCCGAAAACGGAAGCGGAAGCGGAAGCGGATGCGGAAACGAAACCGCCGCCGCCGCCGCCGCCGCCGCGAAAGCGAAAGAGAGCGGCGCGACGGAAGATAAGGACGACGGCGCGACGGACGCGAAGGACGGAGGCGACGACGAAGCCCACAAGACGACGAACACGAACACGACGGCGGCGATCGAGGTGAAGGTGGGCGCCAGGGTGTACGTCGTCGAGGGGCGGCGGCGGAGGCTGACGACGGCCGGCCTATACCGCAAAGGGTACGACAACAGCGGCAAGAACGACGAGGAGATCAGCGACGACGACGAGTTCAGCGACGACGAGAAAGAGGCGGAGGCGAAGAAGAAGCGCAGGCAGCGGAAGCGCGGGATCGACGGCGAGGAGCGTCCGGCGGACCGGCGGGTCGCGGACGGAGGGCTCGCCGCCGCCGCCGCCGCCGCGGGCGCGGGCGCGGGCCTCGGCGGCGGGAGAGGCGGGCAGCGCGGGGGCGGACCCCCACCCCGCGCGCGCGCGTTCCAACCGAACGCGCCGCCCGCAATGCAGATGGCGCACATGAGCGGCATCGGCGCGGGCGGGAACGTTGGCGCTGGGCACCCCGCGCACACGACGCGCGGCCCGCCCCCGCCGATGGCGCCGGTGCGTTCTATGCACTGGTCCCCATACGACCCCGTTCGCGAGGTGAACGCGATTCCTTAAGGACTTCGCCCGGCGTGTCTCTCCGCCCATCCCACGCTTTCAATCCCCGTCCTCGACGCCTTTCAACGCCAACTGACGCCTTTCAACTCCACCCCGACAGCAGTTTCATCACCCGCAGATGATGATGCCGGTGCGTCCCGGGCAGACGGTGATGCACAACGGGCAGCCGATGATGATGGTGCCCGTGCCCGTGATGATGAACCCGCAGATGATGGCGCGGCCGCCGCCGCCGGGGCAGCAGCAGTTTCATCGACCGCCGCCGCCGCCGCCGCCGCCGCCTCGACCGCCGCCGCGGTAGAGCGTGTTTTCGTAAAAGTGTGATGAGTGCAACTACACGTACTTGAAGAAGTTTACATCACAAGATTCGGACGTTCCGACGCGTCTTCATCACTCGCGCGCGCGCACGCCCGTCAGGATGGCCTCGGAGGCGCGCGACGCCCCGGACGGGGCGTCGCCGTCGGAGTCGGAGCGCAGCGACGACGAGCGCTCGTTCGGGTCCGAGCCAGACTTCTCGTGCGTCCCCGTCCTCCCTCCCCGCCGTTCCCGCGCTCGACAATCAGATCGTCGCGAGGAAGAAGCGCGTCCGCGTCGTCGTGGTTTGACCCGTTTTAGGAGACCGTTCGCGCGCGTCGCGTCTGACCCGCGTCCTCTGTCCATCCCCCCGCGCCCGCCGACAGAGCGATGCCCGCGCTCAGGATAGCCACGGAAGCGGTCCCGCGCGACGAGACGACGTCGAGCGCGCCGCTGTACGACACCCTGGGCGACGACACCCCGCGCGGGCTGTACCGCGACCTCGAAGAGGCGGAAACCGCGCGCACGCAAGCCGCGTTAGACGCGTTCAAGGACGGCCTCTACGCCGACGGCGCCGACGCGGGCGGCGGGCCAGAGGACGCGGACGAGGACGTTCCTCCCATCGTCGGCGGGACGGTGTTCAAGCCGCAGCGCGCGCGCGCGGACCGCCAGACGACGCGGCCGCTGCGAGAGCAAATCGAGGAATGGCGCGGGATGATGCCGCACGCGCGCGTCCGCGGCGTCGCCGTCGGCGTCGTCGCGCGCGACGACGCCGTCGACGCGACAGACCTCGAGGGCGTCCAGTTCATCCCGAGAGAAGCGCGAGGAGACGACGGCGACGCGGGGACGTCGCGGCCCGCGGAGACGTCGGCGCCCGCGCCCGCGGCGGCGGCGGCGGCGACGCCGTGGCTCGCCGCGCTCGACGGCGGCGTCCGCGAGTGGTGGGGCCGCGCGTCCGACGCCCCCGGTCTCGAAGTCATCGGGCACGCGTGCGCGACGCGAAAGTCCCCCCCGCCGCCGCCGCCAGAGGAGGAGGAGGAGGAGACGTTCGCGGAGGATGGAACGATCGAAGAAATCTACGCGGGCGGCGCGGATGAGAGCGCGTCCGACCCGGTGGCGCGCGAGCTCTCCGCCGTCTTGGACGCTCGACGCGATCACCGCCGCTTCGAAGCGGGGCTTCCGTCGCTCGACCCGCTCGAGGTGATCGCCCTCGACGTCGCGTTCGACCGAGGGGAGGTGAAAGCGGGGGAGGTGGAGCCCGCGCCGAAGCTCGGCGACGGCGACGCGCAAGTCATCGTCTTCGACGACGAACACGACGACGACGACGACGACGAATACGACGACGAGAGAGGAGGCGCGAGGGACGAGGTCGAGTCCGCGTACGAGTTCGGCGGCGAGGGTTTCGCGGAGGAGCCCGCGTACGAGTACACGCGGTCGTCCGAGAAGCGTTTGGACCGGTCGCGCGAGTGGCCGAACGCCGACGACGCCGACGACGACGGCGCGCCGACGCGCGAGTCTTCCCCCGAGCCGAACCCGTGGCCGGAGGTGGCGTGGGGCGGCGGCACACCCGTCGCGGCGGCTGCGGCGTCGGCGGTGACGCGCGCGGCGCGCGCGGCGCGATCCCCGGACTGGTCCGACGCGGGCGGCGAAGAGGCGCGGTGGTTCGGGGGCGAACGCGCCGCCGCCGCCGCTGCCGCCGCCGTCGCCGTCCCCTCCGACGACGACGACGACGACGTCGACGACGCCGCGCCGGGGAAGCCGCTCGTGGACTGGCTCCTCAGCGACGAGCACACGTCCCTCACCGCGGCCCCCGACGTCGTTCGAGCGATGCACCCGGTCAACGCGGTCGACGAGGTCGCTCGAAGTGCGATGGAGTGGGGCTGGGGGAACGGACCCTCGATGGGCAGCGGCAGCATCGGCGACCGAACCCCGGGGCCGCCGCCGACGCCGAGCGAGTACAGCGCGTGTTCGCCGGATCTCGGGAGCTCGAAACGCACGGGGTTCACCCCCGCGACGAGAGAGCGTCGCCCGCAGAGCGTGCCGAACGTGCTCGTGCTCGACGAGGAGTATTCCGCGTGCGGGGACTACGACGACGGGGAGGACGGCGACGGCGACGGCGACGGCGACGGCGGCGGCGGCGGCGGAAAAGTTCTTAAGGAACGGCGTTCACAACGCGAACGGGATCGTATGGGGACCAGTGCGCGCGACGGCGTCGAGAACGACCGTCCGCCGGGCCGCGGCGGCGTCGCGTCGACGCGCGCGCGAGGCCCGACGACGACGACGACGGCCGCGAGCGCGTTCCCGGGCGAGTACCGAAGAGGATCGCTCCCGGCGACGACGGCGCCGGAGTGGGCGCATCCGTCGGCGAAGAGCAAACGCCACGCGTCCATCGCGGCGCCGACGCTTCCCTCCGTCGCGGCGGTTTCCTCCTACTCCTCCTCCTCGCTCGCGCCGCGCGCCGCGCAGCGACCGCCGTTCCGCGTCGGCGCGGCGCCGCCGGCGCGGAGGCAGGCGATCGATACCAGTAGTAGTTCCAACGCGCACGCCGCGCAGCGCGGAGGCGGCGGGGACGACCTCGGGTTCGGGTCGCTGGGCATCTCCGGCACCGGCATCGCGACGCTGCGGCGGCGGTGACTCACCGCGCGTCCCGTCTCTTTGAAGAAAACTAACTACAGCACCTGCGGCGCGCATATGATAGGACGTGTGATAGAAACGAACGACCAATAGTTATCGCACTGCGCTACGTGTACATGTGATCCGTCTTTTCCTTTGGCGCGGCCGCGTCCGACGTCCACGCGCGCGTCGCCTCCAACCCCGTTTTTCGAAACCGGCACTCGAGCGCCGCGGCGACGGCGCCGCCGACGCGATTCGCGCACTCGCTCGCTTCCTTCTCGTCCTTCGTCCCCAACTTCGCGACTCTGTACCCGTGCGTCGTTATCAAGTGCATCTCGTGCCCGCCCGCGGTCATCGCGTGCGCTAACGCCGCGACGACGGGGTCGTTGATCTTCGTCTCCGGCGGCAGCTCCGCGGGTTGAAAGTCGATCAACAACGGCGCCGCGCCGTTGACGACGTTCTGAAAGATCCGCCCCTCCTTCGGCGCGTTCATCCGCAGCGCGGCGACGACGACGACGCCCTCGCAGTTCCCTCTCGTGGCGTCGTCCGTAAGGAGGTCGTGCACCGCCGCCGCGAACGCGGCCTCTTCGCCGGGGCGAACGATCTCGTTCACCGCGAGCACGGACGCGACGCCGTCGTCGAACGTCGTGAGCGTCATCGGCGCCGCGGACGCGGCGTCGGCGGCGTCCGCGTCGGCGGCGTCCGCGACGCGCGCGCCGCCGGGCGTGAAGACGACGCCGCGCGGCGCGTCGTCGTCGTCGTCGTCGTCGTCCTCGCCGCCGCCGTCGTCGCTCTCGCCCACGCCCTCGCCCGCGATCGCGCGTCTTCGCGGGGGCACGCCGGTCAGCTCGACCGCGACGCGCGACCACGCGCCCTCGCGGTCGAAGTCGCCCGGCTTCAGCCCGAGGCACGCGCGAACGCCCGCGCCGGAGACGTCGCAGTGGCCGACGACGAGGCGCTCGCCCAGGATGGGGAACGGCGACCCGTCCGAGGTCTTGAACGACGGCATCGCGGTCGGATTGGCGCGGCGCGCGCGGCTCCTCTGCGCGAGATCGGACGGATCCGCGCGAGTTTCAGTTGGGAGAGCGCAAGATACCAGATCTTCATCTGGCGCTCTCCCAACTTTTTTTTTTTTTGGGATCGAACAAGGGACCTCCAGATCTTCATCTGGCGCTCTCCCAACTGAAACTGCAACCGGCCGCGACGGTTTCGCAAAATGAAACGCCTCTTCGCCTCCCGTCGCCGCGCGCACTCTTCCCCGCGCGACGACGACGACGACGACGACGACGCGCGCGCGATGTACGGCTGGGAACGCTCCCGCGGCGAGATGCCGAGCCACTTCGTGGAGAAGTTCACGGACGCGGACGTGGACGACGCGCTGCGTCGCGCGAAGCTCGCGCTCGCGCCCGCGGCGGACGATCTCATCGAGCCCGCGATCGCCGACGACGACGCGACGGCGTCGTCGAGTCCATCGGACGACGCGACCGCGATGACCGACGACGCGCGTCCTCCCGTCGCGACGTCGCCGCCGCACCCCGCGTCATCGTACGAGACGTGGACGGAAGCGAAAGCGGACGGCGTGCGCGCGCACGGCGACGGCGACTTCGAAGGCGCGGCCGCGCGCTTCCGCGCGGCGATAGAGATGCTGCTCGAGGTGCTCCGCGGGAAGAAAGAAAATGACGACGCAGAAGATGACGCGTCCGGGTCCGACGCCGACGCCGGCGCATCGAACGCGGACGCGGACGTCTCCCAGGGCAACGCCGCCGTCGCGCTCGCCGCGCTGCGAAGCAACCTCTCCTGCGCGCTCCTCGCCGCGGGCCGCCCGCGCGACGCCCTCGCGGCCGCGTCCGACGCGCTCGCGTCGCGACCCGCGTGGGACAAGGCGCTCTTTCGCCGCGCCGAGGCCAACTTCGCGCTGCGGCGGTTCGAAGACGCGCTCGTCGACTACGACGCCGCGTCCGCCGCGCGCGATCCCGCGTCGCCGCCGGACGCGCACCTTCTGTCGCGCGTCGCGGCGACGCGCGCGATGCTCGACGAGGTCGCGACGCTCCGAGACGAGGAGGTGGCGCTGCGCGCGGAGCGCGAGGAAGACGCGCGACGGCTCGAGAAGCAAAAAGAAGCCGAGGCATCCGAGTCGGGGGACAAGGCGAGCGAGCTGACCGCGGCCGCGGAGGAGCGCGAGCGCGACCCGCGCGTGAAAGCGCTCGTGAAGCGCATCGAGGAGATGTACGCGGCGCACGGCGAGGCGCGCGCGGCGAGGAAGGAAGCCTGGCGCGAAGGCGAAGGCGGCGGCGGCGAGACGGCGGCGGCGTACGAGCTCGCGGACGCGGGGCCGCCCGCGGCGGCGGCGATCAAACTCTGCCGCGACGTCCTCGCGTTGGAGCCGGACTACACCGCGATCGGGTACCAGCTCTCGATGATCTATCGATCGAACGGCCGCCTTCGCGACGCGATCGACCAGATGAGGGCGTGCCTGACGACCGCGCCGACTTTTTTGCTCGGACACGCCGCGCTCGGGCAGATGCTGGAGTCGACGCACGGCCGAGAGGACGATGCGGAGCTGTCGTACGCGATCGCCGTGCAGGTGTGCTTCGACAACGGCGACGTGTGGTCGCACCTCGGCGCGCACCTCGCGCGTCGCGGGCGCGTCTCCGACGCGGTCGCGCTTCTGCGGCACTCGCTGTGCGGTGGCCCGGAGGGGAAGTTTTACAAGCCGCGGTGCGACCCGGGGGTGTTGATGCTTCTGGGGTATTTACTGCAACTCCGAGGGCACTCCGCGGAGCCGGTGAGTTTTTACATGCGCGCCTCGCGAGCGGGCGGCGGCGTCCCCGCGGCGCTGTTGCTCGCCAGGGCGTTCGAGGACGCCGGAGACGCGGAGAACGCGGACACGCAGATCGAGATGGTGAAGAGAGTCCGCGCGGAGCAGCCGGCGGCGACGCGGCTGGGGTACGAAGTCCTAAACTCCGCGTTCGCCGCGCCGCAGTGGAACGCGTTGAGCACGAAGAAGCACGTCGCGGCGCTGCTCCGCGGCGAGGGCGTCGAAGGCGACGTCGCGCCGCACTGTTACTGGTCCGAGGACGACGACGTGGACGAGAAAGAGAAAGAGAAGAAGGACGACGACGACGACGACGACGACGACGACGAAAACGACGCCGCGACGACGTTCGCGCCCGGGCGCTGGATCGTCAAGGGGAAGAACCGCGCGTACGACGGCGCGACGCGCGCGCGCCTTCGACGGTGCGAGACGAAGGACGAGCTCGTCGCGTTCGTGCGCGACGCGGGCGCCGCCGCCGGGCCCGGGCGCGAGCGCGCGTGCATGGCGCAGCGCGAGGTCGAGAACCCCGCGCTTTTATGCGGCGGCAGACTCGCGAGCGCGCACTTTTACGCGATCGTCGCGGACGCGCGCGAGGGCCCGAACGGCGCGGTGGAGATGGACGCGCGTCTGTCCGAGGGGTTCACCGTTCGAGTCGCGCGCGATCCGCTCGACGCTGACGTAGACGCTTACGTGGACGACGGCGAGGCGTTCTTCGCGACGCGAAACACGCTCCGAGGGAGCCGTCGCGAGATCACCACCGCGGCGGCGGCGGCGGCGTGGGCGGCGGAGTCGAACGTGGACTACGCCGCCACGACGTGGCCCGGGGTCGTCCGCGCCGTGGAGACGACGCTGCGCGCGTTCGCGCGCGCGACGCTCGCGACGCCGCTGAAAGACTTCGACGCGCTGTCGCACTTCGCGACGTTTCGCGCGCCGAAGATTCTCGAGTTCGTCTTCGTCGTCGACGCGGCGTCGAAGCCGTGGCTGACGGAGATAAACGCGAGCCCGAGCGCGATGGACGGCGGGGAGGACGCCGTCGTCGCTCGCGCGTTCGACGACGCGTGGGCGTGGCTTCGAGACGACGACGACGACGACGCGGGCGCGAGGACGACGTTCGCGCCATTGTTCGCGACGAACGAGTGAACGCCGCGTCGCGCCGTCGCTTCGATTTCGATGATTCGATGATACGATTCGCGTTTCCGTGTTAATACAGTACAACCCTCAATACGAGCCGTGAACCCACCCCACGCCACGCCCGCGCGCGTCGACGTCAACGTCGACGTCGTCGTCGTCTCGATGCATCAGCGCGCGTTCGCCGGCGGCACGACGACGACGCGCACCGATCGCCCGCGTCCGCCTCTCGACCTCGACCCCCGCCTGGAGGACGCCGCCGCCGCCGCCGCCGCCGCGGACGACGACGACGACGACGTGTACGTGCTTATCCCTCCGCGCCCACGCTCCGCGCTCGCGTCGTAGCCTGAGGCGCCCCTCTCGCCGTTCGCCTTGCGCTTCCACGACGCCGCGGCGGTTCGGCAGATGGCCGCGAGCGGCGCCGGCGCCGGCGCCGGCGGCTTCTTCTCCGCCGCCGGCGGCGCCGTCTTCAGCTTCGGGGGCGGGTCGCAATCCGCGAACGCGACGAGCCTGCGCGGCGCGGGGATGGACCCGCCCTTCCCCGCCGCCGCCGCCGTCGTCGTCGCCGTCGTCGAGCTCTTCGCGTTCGACGCCTTCATCTCCGCGACGGTCCTCGCCGGCGGGGGAACGTAAAGCGACGCCTTGCTCATGTTTTTCATGAGCGTCAGCGGCGTGCGCGATCGCAGGGGGTACCGCGACGACGCGCCGTCGTTCTCGTCGTCGTCGTCCTCGGGGTACCGCTTCCGCTCCGTCCGCGGTGTTTTCGCTAATCGCTGCTCGCAGTCGTCGTCGTCGCGGAACGGCTGCGGACGGGGAGGGGGGATGGATGGCGTCGGGCGTCGACGTTCGCGTCTCAGGAATGACATCATGTTCGCGCGAGCGACGGGACGAGCTCCGAAACGGCGTCGCGAAACGATGGACGGGCGACGACGTCGACGGACGCGAGGCGCGCTATCGAGCGATGAACCGACGCGATGCGCGCACCTCTGCCGCGCGTTTGAGCCCGAGCACGCGCTCGGGGGACATCATGAACAGCGAGTACGGCCTCGCCATCGTCTCGGGGTCGTCGCTCGCGAGGCGAATCCGACTAATCATCAATCGCGTTCCCCTCCGTCGTCCTGTCGGGATGCTGCGCTTTTTCGATCTCTCGAGCGGTCGCGCCGCGACCGTGGCGTCGCGCTGGTGGATCCGACGGACGCGAAACGACGCGCGCGGAGGAATGAAGGATCGACCGCGACTTCGAGGAGACGCGTGGTGGATTTTCGCGCGCCCGGGGTGCGCGTCTGAGTGCGCGTCGTCCCGTCGGCGCGGCCGTCACGAACGGACGTCGCAGTTCCCCCGCCGCGCCGATCATCATTCGTCCGTCGAAGTGGGCACACCCGCTCGGGCGAGCGGGTCAAAGTTCAAACGAAGCCGCCCCGAGGCGTCACTGCCTCGCGCCGCGACACGCGCGAGCACCTCGGACCGTCGAGAAGGCGTCGTCGTCATGGCGCGTCCACTCTCGCGCTCGCCCTCCCCGCGTCGTTCGTCGCCCCCCGATTCGACCGCGCGGCGTCGACCGCCGATCTCGCGCTCGCTCGTTTTTCCTCCGCGGGTCGGGTCCCCTCTTCGCGAGACGACGACCGCGAACGGCACTCGCGCGCGATCGGATCGCGACCGTCGACGACATCGGAGCTGACCTCCCGCCCTCGATCCCCCGCCGCGCGCGCCGCCCCCGCCCTAACCCGACCCAGGATCCCACGCTCGAAGCGATCAAAGAGAAGCGCCTCGCGGAGCTCGGCCAGTCCGGACAGGGCGCGGCGATGCCCGCGAGCGCGGAGGAGCAGCGCGCGCAGCAGGAGCGAGCGGAGGCGGCCGCGGAGCAGCGCGGCGCCGCGCTCGCGTCGCTCATGGACCCGAAAGCGCGCGAGCGCCTGTCCAGAATCGCGATCGTGAAGCCGGAGAAGGCGCAGGCGCTGGAGAACATGCTATTGCAGGCGGCGCAGCGGGGGCAGATCGGAGGCAAGGTGACCGAGGATGCGCTGATTAAGATGCTCGAGCAAGTCAACGGCGGCGCTCGAGACGGAGGCGACGCGCGCGGGGGGCCGAAGATCGAGATGAAGCGACGGAACATCATGGACGACGACGATTGGTAGGCGGGGGCGGGGGCGGTCGGAGAGACGAGGGGCGGCGACGCGCGCCCGCCCCGAGCGGAGGAACTACGTAGTCAGTCGCGACGGATGGCGTTGGAACAGAACCCGAACCGAATAATCCGATGAACGCCATCTGATCGATCGCCTCGAACGCGGGCAGTCTCGCTCGCGCGCTCGCGTCGCGCGCGGGGTCTCGCCATGCGCGTCCGTCGCGCGATCGCGCTTCTCCTCGCGCTTCTCCTCGCGACCGCCGGCGCCGTCGTCGCCGAGGAGGCGGCGCCGCCGCGATGCCGAGGCCCCGGCGTCGAGCTCGCCGTCGGCGTCGGATGCGACGTGAGCGGGTTCTTCGCGGAGGCGCTCGGCCTGCACGCCGCGCTCGCGTCCGCGAATCGCTGCGTGCGCACGCCGACGCTGAGCGCGTGCGCGGAGAAGATGAAGCGCGTGCTGACGCCGACGGAGCTCGCGATCGCGCGAACCGCGGGCGCGTTTCAGGACGGCCGCGACGCCGCGGACGTCGTCGTGCGCTGGCACCTCGGCGAGGATTGGGAGTGCCCGTGGAACGCGACGAGCGTCCGCGACGCGCGCGACGCGGGAACCGTCGCGGTGTTGCGGTCGATGACGGAGAAGACCATCTTGAGCGCGACGCAGCTCGCGTGCGCGGCGACGGCGAGCGAGGTCTGGGTCCCGAGCGAATGGCACGCGGCGGCGTATCGCGTCGCCGGCGTATCGCGCGAATCGATTCGCGTCGCCCCGGAAGTCGTGGACGACGACGTCTTCAAACCCAAGCCGCCGCGCGCGGAAGAACTATTAGGGAGGACGGCGAATGAGAAGAAGAAGAGGAAGAAGAAGAAGGGGACGAGCCCGACGACGACGACGTTTCTGGCCGTGTTCCAGTGGCAGCACAGGAAGGCGCCGGACGCGTTGCTCAAGGCGTATTGGAAGGCGTTCGACGCGTCCGACGCCGACGTCGTGTTAAAACTCCGCGCCAAGGTCCCGATATGGGCGAACAACGGATTCACGACCGCAGACGCCGGCGTGGAGCACCTCGCGAAGACGCTCGCGGGCAAACCCCGTCGCAAACTCGCGCGCGTGGAGGTCATCGAGCCGCCGCGCGGCGCGACGGAGCTGACGCAGGCGCGTTCCATCTCGCGCCGGTCCCGAACGCGGCTTTTTCTATACACTGGTCCCCATACGACCGCGTTCGCGCGGTGCACGCCGTTCCTCGAGGACTTTGCCCGGCGGTCGTCTCTCTCCGCGCGACCCCCGGTTGGTTTCAATCCCCGCCCTCGACGCCTTTCGATTCCATCTGACGCCTTTCAACTCCACCCCGACGTTCGCCGCGAACGGAACGACCCTCACCAGTCGGCGATGGCGACGCTCTTCGCCGACGCCGCCGCGTTCGTGTCCCCGTCCCGAGGCGAGGGCTGGTGCCTACCGTGCGCCGCCGCGATGGCGTCGGACGCGGTGTTAATCGCGAGCGACTTTGGCGGCGTCACGGCGTACGCGAACGCGTCGAACGCGCTCCCGACGCGATGCGTCGAGGACGCGAGCGGCGCGTGCGAGCCGGACGTCGACGGTCTCGCGTGGCGCATGCGGTGGGTGCGAGAGCGCAGAGCGGAGGCGGCGGCGTTGGGGAGGAAAGGCGGGGAGAGCGTGCGCGAGAGGTTTAGCAAGGCGTCGGTGGCGGAGGTGTGGGGGAGGGAGGCTGGGAAGGCGGTGGACGCGCTGAGGGTAGGGCGTTCGCGAGCGTAGCGTAGCGTTGTTAGTCTTTTGATCTCGCGTCTGTGATGAGGCGTAAGCGGTCGGTCGGTCACTTCGAGAAATGGAGCCGCGGCAAAGTCGAACGCGCGACGCGCTGGCCTCCAGTAGCACGCGCGCGGCTTCTGAGTCGTGTCGCGCGTGAATCGATCGCGATACTCGCCGCGCACGCGAATTCGCGCGCGGTCGATACGCGCGGCGGCGAGCGTCTCTCGTTCGCCCGCGTCGCGGCCGCGAGGAAGACGCGCGATCCGTTGCTTTGTACAAAAATGACGCGGCCTCTCGCGTTCGGCGCGAGGAAGACGGCGACGTCGTGGGGATACGCCCTCTTCTTCGCCGTTTTCGCGACGTTGCTCACCGCAGTAGCCGCGGGTGAGTCTCTCGGACGCGAATCCGCGACGCGCGGCTTCGCTCGCGCGCGATGGCGCGCGCGTTTCGATTCTCCCCAGCTGGCGCTTTCCACGACGACGACGCGCGGTTTTCTGATTTCCCTCCTCCCCGCGCCGTCCTCCCCGTTCGACAGACTCGACCGCGCCGTTCTTCTTCGGCGGGTTCCCCAACGCTAACACCGTGGACGGCGACAGCTTCAAACTCGGCCTCAAGGTGCGCCGCGCTCGTCGTCGCCCCGCCGCGCCCCCTCCTCCGGTCCGCGGAAAATGCGCCTCAACGGCTTTCGTCGCGCGATCGATCGCTCGTTTCGCTTTTCCCGACGACGCCCCCTCCTTCCCCTTCCCTCCCTCCCAGGTGAACGAGCAATCCAGCGTATACTACCTCGTCGTCGCGGGCGCGAACCCCCCGACGCCGTCGTCCACGGACGTCAAGAACCAGTTCAGCACCTACGGCGCGGCGTCCACGGCGGTGAAACAAAAAGGATGCGTCGGCTGCGCCTCGGGCGTCGTCTCCCCGCTCGCCGCGTCCACGGAGCTCAACGTCGACCTGGACGCCACGACCGGCACGGCGTTCGCGGACAACGAAGTCCTGTCCGTGTTCGTCGTCGCCGAGGACGCGGCGGGGAATTTGCAGGCGACGCCGACGAAGGTTGACGTCATCATGGGCGACGACACCGCGCCCACCTACGGCGCGGGGTACCCGTACGCGGATCAGATCACCGCGACGGGGTTCGACCTCTTGATCCAGCTCAACGAGGCCAGGACGAGCCACTACGCCATCTTGGACGCGAGCGATCCGAGCCCGACGGCGGCGGAGATCATCGCGGGGAGCAACGCGAACGCGGTGGCGTGTTCGAAGTCCGCGGGCGTGTACGTCCCCGCCGTGCCCTACTCTTCGCCGACGACGTACGACGTGCGACACGCCGTGACGTCGTACGCGGAGGCGTCGCTGGCGGCGTGCCTCGCGACGTACGGCGCGATGACCGCCGCGGAGAAGCTCGCCGCGGGGTTATCCGACTCGGACGCGAACTGCCGGAAGTGCCCTCACCTGCAAGGCAGCGGGTCCTACAAGGTGTACGTCTTGAGCGAGGACGACAACGCCGCCAACGGCGCGGGGAGCCCGCCGCGCGTGAACAACGTGCAGACGTTACCGCAGGGGATGTCGTTCACGCTCGACACCGTGGACACCACGCCGCCGTCGTTCGATCCGAGCGCGTCGTCGCCGGATAAGAAGAACCTCGCGACGACGTCCGTGGACCTGTCCGTCTCGTCCAACGAGATTGGAAACGCGTACTACCTCGTCGTCCCCGCCGGCAGCGCGGCACCGACCGCGGCGCAGGTCAAGTCGCAAGTCTCGAGCTACGGCGTCGTGACCGTCGTCAAGAAGGGGACGTGGGCGGTGCCCGCGACGCAGACGGAAGCGGACGTCACCGTGACCGGGTTGAACGACCTCACGTCGTACGTCGCGTACGTCATCTTGGAGGACACGGCCAAGACGAACACGGCGACGAACGTCTACGCGTCCGCGTCCAACGTGCCAAACGTCCAGGCGACGGCGACGGCGATCGCGTTCACGACGACGGACGGGACCCCGCCTACTTTCGCCGGCGCGTTTAAGAGCACGGTGCACGACATCGCCGGGACGTCGTTTAAGATCACCGCGCAGCTGGACGAACCCGGGGACGCGTTTTACATCGCGATCCCGCGGACGACGGATTCGCCGCCTTCGCCCGGGCCGACCGCCGCGGAGGTGATCGCGGCGTCGTACGCCGGCGTCGTCGCGTGCGGGACGTTCGCCGTCGCCGCCGCGGCGACGAACGCGACTGCGACGGTGACGACGACTTCGGACCCGCTCGGGGCGAACGCCGCGTCGTGCGCGAGCGGCGGCGTCGCGCTGCCGCCGTCCGCGGCGAAGTGCGCGGCGTGCCCGCTCGTCGACAGCGAGTCCCGGTACTGGGTGTACGTCACCGCGAGAGACGACGAGACTTCGCCGAACGTGATGACGACGACGCGCGTCCAGGGCGTGGACACCGTGGACGTCACCGCGCCGACGTTTCAAAACTCGCACCCGACCATCACCGGGAACGCGGCGACGACGCACAAGACGTACCCGAACATCGGCGGGGTCACGTTGAACGTGACGGTGGAACTCGACGAGCCCGGAAAGGTGTACTTTCTCGCGACGGCGGCGGCGGACGCGGCGCCGACGTCCGCGCAAGTGAAAGCGTGCGGCGTGTACGGATCCAGCTCGAAGACGTCGACGGTCGGGCACACGTACACGCCCTCGGGAGGCTCCGCGATCGCGCCGTTCGCGTGCGGCGACTTGGACGTCCAGCTCGCGAACACGGCGTACGTGCACCGACTCACGGAGATTCCCGAAGAGACGGCGGTGAAGGTGTACGTCGTCGCGGAGGACGACGAAAACACGCGCCTGAATCACTTCAGCCTTCTCACGCAACCGCCCGTCTCGAACCTTCAAGCGACGCCCGCGAACGTCGCCGTCACGACCGTGGACACCTCCCCCCCGGAGTGGGCGACGGTCGCGGCGGTGAAGTACCCGCGGGTTCCGTACGCGCTCGCGACGGACATCGAGGACGTCAAGGCGACGTTCGACGTCGCCGTGGACGAACCCGGGACGGTGTACTACGTCGTCGTCACGAAAGATTTGACGTTTCACGAGGGGTACACGGACGGCACCGCGCGCGCGCTTCCCACGACCGCGGAGGTGCGCGCGGGCACCGGCCCCGGAGCGCTCGCGGCGACCGCGTCTGGTTCCGTCGCCGTCGCGTCCGGGTCGGAGAACACGAAGATTTCCACTGTCGTCACCGGCCTCGCGGCGCAAACCGCGTACGACGTGTATCTCGTCGCCGAGGACGACGCGCCCGCGCCGGGGCCGAACGTTCAGACGTCGGTGACGAAGCTGCGGTTTAAGACGCGAGATAACACCGCGCCGGTGTTAAGCGTGGACGCGAGCACGCACGCCGGTCCGATGTCGTGGACCAAGTTGGGCGGAGACATCGACGGCGAGGCAGCCGGCGACGTGTCCGGGTCGGGTTTGTCCTTTTCGAGCGACGGCACGATCGTGGCCGTCGGCACTGGTTTTAACGACGACGGCGGCGCGGACGCCGGCCACGTGCGCGTGTACAAGTTCAGCTCCGGCGCTTGGACGCAGATGGGCGGTGACATCGACGGCGAGGCCGCCGGCGATAAATCTGGGTTTGCCGTGTCGTTATCGAGCGACGGCACGATCGTGGCCGTCGGCGCTTATGATAACGACGACGGCGGCGCAGACGCCGGCCACGTGCGCGTGTACCAGTTCGCCGGAGGCGCGTGGACGCAGATGGGCGGGGATATCGACGGCGAGGCTGCCGGCGACAGATCTGGACAGAAAGCCGTGTCGTTGTCGAGCGACGGCACGATCGTGGCCGTCGGCGCTGTTAAAAATGACGGGACTGGCGCAGACGCCGGCCACGTGCGCGTGTTCCAATTTAGCTCCGGCGCTTGGACGCAGATGGGCGCGGACATCGACGGCGAGGCCGCCGGCGATCAATCTGGGAATTCTGTGTCGTTGTCGAGCGACGGCAAGATAATGGCAATCGGCGCTCCCAAAAACGACGGCACCGGCGCAGACGCCGGCCACGTGCGCGTGTACCAGTTCAGCTCCGGCGCTTGGACGCAGATGGGCGCGGACATCGACGGAGAGGCGGCTGGCGACGAGTTTGGGGATGCCGTGTCGTTATCAAGCGACGGCACGATCGTGGCCATCGGCGCTCTTAAAAACGACGGGACTGGCGGAGACGCCGGCCACGTGCGCGTGTACCAGTTCAGCTCCGGCGCGTGGACGCAGATGGGCGCGGACATCGACGGCGAGGCGACCGACGATCAATCTGGGTCTTCTGTGTCGTTGTCGAGCGACGGCACGATCGTGGCCGTCGGCGCTTATGCTAACGACGACGGCGGCGCAAACGCTGGCCACGTGCGCTTGTACCAGTACAGCTCCGGCGCGTGGACGCAGATGGGCGCGGACATTGACGGCGACGCGGCCGGCGATCAGGCTGGGCAACTTGTGGCGTTGTCGGGTGACGGCAAGAGTGTTGCTGTCGCCGGTCCTTACACCGACAGCAACGGCGCAAACGCCGGCCGCGTGCGCGTTTTCTGCTTCGGCTGCGAGTACCCCAAGGCGATCATGCGCGGCACGAGCATGGGCGTCGAAGTCATGATGGACGAGCCAGGCCAGGCGTGGTACATCGTCGTCCCCGACGGCACCTCCCCGGGGCCGACGTCAGCGGAGGTCATCGCGAACACCTTCGCCGCCGCGGTGGGGACCACGTGCGGTCACAACTCCTCGACGCCGGATTTCCAGATCCCGTCCGCGAACGTTCCGTACGTGTGCAACGTCACCGGTCTGAGCGACGAGACCGAGTACGACGTGTACGTCGTCGTCGCGGACGACGTCTCGAACGACCCGCTGACTGGCGACGCGTTTCCGACGTACAACGCGCTCGCGGCTCCGGTGAAGATTGACGTCAAGACGTTGGACGTGACCCCGCCCCGCTTCGCGGCGGCGTACCCTAAAGTCGACAACGTCGACGGCACTTCGTTCGACCTCAAAGTCTTGCTCGACGAGATCGGGATCGTGTACTACACCGTGGATAACTTCAACCCCGCGGACGGCGTCATCGTCCCTCCGAGCCCGGCGCAAGTCAAAGCCGGGACGAATCAGATGGGCAAAAAAGCGTTCGCGCACGGCAACGTCAGCGCGCCGACGGCGTCGACGGAAGCGGTGAAAAAGATCGAAAAGTTTCCCGGATTGATCTCCGAACGCGACTACTACGTGTACACCGTCGCGGAGGATCTCGAGGACGTCCCGAACCTCCAAACGACATTGGGAACGCGGATTCGCATTCGCACCCCGGACGTCACGCCTCCGACGTTTAAGACGCGCGCGGTGCAAAACGTCAAGGGCGATCGATTCGACGTCGTGACGTCGTTGAACGAGATCGGGTTCGTGTATTACGTCGTCCTCCCCAAGGGCGCGACCGCGCCGACCGCGGCTAAGGTTCGTCTGATGCAAAACGCCGCGGGCGTGAGCACCACGGGCGCGTGCGGGGTGTTTTACATCCCGAGCAAAGACGCGAACGTCACGGAGACGGTGATCAGCCTGTCCTCCGCCGCCGCCGGGGCGTGCGCCGCGGAAACCCCCGGCCTCGCCGCGCCGTCGTTGAACCCCACCACCGGCGTCGTGACGAACCCGCCGTTCTGTAACTACTGCCCGCAGCTCTCGTCCGCGACGGCGTACGACGTGTACGTCGTCGCAGAGGACGACGGCGGGCACGGCATCCCGAACGTCGCCAACTTGAACACGCCGAATCTGCAAGAAAACGCGACGCTTCTGTCGCACGTCGGATTCACCGCCGCCGCGAACGGCTCCGTGATCACCGCGGACGTCACGCCGCCGACGTTCACGTCCAGCACGCCGGCCGTGGACAAGTTCGACGAGCACGGATTCAACGTCAAGTTCGAGCTGAACGAGCCCGGGGTGGTGCACTACACGGCCATGCAGAGCACCGGGGTGACGTGCGCGACTTCGCCGACGCATCGGCAGGTGAGAGCGGGGACGAACGGGTGCGACCACCCCGCGAACGCGACCGGGAACGTCACGATTCCGGTCGCGAGCACTCCGGTGACGGTCACCGTGCGCGGCATCGGGAACCTCACGAGAGAAGAAGACGCGTACGTGTTGACGTACTTCGCGGACGACGACGAGCCGACGGGGATGAGCGCGCTGACGGCGCCGAATCCGAGCGCCATCGCGACGACGACGAAATCCACCGCCGATCGCCTCCCGCCGCTTCACGCGTCTTCGTACCCGAAAGCGAACAACCCGGTCTCCACGACCGGGTTCGGCGCGATCACGACGAAGTTTGACGTCGTCGTGAACGCGGACGAGATTGGCACCGCGCACTACGTCGCGTTCCCGGCGTGGCACCGCGTCGGGTGCCACCCCGCGGACGCCGCGTGTCTCGGCGGCACGACGGCGAAGCAGCTCGGTCTGCCCGGGTATAAACCCCCGACCGCGGCGCAGATCAAGGCTGGGAAGGACTGGGCCGGCGCGACCGCGGCCGTGAAAGGCTCGTGGGCCATCTCGAGCGCGAACGCGGACGCGACGACGACGACGACGGCGGATTTAGACGACGTCACCGACTACAACGTTTACGTCGCCGTCGAAGACGACGCCGGCGCGGATGCGCGGGTGCTCAACTTCACCGCGGTCAACAACTTGAACCCGAACGTGACGGTCGCGAACGTCACGACCGCGGACGGGACCGCGCCGCTGTTCACCGGTAACCCGTGCGAATCGCGTCTGCACGAGGAGTGCTCGTCGCAGCTCCGAAGCGAGTCCGGGAGGCACTCCCAGTATCCGCGCTTGCACGGATGCTCCAACGGCGGGTTCGACTTGCGGGTGAGCGTCGACGAGGCTGGGAGCACGGTGCACTACGTCGTCGTCGGGTACGACACCGTCGTGGACATCACCGCCGCGGTGGACCCGACGAACGTCCAGGTGAAAGCCGGAGGGGCGACGTACACCCCCGCGGGCGCGGGCGCGACCCCGGTGACGATCGTCCACGCCGGCGCCGTCTCGGCGGCGGCGGCGAAGACGCCGTACTCGTCCACGGTGACGTTTACCCTTCCCGCGTCCAACAAATTTTACCAAGTCTTCACGACCACAGAGGGACCGAACGGGAACTTGGGCGACGGCGACGTGCGACGCACGGACAACGTGAACCCGACAAAGGTGGCCCCGTGCGTCGCGCAGTCCTCCGGGGGCGACCTCGTGACGTTCACCGTCGGGGAGACGACGCTCAAGGCGGACGTCTTTCTGACCGCGCCGGCGAACGTGTACTACGTTCTCCTTCGCGCCGGGTCGCCGACGCCGACGCCGACGCAGATTTTGAACGGCAAGGACTCGTACGGGAGCTCGCCGCCGTGTTACGACTACGTGCACCCGAGCGACGCGTCGAAGAACGTGCGGTGCTACTTCGCGGACACCTCCCTCGCGGCAACCGCCGGCGTCGTCGAGTGCGCCGACGCCGGGATGTTCGACGACGGCGTCTACGCCGGGTGCACGCTCGCGACGTTCACGAATCTCACCCGAGGCGACAGCTTCGACGTGCATCTCGTGACGACGCACGTCAACGGGACGATATTGAGCGACCAGACCGGTCCGGACTCCGCCGCGGGCGCGCCGGTGTACTACGACGAGTTTTCGCGCGTCGGCGAAAAGGCGACGGCGCGGACGAAGGACGCGCAGGCGCCGTTTTTCGCGCCGGGGTACCCGAAAGTGGTCGACGTCAAGGGCACGACCGCGACGCTCTCCGCGAAATTAGACGAGCCCGGGAAGATGTACTGGATCTTAGACGAGACCGGGAACGCGTCGCCGACGACCGCTGAAGTCAAGGCGGGCACCGCCGCCGCCGGCGCCGCCGTCCTCGCGTCGGGATCCGTCGTCGCCGCCACCGTGGACAACGCGGCGGCGCCGTACAGCGACTGGTACGACGTCGCGCTCACGGGTTTGAACCCTAAATCGAGCTACGACGTCTTCATCGTCGCCGAGGACGACGGCGTCTCGCCGTACGGCGGAAACGAGCAGGCGCTGCCGACGAAGGTGACGTTCAGCGCGACGTCCACGGATGCGCACTTGGGCGCGCTCGGCGTTCGAACCGTGGACGCCAACGCGGTGTCCACCGCGCTCGCGTTGCGGCCGGCGTTTTCGCAGACGACTTTCGCGTACCAAGTTTTCGTGGACGTGGACGTGGATAACGTCAAGTTCACGCCGTCGTCGAACGATACGGAGTCCGCGAACAGCATTTACGTCAACGGCACGCAACGGCTCAGCCAGAGCGAATTTTCCGTGAGCGTCCCGCATGGAAAGACGACGTACGAGTTCGTCGTCACGGCGGGCGACGGCGCGACGCGAAAGACGTACGTCGTCGCCGTCACGCGCGCGGTGAACGATGCCGTCACGAACGCGTCCATCGTCGTCCTCGACGTCGAGTTCAACGACGGAACCACCGTGAACTCGACGCTCATGGGCGGGAAGCCGTGGCCGAAGTGCGTCAAAGGGTGCAACTCGCGTTCGAGCGCGCGATGCAGCGCGGCCAACCCGGATTGCGTCATGGACGCCGCGCAGACGAAATACGTCGTCCGCGTCCCGAGCGAGATGACGACTTTGAAAGTCAAGGCGCAGGCGGCGCGACCGACGCAGAGCACGATGCGGGTGTACACGAAGGGCACCTCCGGAGTGGATTACCCCGGGGGGTTGCCGGGATACACCACCGGCGCGGCGTTGACGTCGGTGGGGTACGTCGTGAATCTGTACCAGCTCGCGCAAAACGGAGGGAACACGATCGACGTCGTCGTCACCGCGGGGGATCAGTCCACGAAGAAGACGTACACGATCGTCGTCGAGAGGTTCGGCGTCGGCGTGTACAACGGCTGGTCCCCCGTGCGAGCGTCCGCGCCCGCGGCGGCGGCGGACGACACGCTCACGACGAGAGTCGGGATCGATCCGACGGTGCGAGACCTGACCGTCCTCCCGTCCTACGACACGACGGCGCCGTCCTTCGTCTCCTCCTACCCGAGGGCGGGCGTCGCGAACAACACTTCCGTGGAGATCGCGGTGCAGCTCGACGTCCCCGGGGTGGCGTATTACCTCGTGCTCCCGGACTATTACCGCGCGCCGACGAGCCGAGAGGTGAAAGCCGGGAGCGCGCTCCGATCGGACGCGGTCGCCCACGGCGTCATCACGAGCTTACGCGGGCTGACGCAAGAGACGCTCGCGTACGCGTACGGATTAACTTCGGCGACGGACTACGACCTGTACGTCGTCGCGGAGGATATGGCCAAGGACCTCAGGCTGGAAGCGAAGCCGAACTTGCAGACGGTACCTTTCGGGCTGAACGTGTCCACCACGGGAACGCGCTCTTGGAAGCAGTGGGGCGGAGACATCGACGGCGAAGCCGCCGGCGACGTGTCCGGGTCGGGTTTGTCCTTTTCGAGCGACGGCACGGTCGTGGCCGTCGGCACTGGTTTTAACGACGACGGCGGCGCGGACGCCGGCCACGTGCGCGTGTACAAGTTCAGCTCCGGCGCTTGGACGCAGATGGGCGCGGACATCGACGGCGAGGCCGCCGCCGATAAATCTGGGTTTGCCGTGTCGTTATCGAGCGACGGCACGATCGTGGCCGTCGGCGCTGGTTTTAACGACGACTCCGCCATAGACGCCGGCCACGTGCGCGTGTACCAGTACGTCGCGGGCGCGTGGACGCAGATGGGCGCGGACATCGACGGCGAGGCTTTCGGCGATAAATCTGGACAGAATGCGCGTGCCGTGTCGTTGTCGAGCGACGGCACGATCGTGGCCGTCGGCGCTAATAGAAATGACGGGACTGGCGGAGACGCCGGCCACGTGCGCGTGTTCCAATTTAGCTCCGGCGCTTGGACGCAGATGGGCGGTGACATCGACGGCGAGGCCGCCGGCGATCAATCTGGGTTTGCCGTGTCGTTGTCGAGCGACGGCACGATCGTGGCCGTCGGCGCTCCCAAAAACGACGGCACCGGCGCAGACGCCGGCCACGTGCGCGTGTACCAGTTCAGCTCCGGCGCTTGGACGCAGATGGGCGCGGACATCGACGGAGAGGCGGCTGGCGACGAGTTTGGGATTTCCGTGTCGTTATCGAGCGACGGCACGATCATGGCCGTCGGCGCTTACAAAAACGACGGCACCGGCGCAAACGCCGGCCACGTGCGAGTGTACCAGTTCAGCTCCGGCGCGTGGACGCAGATGGGCGCGGACGTCGACGGCGAGGCGACCGACGATCAATCTGGGCATTCTGTGTCGTTGTCGAGCGACGGCACGATCGTGGCCGTCGGCGCTTATGCTAACGACGACGGCGGCGCTGACGCTGGCCACGTGCGCTTGTACCAGTACAGCTCTGGCGCGTGGACGCAGATGGGCGCGGACATTGACGGCGACGCGGCCGGCGATCAGGCTGGGCAACTTGTGGCGTTGTCGGGCGACGGCAGGATCGTGGCTGTCGCCGGTCCTTACACCGACAGCAACGGCTCAAACGCTGGCCGCGTGCGTGTATATAAGTACTGATTCGACGTGAACGAATTTCGTGAATAATTACCATAATAGATTAACTAAAGCCTAGCTGTGTACAACGTTGTAGTGCTTCAGGCGGCCGACCCGACGGCGCCGCCGCCGGGTGTTATTTCTCCCCATTTATTGCGAGACGCGCCTAATTTTGGCGAGTGGGTCGAGAGACAGGTTGATCGGCGGGCTCGATCGGGACAGACCGTGAAACGCGCCACTTTTCACCCTTGCCGTTGACTCGCGCCCTCGCCTCTCACGCTGTCCACGCCAACGCCAACGCCACCCACGTCCAACGCCAACGCTGTGGGTGGCGTTGGCGCAGTTTCACGTGTGTCGGTTGGGGGCGAACTTTATTCGGATGTTCGCGGATAGAGTAAGGGGTCGCCGCTGCGGAGGCGGTTAGTCGCGAGTTGAGACGAGGGGGGCGGGGAGGGGAGGATGGCGAACGAGGGTATATGATGGTAGAAGAGCGCGTTGGTGTTGTTCGATGGTCGTTCGTTTTACACGGTTTCGTCGTCGTCGTCGTCGTCGTCGTCGTCGTCGTTTTTTCAGTCGACGCGCTGGCGCTTTCCAGGCCGTAGCCCGTAGCACCCCGGGCACCCGGTGGGTTTGACGCTCCTCGTGCGGTCCTTCACCGTCGCCCGCCACTCGCACGAGCACGTCCCACACTTCCACTTCGCCTTGTAGTTCGACGCTTTCGTCACCGCCGTCGCCGGCTTGTCCTTGTCGACGTACTCGCGCGACAGCTTCTTGCCGAGCTCGCCGTTCTTCTCGCACCACGCGAGGAAGTTGTTCGTCTTGCTCGCCGGCGCATTATTCGCGCACTGTGGGCACCCTTTGGGTTTGACGCTGTTCGTGCGGTGGTTCACCTTCGCCCGCCACACGTGCTTGCACTTCAAACACTTCCACTTCGCCTTGTAGTCCGACCCTTTCGTCACCGCCGTCGGCGGCTTGTCCTTGTCAACGTACTCGCGCGACAGCTTCTTCCCGAGCTCGCCGTTCTTCTCGCACCACACGAGGAAGTTGTTCGTCTTGCTCAGCGGTATGCGATTCGCGCACTTCGGACACCCCGGTGGGTTCGGCGCTCCTCGTGCGGTTGCCCACCGACGCCCGCCACTCGTGCTTGCACTCGACGTTGCTGCACTTCCACTTCGCCTTCTTGTTCGACGCATACGTCAGCTCCGTCGGCAGCTCCTCGCGGAACTCGTTGGCGAGCCTCTCGCCGCGCTCCCCGTTCTCCGCGCACCACTCGAGGAACGGCTTACCCTTCCCGTACCGGTTCACTCCATGTTTATTCACCATGATCGCCGTGTGAGACGCGGCGTGGCGGCGCGCGAGAGGAAGTGAGAGGCGACGAAAAGCCACGACACCCTCGGCGAGGCACAGGCGAAAGCTACGAGCCTCGAAATAACCGGGCCATAACCTCACGTATCATCTGGCAGCATTCAGTTCGTCACAGTCTGACAGTGCAACGGGAGACCTCTCTGTCGAGACGCGCAGTCGGGGACGCGCGGTCGCCGCGCACGGACGGACGCGCGGACGATGTCCGCAGAGGCGGAATTCCAGATGCCGTTCTGGCGGCGGTTCCTCAAGTCGAAGGGCGGCGTCGCGAACATCACGATGGCGGCGTTGTGCGTCCCTCGCCCGCGCGCGCGCGCGCGCTTCCCTCGCGATCCAATCAATCGTCGAGCGATCCCCGCGCCCCGTCGGCTTTCGGCGTTCGCGCTCTTGACTTCCCCGCTCCCCCACCCCCAACCCCGACACCTTCCACGACAGCACCGTCGCGCTATCGGTGCGGCTTCTGCAGCTGAAGGACGAGCACGCGGCGGAGAAGGAGAGGCTGACGGACGAGGTCGCGACCCTGACCGCGAGCGTGGACGAGCTCTCGAGGAAAAGAGGATGGTTCGGTCTCGCGAGCGGCGGCCGCGGTGGTGGCGTCGCCGCGAAAGGGGACGCGGCGAAATCGTCGCGAGCGGCGCGCGGTGGATCGGACTCCTCGACGGGCGGCGCCGCGGAGGCGAAGAAAGCGCTCGCGAAGCTGCGGGACGGGAAGATCATGTTGTAGCCCTCAATATGAGATAGCATTCTACTGGCATTCTACGTCTACGCGTGTTTCCGTCCCCCCTTCACCCCGCGGGCGCGACGTACGGTTTATCCACCTGGTATATCGTCCCCGCGTCCGTGGCGAAGTACAGCTGTCCGTCCGTGTCGATCGCCGCGGAGGACCCGATCGCGCCGTCCGTCTCCAGCGTCCACGCCACCGCGCCCGTGGTCTCGAGCAACGCGTAAAACGTCGCGTCCGAGCTCCCGACGTAGATCAACCCGTTCGGCGACCACACCGGGGAGGCGACGACGCCGACCGCGCCGGTGTCCCTGCCGCACGGGAGGACGACGTTCCATCCGAACCGGTACGAGAGCTCCTCCGACGTGCCTTGCTCCAGGTTGGGCGGGCACACGCCTTCGCTCTCGAGAAGCGCCGCGGCTTCGTTTTTCCGTCGGAGCGAAGCGTCGAGGTACGGCGTCGTCGCCGCGTCGCCGTCGCCGTCGCCGTCGCCGTACCCAGACCCCGACGGAGGCGGCGGAGGCGGCGGCGGCGGCGAGGAAGACGAAGAAGAAGAAGAAGAAGGCGACCGCAACGTCTGGTTCCACGCGAGCAATCCGTCCTTCACGCGAATCGCGTACAACTTCCAATCCGTGCTCCCGACGAACACCGTCGCGTCGGCGTCCCCCGGGGACATCGCCGGGGAGGAGTACACCGCCGCGGACGTTCGAAACTTCCATATCAACCCGCCGGTGACGGACTCGAGCGCGTACACGTACGAGTCCACGCTGCCGACGAACAGCCGCCCGTGGCCGTCGAGCGACGGGGACGAGTACAGCCCGCCCTCCGCGTCGAACCGCCAAATCTGTTCGCCGTTGGTCTGATTCAGGCAGTACATCGATCCCTCCATCGTGCCGACGTAGATGCGTCCGAGGCCGTCCAGCGCGGGCGACGCGAGGATCCGCCCGCGCGTCTCGTACGCCCACTTCACGGTCCCGCTGAACCCGCCGCTGCCGGTCGCGGCGTTGACGGCGTACAGCGCGGTGTCCGCGCCGATGTAGACGATGCCCTCGGGCGCGAGCGCCGCCGAGGAGACGATGGGCCGCCGCGCGCGCAGTTGCCACTTGCCGCCCAAGTGCAGACGCGGGCGGACGTACGACCACTTCGACGTCCCGTAGTTCGCGCTCACCTGCGATGGATTCGAACGGATGGATTCGAACGGACGCGCGCGAACGTCAGCGGACTTGGGTGGACGACGACGAAGACGCGAAGGAACGCCGCGGAGCGCCGAAACCGAAAAACCAAAAAAAAACCAAAAAAAAACCAAAAAGCATCCATCCGAGCCGAGTCGAGACGAGCGCCGGTCGTCCGTCCGTCTCACCGCGTGCAGCGTCCCGTCCGCTCCCCCCAAGAACAGCGTCGTGTCGCTCCCGATCGGGTTCCCGATCGCCGCGGTCGACACCACCGGCCCGTTCGCCGGGTACCGCCACTTGATCACCCCGCTCCGTTGCACGCCGTACACGAATCCATCCGTGCATCCCACGTACACGGTGCCATCCTTGGCGAGCGTCGGGGACGAGTACACCCTCCCGCCCGTGTGAAACGTCCACGTCACGTTCGGCATCGACGGCCCCGCGTACTCGCTCCTGCCGGTGTGCGCGAGGCCGTTTCGGAACATCGAGAACGGCACGGAGGACGGCCCCGCGGTGACGGTAGGCGGGTCGCGCAGCGGGGACGCGTGCGAGCTCGCGACCAGCGCCTCCGCGGCGTCGCGCGCGATGCGGTTCGCGCACGTCGCGTCGAAGACGTCCACGTCTTTCTGCGACGCCACCTGATACGTCACGCACGGGTCGTAGCACACGCCCGTGTCCGGGTAGCACGACTCGTGCTCGAGGCACGCGGGGTTCTTCTCGCGCGCGCCGTCGAGCGTGCACTTGTCCTCGCACAGCTCGATGTACTGCTCCGAGCACACGAACGGATCTTCGTCCTGCGCGCGGACGACGCCGGAGACGACGAGGAGGGCGCAAGGCGCGAGGAGGAGGACGCGCGCGAGGAGGACGCGAACTGCGAGGAGGGCGCGAGGAGGGCGCATCGTGGCGCGCCGCGACGCCCGCGCCCCCGCGCCCCCGCCCGGGTCGTTGTGATGCTGACGCTGACTGGAGGCGCGCGAACGGAAACGCGGCCCGCGGGGTCGGCGGTCGGCACTCCCGAGGCGCGTTTTCGGCGTTTTCCCTCACAGCAGCTCTCCTCCTCTCCCCGAGCCTCTCCCGCCGCGGCGCGCACTCCGCACGACGCCACCGCGCGCCGCGCACGCATCGCTCGCTCGCCGAGATCGGCATGCCGCGCCTCATCAGCGCTCGCGCGCTCGTCCTGGCGCTCGCGCTGTGCGCGCTGTGCAGCGCTCCCGGTCTCGCGCGCGCCGACGCCGGTCCCTCCGTCGACTTTTCGCACGTGCGCGACTTTATTCGCGCGAAGGGCGCGTCCTCCACCGCGTCCGGGGCGGACGGCAGCGTCGGCCTCATGGACGCGCTGTTCGCTTCCGACGCGCTGGTCGCCGCGCGCGCTGGCGGCCGCGCGCGGGGCGGCGCGGCCGCGAGCGCGGCGAACGCCGCCGGCCGCCGGCGCCTCCTCGGCGGAGCGAACCCCGAGACGGGCGCGGCGGGCGACGAACCCGAGGCGACGAACGCGGACGCGGACGCGGACGCGGACGCGACGGACGCGACGGACACGACGGAGACGTCGCGCAACTTCCTCGCGAACGCGCTGCTGCTCAACCGCCTCCGCGCGTCCCTCGCGCGCGATGACGACGCCGCCGCCGCGACCGACGGCGGCGGCGACGCGGCGCAGACGGGCGTCGCCGCCGCCGCGCTCGCGGCGGCGCTTCGAAGCTACGCCCCCGCGGCGACGGTGTTCGGCGGCGTCCTTCGCGACATCGCGGCGCGTCGCGAGACTGCGCTGACGCCGCCGCCGCCGGCGGCGGCGGATTCGACCGTGACCGCGAGCGACGCGGTTGATTCGACCGTGACCGCGACCGGCACCGCGTTCGACGCCGCGCGCCGAGCCGCCGCCGCGCGCGCGATGGAGTTTCTTCTCAACGCGACGGGGGACGGCGCGCTCGCCACCGTCGCCGCCATGTCCGCGCCAGGGTCCTCCGACGGCAACGGCACGTCCACGGCGACCGCTGCCGAGCTCGCGGCCGCGCTCGACGCGTGGACCGCCGCGCTCGACCTCGGCTCCGTCGACGTCGCGGCCGCGATCGACGCCGCGATCGACGCGGGGGTGGAAGGGATGCGGACGTCCGTCGCCGCCGACGCGGACGCCGCCGCCGCGTACGAAGCCCTGTTCGCGTCGTCGCTCGAGGCCGCGGGAGCGTTCATTCAGGGGCAGTTCAACGCGTCGTTATCATCGAACGCGGAAGGCGGCGGCGGCGGCGGCGGCGGCGATGGCACGAACTCGAGCGCGCTGACGGGGCAGTCGTTTAACGACCTCCTCGGCGCCGCGATCGAGATGGCGCAGCGAAACGCGTTGGAATTCGTCAACCTCGGCGTGACGCCCGACGGCGACGGCGTCGACGATTTATCCCCGGAAAACGCGGTCGCGCTCCTCGATCGCGTCACGGAAGTCCTCGCGCTCGCGCGCGGGGAGTTTACGAGCGCGCTGGAGGGATCGAACGCGACGGATCCCGCGGGTATCGCCGGGATCCCGTTCGACGGCGCCGCCGCCGGCGCCGACGGCTACCTCTCCTACGCGGAACTCATGCGCATGATCGGCGACGTCACCGGGCTCCCGGTCACCGAGGACGGCAGCGGCGGCGTCGCGCTCACGGCGACGGACGACACGTCCTGGCTCGAGCAAAACTTCGCGGTGTTCGGGGACGACCCGCTCGGACTGTTCAACTTTTCGTCGCTCGACGACGGCGGCGTCGCCGCGTTGTCCGGCCCGCCGTCGCCGACGGAGACGGAAGACGAATCGTCCACCGAAGACACCGCGCCCTCGAAGAGCGAGAAGAAGGACCTTTTGGATAGCGGCAACCTCACGATGGAGGCGATCCTCCTGCGCGCGACGATCGTCCTCGCCGCGTGTGTCGTCCTGTGCGGCTGCTGCGTGCTCTGCAAACGCGCCGCGAGTTGCCGCCGCGACGTCGACGGGAACTCGCGCTCGCGTCGAATGACGTCCACGAACGACATGCGCGCCGCGGCGGCCGCGGACGCCGCCGCGAACGGCACGGAGACCGGAGATGCGAACGCGAATCGCGTCACGCGGACGGAGACGTCGACGAAGATCGACCTCTCGGACGCGACCGGCGGCGGCGGCGGCGGCGGCGAGACGCTCGAGTCGTTTCCGCTCGGGAGAGGCCGCGGCGTCACGGCGGACGACACCGGGGAGATTCGCCTCGCGCTCGGGAAGATCGAGACGAAGGTGGACGCACTCGGGAAGAAGGCGAGAGACGCGGCGAACGGCGTGGACAACCGCGCGTGAGACGATGGCGGGGCGTGGGGACGGCCAGAGGCGGCCGCGCACTGTACATAACCTTAACCGCACTCGTCTCGTTCTGTTCTCGTCAACCGGCTGGGCCTTTCACGCTCGCTCGACGCCTTCTTCGTTTTCGACGTTTCGCGAAGCCGTCCGACGTCCATTCCGCCGCCGCACGAGACCCTTCGTCCATCCACGCGGAGACATGGTCGACCCCGCCGCGGCCGCCAAGGGCAAGAAAGACGACGACAACGCGAGCGCGATCGCGGAGAAGCTCCTCCAAGGCTGGACGATGCTCGCGGAGTACTGCCCCGTGGAGGGCTGCCAGACGCCGCTCATGCGCTCGCGCGAGGGAAAGCGCTTCTGCGTCGCGCACGACATGTTCGTCATGTCCCCGGAGGAAGCGGCCGCGATGAAGAGAGACGGCAAGGGCGTCGCCGGGATCGAGGCGTCGTCGCCGACGCACGCCGCGCCCGCGCCTCGACCGGCGGAGCGGATCGACTTCTACCGACAGCTCAAGGACGGATCGTCGCCGTCGACGATCCCGGAGCCGGTCGTCGCGATGGACGCCGCGCCGACGCCGCCGACGACGACGACGACGGCGCTGCCGTCCACGGCGACGGACGCGTGCGACGCGCGCGTGAACGTCGACGCCGTCGCGCGCGCGACGATGGACACGGTCGCGCGGAAGATGTCCGACGCGCGCGCGCTCCTCGCGGTGAGCGCGTCGCTGAGCGAGTCGCACGAGCTCTTGGCGTTTATCGAGATGTGCGCGTCGACGATCAAGACGCTGCGGGAGACCCCGCCGTCGCGCGGGTGAGGAGCGCGCGCGCCGCCGCCGCGTCGTCGATCGATCGATTGGATTGGATTGGATTGGATTGGATTGTCAATACAGACCATAGAGGTAGAACTACAGCACACCGTCGTCGTCTCGCGAGTCGTCAGTCAGTCGCCGCTCGCCGCTCGCCGCTCTCGGGATCACTCCGCGATGACTTCGCTCTTCTTCCGCTCTTGCAACGACAACAAACCGGCGTAGACGCCGCCCTCTCTCGCGACGAGCTCCTCGTGCGTCCCGCCCTCGACCACCTCCCCGTCCGCGATGACGTTGATCCGATCCGCGTGCCTGACCGTGCTGAGACGATGCGCGACGACCACCGCCGTCCGCCCGCCGAGCGCGAGCAACCGATCCAACGCGCTCTGCACCGCCGCCTCGGACTCCAAATCCAACGCGCTCGTGGCCTCGTCCAGGAGCAACAACCGCGGGTGCCGAAGAAACACGCGCGCGATCGCGAGCCGCTGCCGCTGCCCGCCGCTGAGCCGTATCCCGCGCTCGCCCAACCGCGTCTCGTACCCGTCCGGCATGGCGGCGATGAAGTCGTGCGCGTTGGCCTGAGGGTCGTTCCATACGAGCGAATGTCGGGGTGGAGTTGAAAGGCGTCAGGTGGAGTTGAAAGGCAACGAGGGCGGGTATTGAAAGCGAGGGATGGGCGGAGAGATGCGCCGGCAAAAGTCCTTAAGAAACGGCGTTCACCACGCAAACGGGGTCGTATGGGGACTTGTGTACAGAACGCACCTTTCTCGCCGCGGCTTCGATCGCCTCCTCCGTCGCGTCCTCCTCCGCGACGCCGTACCCGATGTTCCCCGCGATCGTGCGGTTGAACATCTGCGTGTCTTGCATGACGAGGCCGACGTGGCGGTGCACGCTCGCGAGGTTGAGCGACCGGATGTCGCGTCCGTCGAGCGTGATGGCGCCGCCTTTCACGTCGTAGTACCGCAGAAGCAACGAGACGACGGTGGTCTTGCCGCCGCCGCTCTTCCCGACGAGCGCCGCGGTGGACCCGCCCGGGATGACGACGTTCATGCCGCGCAACACGATGTTGTTCGGGCGCATTTGGTACCAGAACGTGACGTTCTCGAGCGCGACGGCCGGGCCGCGCGCCCGGCTCGGCGCGAACGTCGCGCCCGACCGCGGCGCGATGTCGGGGAGGTTGTCCTGCAGCGAAAACACCCGAGACGCGCTCCCGGCGGCTCGCACCAAGCTCGTCACGCAGTTCGACAGCGCGGTGTACGAGCTCGTGACGGCGTTGAAGTACAGCTGGAACGTGATCAGCGCGCCGATCGTGAGTCGAGGGTCCGGGCGCTCCATCGTCATCCCGCCGCCGAGCCAGAGGATCAAGACGGACGTCCCGAGCTCGAGGAGGTTCGTCAGCGCCACCGTCCCGGCGCCGCCGAACGCGTCCTTGACGCCCGCGACGAGCGCCGCCCGCGCGTGCTCTTCGTACCTCGCGAACTCCACGTCCTCCGAGCTCGTCGCGCGCACGGTCCGGACGTTCCCGAGCGCCTCGTTCGCGACGTTGGACGCGAGGCCGAGCATCGCGCTGATCTCACGGTTCAGCGTTTGCGACCACCGCGCGTACCGCTTGATGAGATACGTGATCGGCATCACGACCGCGAAAGATACCATCGCGAGTCGCCAGCACACGTAGAAGCACATCGTGAGGCCGCCGGTGATGACGACGATGTTCTGCGCGGCCAAGGACATCACGGTGTTACACGGCGACGTGAGGTTCGTGCAGTCGTACGAAAGCCGCGAGAGCAGATCGCCGGTGTTCACCGAGTCGAAGTACGCGATGTCTTGGCTCAGGATGTTCTTCAGCAGACCGGTGCGCACTTTAAACGCGAGCCGCCGCCCGACGAGGGAGAAGCACGCGCCCTTGCACGCGCTGAACAGCGCGACGCCCATGGACGACGCGAGCAAGAGCGCGGCTCGGCGGTGGAATTTTTCTTTATCCGACGCGATGGCGGCGTCGATGGCGGCGCCTTGAAAGTGCGGCACGAACAGCGCGGCGACGGACGTCACGAGCGTCAGCCCTATCGCGCACGCGAGCAGCTGCCACTCCAGCTTCGCGAGCCCCAACACGCGCCACAGGTACTCCGCGGGCGTCCTCTCCTGGTCCGCCTTGGTGCCCTTGTCGCCGCGTATGCCGCCCTCCGCGGTGTTCCGGTCCTTCCGACAGAAGCACCGCATGCAACAGTCGAAATCGCACGTCTTGCACCGGAACCCTCCGAACCGCAGTCCTTTGCTCCCGGCGACGAGCCGTAACCCGCACATATCGCACACGTGCCCGACGACGCGGTCGTGGAACTGTAGCTCGTGCGCGTGGAAGTCTTTCCGAAGCACGCCGGTTCGCACCGTGCACGCCGCGACGTAGGCTCTGAGGTACACGGACTGCGCGTTCACGCACGCGATGCTCAGCGACATGAGGAGGACCGTCTGCAGCGTCTTGCGCGGGGCGTAGTAAAACGTCACGGTCTTCACGGCGACGTACGCTTGCATCGCGATGCACAGCAAGAAGGTCAGCTCTACGACGACGTTTCTTCGAAACACCGCGCGCTGGTTGTGCCTCTGGTCCTCCTCGCTCGGCGCGAAGTCGTTCGGGTCGAACGTCGAGGCGTCGTTCGGGGCGTCCCCGACGCTGAGGGTCGTCGGCGTCGTCGTCGCGTCGGCGTCGTCGTCCGCGTCGTCGGCGTCGGCGCCGAGCAAGGGGGCGTCCACGGCGTCGGCGTCGTCGTCGGCGTCGGCGTCGTCGTCGTCATCCCCCGGGGCGAGATCCCGTCCCCTTCGTCGCCGCCGTCGCGGTCGCTTCGCCGGCGGCGGCGGGCCTTTGTTCCGCTGCTTCCCGAGCGTCACCGCGAGCGTGCCCGCGGAGGCGTACAAGACGACGCGGAAGAACACGAGCGCGAGGAGGTCGCCGACGCCGTCCTTGAACGTCGCCGCGGACGTCCATCGCGAGATCTCGCGCGGGAGCTCGCCCAAGCGTTTCTCGCGCCCAAAGTACAGACGCGCGTTCGCGCTGACGTCCACGAGCACGAGCGCGATCAACACGGCGAGGTTCTTCCGCTGGTGCCGTCGGATGCTGTCCTCGTCCGTCTTCGTGAGGAAGAACGACGCGCGAGCCATCCTTCGCGCGCGTCGCGCTCTGCACGTCGCGAAAGGACAATCTGAGGTTTCACTAGTGTTTGATCAAGTGGACAGCTGTGTGAGTCAGGTTGTGCTTGTGCTACAAGTAGAAGCAGGTAGAAGCGCTCGCGGAAGGTGTCAAGAAGTTAACTGAAGTATAAACTTATATTTCCTCTCGAGAGTATTACCTCCGATGTTCGATATGTACAGTGCAGAGGAACGTCCGTCGCCGCCGGGCGCTATCCCGACGTGCGCGTCGTCCGTCCTCTCGCCTCTCCTCCTCGGCCGCGACCGCCGCGTCGGCGTTTAAATTAAAAACCGCTGATCGATGAGGCTCTTCCGCGAGATGTTGATCTCGCCCCACGTCGATCGAATCACGTCCACGCCCATGCCGACGACCCACGTGCAGAACGCCGCGATCGCGAACGACGTGACCTCCATGTCGATTGCGGTGAACACGAGCACGTCGAAGATCAACAGCTGCCACTCGATGCCGTAAAACAACACCCGCGTGAACGCCATCTTAAAGTCGTGGTAAAAGATCGGCGACGCGCCTTGCATCATGCTCACCGACTCCGGGGGCATGTCCGTGAACTTGTCCATGAACGGCCTCTCGAGCACGAACGACCCCGCGTTTGCCTCCGTGAAGTTGATGAGCTGTTTGAAAATGTCGGAAATCTCCTCCGCGGCGGCGATCGTGGCGTCCGACGCGATCGCGCTCGGGCGGTTCACCATACCGCCGCCGACCGCGTTCCCATACCCGGCGTTCCCGTACCCGCCGCCGTACCCGTTCACGTTGTTGTTGTTGTTCCCCCACGAGTTGGAGTTCATCCTCGACATCGCGCGCGTGAACATGCCGCCGCCGACGCTCGACACGGCGACGGACTCTTTGATCCTCGACAGAAGTTTGCTCTCGTACGCCATTCGCAACTCCTTCGTGATGAACATCTCGAAGCACTGGTTCTCCGCGAGCTTCTCCGTCGTCGCCGCGGGTACTAACCCTCTCGCGCCAACCTGCATCTCTTCTTCTTTCCTAAACTGGTGACACAGCTCCGCCATGGACGTGTCCGCGAACGCCATCTGCGACCGGCCGTGGATGTAATACCCCGAGCACTCGTCGTCCAAGATGACGATCGAGACGTTCGACGTCGCGAGGAGGTCGATGAACTGCTGCATCGGGCTCTGCACGTAGTTGTGATAGAACACGATCTTGTAAACCATCTGTCCGATCGCGATGAGGATCATGAGACCCGCACCGAGGGCGTACCGCAGCATCACGGATTGGACCTGGTAGTACAGGTATTCGTCCGTGTTCAACGTCGGCTCGATCACCGCGAGGCCTTTGTAGTTCAACCCCTCGAGGAACAAGATCATGAAAAGCAACGTCAGCGGGCGGCTCGTGAGTCGCTTCGATTGGATCTTGTTCCACTCGTTGGCGATGAAGAACTGCCTCCACGCCGACACCGGCGTGGACGTGTTTTTGCCCCCCGCCGTGGTCGTCGTCCGCGGCTTTTCCCAATCGAGAAAGAACACGTCGTAGTTGCACTGCCAGTACAGCGTGTGCGCCATGGACACGGACGCGAGAGAGACGGCGACGACGAGGAGCTCCTTGAACAGCTTCACGTTGGTGTCCGAATCGACGGGGATCATCGTGTATGGGTCTTCTTGGCACTTGAAAAAGATGAACCAGTACCCGCCCGCCATGAGCAGGACGACGACGAACCCGGCGCTGACGTGTCCAGCCGCGGTGCAAATCCCGGACACGAGCGCCATCGTGTCTTGGTCGCGGACTTGCCTCCTTCTCGACGTGCGAACGACGCGCGTCATCCAGTGCACGCCAAAGATGACCATGATGGAGATCATCAAATCTTCCCACGTGCTCCAAAACGTGATCCCGGCGTCGCTGTACGTCGTCCGGAAGGAGATGGACTCTTCGGTCGTGTACGCGTAGCTCGGCACGCGCTGGGCGTACGTGACCGTCAACACGGGGGCGTACATCTTCGTGACGTCCTCGGACTGGAGCGTGATTGAAAACTCCAGCGTCGCGGCGTACGTGATACCGACGGCGGTGGAGCCCCAGGTTTCCACGCCGGCTGTCTCGTCGAGCATGAAGAACCGTCGGACGTACAGGTCGTCCGTGCTCGCGGCGTTCGAGTTCACCGCGATGTTCGTCACCTTGATCGGCACGGGGTACAGATCCTCCGGCCACGTCGACGCCGTCGCCGCGCTCCCGGCGAGGTCTTGCACGTACAAGTCGTAAAACAAAGTCTCCTTCGCCTGGTCAGCGGACGTCCCGAACACGCGCGCGGCGGTCAGCACTTCCGCGAGGCTCATCGTGCAGTCGTTGTAGTAGTTCGTCCCGATGCGCGTCCACTCCTCGATGTCGTCTTCTCTCCCGCCGCAGAGCTGAAGCCAGCTCCCGACTTCGCGGAACCCGAGCCACTGCCCGCTCAGCGTCGTGATCGAGAGCACGAAGACGAGGTTGGCGATCGACGCCGTGTCGCTCGGCGCCTTGAAGCTCGCCGTGGACGCGAAGTCCGTACGCGTGAGGTAGTCGTTCGTCGTGTCGTAGAAGAGCCACGGCATCGTCTCGGACCACCCCACGGACGGGCTCAGCGTGCTGTGGTACACGTTCGCCTTGCGCAAGGTGACGAGCGCCGAATACATCGAACACGCCGTGGAGGTCGTGTCGTACATCGTCAAGACGCACATGTTCGTCAGCGAGTCGCACGCGGTTCGGTTCGCGTAGTAGTAGCAGTCGCCCGCCATCGCGGTGAGGTTCGAGGTGAGGTACGCGCTCGTCGCCGTGACCGAGCTCGAGGACGCGCCGAGATCGGTGTAGGAAATCTGGTACGAGGACGACGAGAGCGTCACCGAGAGCGCGGTGGCGACCGCGCCCGAGTAAGCCGTCGACAATTGACCGCTCAAGCAGTTGGCCGAGCCGTGCGTCGAGCACGTGCACAGGTTTTGGTCCGTTGAACCCGCCCCCGCGGTCTTTTGCACCATCGTGGTGGCGTCTGTCGAGGACCACGGGCACTGGAAGGCCCTACCCTTCGCCGACGGGTCCTCCGTCGCGGTCACGCAATTCTTCGTCGGCTTGCCCAACCCGTCCTTAAGGCGCTGGCCAAGGGCGTCGAACTCGACGATCATGGTGCCAGCACCGGCGCAGACGCACTCGCCGTTCGTGGCGGTCCCCGTGGTGCCGGTGTACGCCACGGTACTACCCGAGATCACCGCGTTAGCGGCAGTATTGTCGCACGTCAGGCACGTGGTTCCGTCCCAGGACACCGCGTTCGGGGCGCAGCTGAGAGTGGTCCGATACGGTGTCGTCCCGGAGCCGAAAATCTGGATGGCGCCCGAGGTGCGCGTGGCCTCGCACTCGAGGCCGTCGGGGCGGACGCTGTAGCCGGTCGGGCACGCCTTGCATTCCGCCCCGACTGGGTCGAACATGTTCGTCGTCGTGCCGCATTTCGTCGCCACGTTGTCGGGGGTGCCCCAGTACGAGTTCGCCCAGTTGCCCTCGACCTACGATTAGATTAGGACGGGTGGGGCGGCGATGAGCGTCGCGGAGAGAGAGCGCGCGGGTCGCGCGCGCGGTCGTCGCGGGCGAAAAAGAAGAGAAAAAAAAAGGAATGGCAACAACGACGACAACGACGCGCGCGGACGTCGGGGTCTGGACGCACCGCGAAGGCGGTCACGGTCGTCGCCGCGTTCGCGACGGAGACGGTGCACAGCAGCGCCACCGCGGCGAGCGCGAGGGCGTGAACGCGCGCCATCGTTCTCGTCGAGACGCGCGCGCGCGATAGTGTCGTTGCGTTTCAAACAACCCGGGCGTTTGTTCGTCCGCTCCAACGACTCCCAAAGTCCGACCGACCGCGACGACCGACCGGTTTAGTGGGGTTTTAGGAAGATGGCGGCTGCTCTCGACCTCCTCTTCCGACCGCGCGCGACACGTCATGAACTTCGCGCAGAGCATGGGCGCGAAGCCCGGGGGCGACGCGGACACGCCGCTGCGCTCCGTCCAGATCGACGGCCAGGTGCGCGACCGCTCGATCGCGCGCGAAAGGCACCGCGAGACCCGTTCAGACCCGCCCTCAGAAAAGATCCTCCGCCGCGCCCTCTCGCGCGCGAGCGACGCGAAGCGATCGCGCCGCCGCCGCCTCCCTCCGCGCGCGTCGTTCCCGCGCTCCTCTCCCACATCGTCGTCGTCGTCGTCGCGCGCGTCGCTGACGCCTGAACCCCCCCCGCCCCCGCCCCCGTCCCCCGCCGCTCCTCCGACGCGTCCGATCGCAGGTCGTCATGAAGATCGTCAAGCACTGCACGGAGCAATCCCCCGCGCTCGTGACCGGGCAGCTCCTCGGCCTGGACATCGGCGCGACGCTCGAGGTGACGGACTGCTTCCCGTTCCCGAACGCGCCGACGCGCGCGACCGCGGAGGCTGACCTCGCGGACGCGGACGCCCTGGACGAGGGCGCGAACTACCAGCTCGAGATGATGCGTTGCTTGCGAGAGATAAACGTGGACAACAACACGGTGGGGTGGTACCAGTCCACGTACCTCGGGTCGTTCTACACCGAGGAGCTCATCGAGACGTTTTTGGCGTACCAGGAGAACATCAACCGGTGCGTGTGCGTCGTGTACGACCCGACGAGGGCGGCGAGCACGGGGACGTTCGGGTTGAAGGCGCTGAGGCTCTCGGAGAAGTTTTTGAAGATTCACAAAGCGGGCGAGTTCACGTTTGAGAAGCTCGCGGACAAGTCGATATCCTGGGCGGAGATCGTGTGCGAGGTGCCGTTGAAGATTAGCAACAGCGCGCTGGTGAGCGCGGTGATGGGGGAGCTCACGAAGGAGGTCGCGAGCGAGGACGTCGCGGGCGTGACGCAGTCCGACCTCGACCGGCTGTCGATGTCCACGAATCCGTTCCTGGAGAAATCCCTGGAGTTTCTCTCCGAGTGCATGGACGATCTCAGCGCGGAGCAGCAGAAGTTTTCGTACTACATGCGCCAACACGCGCGCCAGCAGCTGATAGCGAGCCAGTGGATGACGAAGCGGAAGCAGGAGAACGCCGCGCGTCAAGCGGCGGGGCAGGAGCTTCTTCCGGAGGAGGACGACCCGAACAACCCGGCGGCGAAATCCGCCAGCGAGCCGTCGCGGCTGGAGGCGTTTCTCATCGCGAACCAGGTGAACCAGTACTGCGAGCAGATCAGCGACTTCTCCGAGCAGAGTCTGCAGAAGTTGTTGCTCGTGTCGGGGGCGAGGAAAGAGGAGACGGCGTGATGATTGGGATTGGGTCCACGCGATGCGAATCGACGTCGCGTTGTAATACACGCGCTGCGCGGCACGCGCAAAAAAATAAAAAAAGCTATGAAGAGTCCCGCCGCCGCCGCGTTTACGTTTTAACGATCCTCCTACTCCTCTTCCCGATCCCCGCGCCGTCATTCGTCCTTCTTCGTCTCGAGTGCATCCTTCCTCACCCCGGTCTCCGACCCGGTCGCCAAGAACTTGATCGCGGTGCTCGCGATCAACCAGAACCAGTACACGTTCAACAGGATCGGCACCGGCAAGAGCAGCCGCGCGGCCCATGTCTCGTTCGCGCCGAGCTCGCTCCAGTCCCCCGCGAAATACGCGGTGACTAACCGCGGGATGACCGCGATCCGAATCGTGAAGAACAGAGGGATCCACAGGATGCCGTTCCAGAAGTACACCCTCCCGCCTTCCTTCCCGCACTTCATGAGGAACCACCGCAGGGACATGTTAAAGTTCGTCACCTCGGAGACGAGGAAGTAGTTCACGAAGTACACGCAACGCCCCGAGGTGACGGCGTACGGCCACGCCGCGAGCGAGAGCGTGTGGTGTATCAAGAACAGGACGTACGGCGACGCGCCGCCGTACGCGCGCATCTGATCCCGCGCGTCCAAGAGCATCACGAGCAGGTCCCACGTCATGTACCCGAGCGATATCCCGCATCCTCTGAGCGTGTCCGCGGTCGCCGCGTGAAGGAACGACCCGGACGGGCCCGCGTACGCGAGCACCGCGGGCGCGGCGAAGTACGTCACCGCGAACGTGGGGAGGAACGTCACCGCGTTCGTGTGCCACGTCTTGCGCTCGTTCGGTTTCAAGCGCGCCATGTCCGCGCGGAACAGCCGCGGGGAGATCACCGCGGACGCGATAAAGACGCACGCGCACAGGAACAGACCAAAGACGAGGTGCGCGAGGAGGATCTGGAGCGGGACGCCGTTGGACGTTCGCAGGCCCGCCATCTTCATCGCGCGCGCGATGGCGTCGTCCACGATGGGGCCGAGCGGGCCGACCTCCGCGGCGAGCTTCGCCGCCTTCGCGGCTTTGCCGCCGAACATGACGACGACGTCCGAAGCGGACGCGCGGACGCGCGCGATGGATGTGATGAGACGATCGGAACCGGACGCGGTCCAACGGTTCGCGCTGCAGCGGGAAGTTTTTCATCCAGTCTCACAGATAGAGCAGTCTGGCTGGTCGGGTAAGACGTCGTATGACAACCGTTGGGTTCGTTCTCTAACTCTCTCGCGCGTCGCGCGCACTCGATCGCGTCCTCCGTTTCCTCTCCTCCACACCGTCCACTCTCCTCCTCGCGCTCGTCGTCCTCACGCCGCGGGCGCCTTGACGCACTCGCACGCCTTGCAGTCCTTCGCGCACGTCCTCGCCGACTGAGGGTCGTCGCGCGCGAGGCGACGTCGGGGTGGAGTTGAAAGGCGTCAGATGGAGTTGAAAGGCGTCGCGGTCGGGGATTGAAAGCGAGGGATGAGCGGAGAGACACGCCGGGAAAAGTCCTCAAGGAACGGCGCGCACCGCGCGAACGCGGTCGTGTGGGGACCGGCGCGAGAGGGAACGCGCCTTGTTCGCGAAGTCGACGGGGGTCTTCGTCCACGCGTTCCAGGTCTTCGTCGCGGCCGCGATGGACGGCTCCGTGGAGTTATCGAAGTGCGCTTTCGCGGCGGGGCAGCAGAAGATGTAGAGCTTGTCGTTGAAGATCTTGAAGATCGTCGGGTCCGCGTGCCAGAGCTCGCCGTGGGAGACGCCTGCGAGGGCGGGTCGGGGTGTTTGGTTTCGGGCAGGGGAAAAAAATAAGATTAAAAAATCGCGCAGAGTTGGGCGTCCCTCGTCGCGTTCGCTGAGGCGCGAAAGACTACAGTATCCCGAGAACGCACCCGTCGCGCAGAAGCCGCCGTACGCGGGCGCGTAGTCGTGCAGGTGCCCAGCCTTGAACTTCGCCGCGTTCTCCGCGCTGGAGAAGACGTACCGCACGCGTCCCCAACGAACGTTCTCGGTGAAGACCTCGTGCGCGGAGTCCCCCTTCACGGGCGCGCCGGTCTCGTAGCTCACGACGTCGTAGCCCCGCAGCGCGGTGCCGCCGTCGTCGGGGACGTCGACGCGCGCCATCACCTCTTCGGCGTCCGGCGCGGCGACGCCTTGCACCGCCTGCCCGCGCACGGGCTGGATGTGACCGTGGCCGTTGTGTTGCTTCGGGTTCGCGTCCTGAGACATGGGTGGGTGCACGCGTGGAGCGAGCGAGGCGGCGCGCGCGCGTCGGTGTGCGACGACGAGATCGTCGTCGTCGTTGCTTTTTCCCGCCCGCGTCGTGGCTTTTCTATCCCCGCCCGCGTTCTCGGAGCGATCGACGCGTCGCTCTCGTTCGCGTCGATGAAACCAAAAAAGTGGCCGCGCAATCTATTTCTTCACGCATCACGTCACGACGCACCGCCGCCGCTCGGCCCGGTCTTCTCGCGTCTTCTCCCCCTCGCCGCCGTCGTCCGCGTCTTCGCCTCCGTCCTCCTCCTCATCCTCATCCGCCGCCGCCGCTCTTTCCGGGTCGTACGTCAGCGCACTCGTGTCCACGCCGTACTTCTCGCGCATGCGAACGCTCCACGGGTCGCGGCGTTCGCTCCGCCCCGACCCGCCGCCGCCGCCGCCGCCGTCCGACGCGCTCGACCTCGGCGTCCTCGTCGCGGACCCACCCGCCGCCCTCGGCGACTCGTCCAGCAGGGGGCGTCGCAGCCCGCGTCCCGGGTGCCTATCGCCGCGCCTTCGCCGCCGCGGCGCGTCGTCCTCGTCCGACGAGAACGAGTCCTCCTCCGCGTGATCGTCGTCGTCGTCGTCGTCGTCGTCGTCGTCGGAGAACGCTCGCCGCCGCCGCCGCCGCCGCCGCCGCCGCGGCGCGCGCGCCTTCGCGCGACTCAACCCCAGCGCGAGCGAAACGGACAGTACCTGTATCGCGAACACCGCGACGGAGAAGCACTCCACGACCTGCAGCCGGTCGTGAACGAGGTTCCACGCGCGCTCTTCGTTCCCGGTGATGTCCTTCGGCGGCGTTCGATACAAAGCGACGTCGGGGTGGAGTTCAAAGGCGTCAGTTGGCGTTGAAAGGCGTCGAGGTCGGGGATTGAAACCGTGGGGTGGGCGGAGAGAAACGCCGGCAAAAGTCCTTAAGAAACGGCGTTCACCACGCCAACGCGGTCGTATGGGAACCAGTGTGTAGAACGCGCCTTCGGCAGCGTTCGAAAGTCTCCTCTCGCGAGGAACGCCGCCGCGACGACGACGGCTTGCGCGAGCAGAAGCGCGACGACCATGCACGCGTAGGGTTTCAGACAGCACGCGCACGACCGCGTGCCCGCGCCGCATAACCCGAGCGCGGCGGTGAGGACGATGTACACGCCGACGCCGCCGAAGGCGTAGAGGAACCTGCGGGACGGCGGGGGAGCGGTCGGCGCGGCGCGCTGTGAGAAAAAAGAAGAGCTGCCGCGAGCTGTCGTTGCGAAAATCGTCGCGGCGACGTCGTCGCGGCGCGCGGGGCTCCGCGGCGCGCGATCGCGGCGGACGCGAGCGAGAGCGCGCGAGCGCGCGCGCACCACGGCTCGTCCGCGGTGACCTCGCTCCCGGGCGGCGACGGCGGCGCCGCGGCCGACGGCGGCGGCCCCGCGCCAGATCCTCCCCCTCCTCCGTCGCTGCCGCGCTCCTTCTGAAACGTGAGAAGAAGATGGAGCGCGAAGAGCGCCGCGAACACGCCGAGGACGAGCAGCAGCGCGTTCGTGAACTTCAGCGCGCCGCGCAGGCATCCGCGGAGGGTCATCGCGCGCGCGCGGCGGCGTGCGCGCGTCGACGACGGCGCGACGCGCGGCGCGGCGGACACTGAGCACCGCGTGAGATTCGAGTGTTAACTTCCGTTTCGAAGCGACGCGTCGAAAAAACGAAAGGGCACGATCCCGAAGCGGCGCGATCGCCACACGCGATCGCGCGCGCCGCGAGCGGATCTCGAAGCCACGTCGCGTGATTCACGCGTCACGACGACGCCCGAGGCGCCTCCGATCTTCTCGCCCCTCCCCCGAGACGACTCCGATCGCCAAACACCGCCGCCGCGAGAGATGAGCGGTCTTCGCCGACTCCTCGCGAACGGCGGGCGTCTGCTCAACTGCGCCGCCCCGCGCGCGCGCGGCGGCGACGCGTCCAACGGCTTTTTCGCCCGCGGCCTCGCCGGGAGCGCGAAGATTTCCGCCGCGCCGATGGTGTACGTCGCCGGCGAGGAGATGACGCGATACACGATGCAGCTCATCTTAGACAAGTGGGTCTCTCCGCACGTGGACACCTCGCGTTGGGAGTTTTTCGACCTTCGCGCGAAGAACAGGGACGACACCGAGGACCAGGTCCTGCGCGACGTCATCACCGCGGGCGCGAGGCTCAAGGCGATCTTCAAAGAGCCCACGATCACGCCGACCGCGGACCAGGTCAAGCGCCTCGGTCTCAAGAAAGCCTGGGGTTCCCCGAACGGCGCGATGCGTCGCGGCTGGAACGGCATCACGATCTCGCGAGACACGATTCACATCGACGGCGTCGAGCTCGGGTACAAGAAGCCGGTGTTCTTCGAGCGTCACGCCGTCGGCGGGGAGTACTCCGCCGGGTACAAGATCGTCGGTAAAGGGCAGCTGAAGACGACGTTCGTCCCCGAGGGCGGCGGCGACGCGATCGTCGTCGACGACCGCGCCGTCGTCGACGACTTGAACGCCGTCGTGACGTACCATAATCCGTTGGATAACGTGAACCACCTCGCGCGGATCTTCTTCGGCAGGTGCCTCGACGCCGGCATCGTGCCGTACGTCGTCACGAAGAAGACGGTGTTCAAGTGGCAGGAGCCGTTCTGGGAGACGATGAAGCGCGTGTTCGACGACGAGTTCAAGGAGAAGTTTCGCGCGAAAAAAATCATCGGCGACAACGCGGAGCTCGTGCACCTTCTCTCCGACGCGGCGACGATGAAGCTCGTGGTCTGGACCGACGGCGGGTTCGGCATGGCCGCGCACAACTACGACGGCGACGTCCTGACCGACGAGCTCGCGCAGGTGCACATGTCCCCCGGGTTCATAACCTCGAACCTCGTCGGCGTCGACGCGGACGGGACGCTGATCAAAGAGTTTGAGGCGTCGCACGGCACCGTCACGGACATGGACGAAGCGCGCTTGCGAGGCGAGGAGACGAGCTTGAACCCGCTCGGGATGGTCGAAGGGCTCATCGGCGCGATGAACCACGCCGCGGACGTCCACGGCGGCGCGGACGCCGTGCACCCGTACACCGCGAAGCTCAGGGCGGTGATTCACAAGCTGTTCCGCGAGGGCCGAGGGACGCGCGATTTGTGCGGCGCGGGGGGGCTCACCACGGAGCAGTTCATCGACGCCGTCGCCGCGGAGCTGTGACGCGCGCGGCGAGACGCGGCGGGACGCTCGAAGAGTCGATCGCTCGTTTGAGATATCTTTTGATTTGTTGAGACATAATTTACTTTGAAGACGACGCGACGACGCGACGACGCGACTCGATTTCGGTCTCCGTCTAAAAGAACGCGAAGACGCGAGCGGCGACCGCCGCGAGTCCCGCGACGCCGCCGCCGCCGTACGCTCTCCTCGCGGCGACCGACCTCGCCCCCGACCCCGCGCGCGGCCTCCCCCCGACGCGGACGCGCCCCACGCCGCGGGATCCGCCGGCGACGCGCAGCGTCGACGCGGTCGGGGCCGCCGGTCCCGGCTTCCCCTTCGTCGCGCGCGTCCCGCCGCCGGCCCGCTTCTCTCCGCCGCCGCCGCCGCCGCCGTCGCCTTTCCTGCGCCATCCCCCCCCGCCGTTGCCGTTCTTCTTCCGCGTCGGCGTCAGCGCGTCGACCATTCGATCCACGTGCGACGCGGGCAGCCCACACTCTCGGCACGCGCGCACGAGCGCGGATCGCCCCGGCCCGCCCGCGCGGAGGCTCACGCCGTCCTCCGCCATCGCGCGCGCGCTCGCGGTGATCCCGGCGACGTCGCCGAGGGAGCCGTACCCCCAGACTAAGTGCCCGTACGTGCGGTCGTTCGGTTTCACGCCGTCGGCGGGCATCTGAGCGATGACGCGTTTCGCCTCGCGCATTTCGCCGCGCGAGGCGTACGCGCTGACGACGGTGCTGTACAGCACCACGTTCGGTTTCAGCTTCTTTCGAGCCGCCGCCGCCGTCTTCGCGTTCGCGTTCGCGGGCGGCGCCTTCTTTTTGCCCCCCGCGCCGCCGCCGCGGCCGCCGCCGCCTCTTCTCTTCTCCGCCGGCGCGTCGAACTCGCGCATCCTTCTCAAAACATCCTCCGCGCTCTCCGGGTCGCCCGCGCGCGCGTGCGCTTTCACGAGCGCCCCAAACGTCCGAAGATCAGGCGTTACCCCCTTCGCGATCATCTTCGAGAGCACCTTCTCCGCGAGCTCCGCGTCGCCGACGGCGGCCCAGTGGTCGAGGAGACTCGTGTAGCTCACGACGTCGGGCTCGATCCCGAGGCTCTCCATGTCCCACGTCCCGCCGCCTTCGAGCTCCCGAAACACGTCCTGCGCGGCGCCGACGTTCCCGATCGCGAGGTAGCCTCGCAACAGCATGTTGAAGACGTCGATCGACGGCGCCACGTTGTCCCACTGCATCTGATTGAGCAGCCGCCGCGCGTCGCCCATGCGTCCGTCGCGCGCGTAGTGATCGATGATCATCCCGTACGACGCCGCGACGGGCTTGCATATCGCTCCCTTCTTATCCGCGACGCGCTCCATGTCGAACTGTTCGTACCGCCACCGCTCGATGACGCGCTCGGCGTCCTCCGGTCTCCCGCCGTCGCAGCAACCTCGCACGAAGGCGTGGTACACCTTCTCGCCGAGCGCGAGCTCTCCCGCGTCGCTCTCGATGCGCGAGATGACCGCCTCGACGCGGCTCGTCGCGCCCGCCTTGGCGTACGCGTGGACGATCTCCGGGTACGTCGCGTCGTTCGGTCGCACGCCCTCGCCGAGCATGCGCTCGACGACGCGTTCCGCCGATCGCGGGTCGTCCGCGGCGCACCACGCGTGCGCGACGGCGTTGAACGCGCGAGCGTCCGGGGACTCGCCCGCGTCGCGCATGCGGTCGAGGACGACCTCCGCGTCGCGCGGGGTGCCGAGCTCGCCGACGCAGGTGATGAGCGCGGTGTACGTCTTGAACGTCGGGCGATGGCCGTCCGCGCGGAGGCCGTCGATGGCGGCCCACGGCGCCTCGGGATCGATCGCGCGCGACGACGACGACGACGACGACGACGACGACGACGACGACGACGACGACGACGACGACGCGCCACCGCGGCGCGCGGACGCCGCGCGACCGCGCTTGGAGTCGTCGCGCATCTTCGCGAGGCTCTGCGTGACGACGTGCACGGGCCAGCACGAGGACCCGCGCGCGCACTTCTTGCACGAGAACGCGGCGGCGTCGGGGGAGACCGTCGCGACGGACGACGACGCGGACGCGGTGGCGACGGCGTCGGCCGCGGAGGAGAGATCGGAAGAAGATCTCGCCCGGTCGTCGACGCCGCGGCCGAGCTCCGCGTCGCCGCGCGAGTCTTTCTCCTTGACTTTGATCACGGGCCCGCGCGTCGACGGGCGGGCCATGCCCCAGTCCCCGGACGCGGACGCCATCCCCTCCGCGCGTCGCCTTGTGCCCCCGCCTGGCGCCCTCGAAATATCGGCGATCTTATCGGCGCCTGGCTGGGAGATCGCGACGCGCGATACGCGACGACCGGCCCGAAACACGCGAGGGGGACTCGCTCCCACGACGCGCGTCAGCGCCGCCCGCGCGGGGCGGAGACGCGCGGGAGGTCTCTCGGGGATGGCGTCGGAGGACATCGAGTTCGTGGAGAGGACGTTACGGTGCGTTCGCGTTCGCGTCGCGCCGCGGCGTCGCGCGAGCGCCCGACGCGCGCGACCGCGACCTCCCTCGTCGATCGAAGGTGCCCGCTTTCGTCCGCCCTGAGCTTCATCGGCGAGAAATGAAATCATCACCGAACGCCCCTCCCCTCCCCTCCCTCCTCCTCCGCGCCGCCCCCGCCAGATCCTGGCTCGACGCGCACGAGCGCGCGTGCGCGAGCGCGGGGACGGACCCGGACGCCGCGCCGTTCGTCCCCACGACGGCGCAGGCCGAGGTCGCGAAGCATCTCGCCCACCGCCTCGACCTCGCGCGCGTCGTCTCGAGAGATCTCGACGCGCAGATCGCGTCCACGGCGGACGCGCTCGCGAGGATCGAGCGCGTTACCGCGGCCGCGGAGAGCGTCAGGGAGACGGACGAACGCCGCGCGCGGTTCGCGCGCGAGGGCGGCGCGGACCGAAGAGCCGCGCTGCCGATGGGCGCGGACGCGGACGCGGCGCCGTCGCCGCACGCGGCGGACGGGAGGACGCTGGCGCGAGAGCTGCTCGCCGCGTCGGAGGATCCGCAGAAGACGGAGGCGTACGCCGCCGCGCTGAGGCTTCGGAAGCGGCTCGTGACGGACGAGCTCTTGGCTCTTGGGGGGTAGGGGTAGGGGTAGAGGTAGCGAGCGAGCGACGCGCGGCGGCGCGGCGGCGGCGGAATAACTTACGCGACTTAGGCTAGCTAGTCATCGTCGTCTCGTCGTTCACGGAGCCGGGGCGTCGCCGTTCCCTCCTCCCGCGTCGGGGGCAACCTTCAGAGGGTCGTCGTACATCCCGTTCCCCTCGGAGAAGCCCGAAAGCCCCGCGTGCCCTTCGTCCGTGGTCAACCCCGCCGTGATCAAGCCCGTCACTAAATCTTTGAACCCGGGCGTCGCCGCGGAGAGACCGCACCCGTCTCTCATGAGCTCCGCGTTGTCCGCGCCGGACGCGAACCCCATCCCTTCGAATATCTTATCCAGCTCGCCGTTCATGACGACCAAGCCCTTCGTCTTCCCGAGGCTTATCATGCAGTACTGCCCGAACACGTCTTTGCTCGGGTCGCAACCCGCGAGCCGCGTCTCTCCTTCGAGGGTCCGTTTGATGTTATTGGAGATGATCAACGCGTGGAGCTCGGCGGCGATGCCGATGCGCTCCGGAAGCCTCTCCCCCGTCACCACGTGCTCTCCCGTGCGACTGAACATCTCGTCGCACAAGATATCGCCGCCGGCGTACACGTTATCGCATCCGACGAGACGACAGTGCTTGTCGACGTTCACGAACCCCCGGTCGTTCACCGCGTTCGAGATGGAGGCGTGCGTGTTGGGATCCTTCAAGAAATCCGTGTTCGGTTTCGCCCCGGTGCATCTGTACACCTTCCCGGCGACGATGACGTTGCCTTTGTTCGTCGTGTACAGGCGCGACATGTCGTCGAAGTCGACGACGCGCTCGTTGAGACGGACGTCCACGCCCAAGGACGTGAGGTACGCGAGAACCTTATCGTGCGCGTTCTTCACCCGCGGCAACAGGTAGGGACCGGCTTGAATGAGAATGACCTTCTTCCCTTCCTTCCCCGCCATGATGGTCTCCGCGACGTTCCCGGCGATCTCCACGCCGACGAGACCGCCCCCGATCACGAGCACGACGTCGCACTGCGCCATCACGGCACGTTCCGCGCTGAGCTGCCGGTATCTGTACTCCGCGCTCGGGTTTACGACTTTGATGTCGCTGCTGTACGACGACCCCGTGGCGATCACGAGCGAGTCGAACGGGAGCACGAACCGCTCGGGGCCAACCTCCACGTGCGTCGTGGACACGGACGCGACCAGCCCGGTGACGTGCTTGCCGTGTTTCAGAACCTTGCCGTACGGGACGGTGGATTTCTTGAAACGTCCGTCGGCGTCGGCGGCGTCGGCGCCCGGGTCGCAGAGTAACATCGGCTGCGCGGTAACGTCTTCGAAGTAGTGCTTCGGGTCCACGAGCGTGACGTGGAATCGTTTCTCGGGGTCGTTGTCGAGGTTGTACGACACCAGCGAGCCCGCGAAGCCGCCGCCGAGGACGACGACTTTGTGTTGTTTCCCGTTCGTCGCCTTCACGACCTTGTTCACGCGCTCCGATTTCGAGCGCAGAATCGCGAGCGCGGGAGCCAGCGCGGCGACGACGTCGTTAAACGGCACGACGAAGGCCTCTAGCATCGCCTGATCCAACCCTGGCTTTGGATCTTCCGCCTCAGCCTCCGCCGCGACTTTCGCGACGGTGTCGTAAGTTTCCTTTCGAACGTCTGATTTTATCGGAAGCTCGAACCTCGACGACGGCGACATGAAGCGCTCGATGACGTTCGAGGCTGACGCCTTCACGAGCCGCAGTCTCGGCATCGAGAGCGCGCCCGCGGACGTCGGAGCGATAGCCTCCGCCGCGGCGCGAAGCTGGTCGATCTCGACGACGAACGTGACGGCTTCCTCGGGAACGCCAGCTTTCAGCGCCGCGGCTCGTAGCCCTTGGAGCACGGCGGGGACGCGAATCGCGGTGACGACGTCGGTGCACTGCGCCTCCATCGCCGCCTCGGCGGATTTACGCATGATAAACTCCGCGACGTCGTCCGCGTTCACGTTCGTGTCTTCCTCGTCCTTCTCCGACGGCGCGGTTCCCTGCGAGTGTGTCTCGAACGCGGTGTCGCCCGCGTCCGACCCGGGCGCGTCCGCGGACGCGTTCGTCGACCGTCTTCCGCTCTTCGCTTTCTTCACCGGTCGCATCGACTCGGGAAGATCCGCATCGCGCACGAGGACCACGCGGTCGAGGTACTCCGCCCCGGCGAGATCCTTCTCTTGCTTTCTGAGCACGCGCGTTTTGCACTCGTCCAGGAAGAACGTGAACTCCCCGCGCGCGAGGAAGTGAAACTCCGGCGGAATCGCTTCGAGCTGATCCGCGGTCACCGCGGGCTTTTTCCCCTTCGCCCTCGCGGCGGGGGGGGCCGCGTCCGATCGCGTCGCTCCCTCGTCGATCTCGTCGCCCTCGAACTCGAACTCGTCGTCGTCCGTGCTTTCCTCGTCGCCTAAAGACAGCGCGTGGCCGCACACGAGCGCGCGCAGCACCTTCAGCGAGTCCGTCGCGCGGCACATCATGAACCCGGCGTCGACGTTTTCATCCGGCCGCTTCGTCGCGTAGTCGTACACCTGGATGGTGAACAGCCGCTGCGCCGCCTTCGCGCGCTTCGCGAGCGACTTCATTGTGTCCTGTATCGACGCGAGGTTGAAGACGTCGCCGAAGGAGAGCACGGTGACGGATCCCCCGCCCGCGCCGAAGCAGTGTCGGCAGACGGCGGCGCACGTCTCCGCGTCCACGCCCGCGCCGGCGACTGCACACTCGTGACGCAGCGCCTCCGCGAGGTTTTCCACGGACACCTCCCTCTCCTCGCCAAAGTATTCGTCCCAGAACCGCCGCGCGTCCGCTTGCGAGAGCTTGTTGGACGTCCGCGACGCGTGCTTGTGAATCAGCGAAGCGTTCACGAGGGCGTCGACGTGCGCTCGAAGTTCGCTCTCCGTCCGCTCGAGCTCGTCCTCCGCCGCGAGCGCGTCCTTGCCTTTGCTCGCGAGCCTCAGGCAGACGCAGCACCCGCTCGAGTTGGCCTCGACGTCGCCGATCTTTTTGTTGATCTTCACGAGCAGCGCGTCGAGCTCCTCCATGGCTTTCTTGATGTTGTCCAGAATCACGCGCGTGCGCTTGTCTTCGACGTTGCAGCCGTCGATCATGCCGTCGATCTGGTCCACGAGACGCGAACATCGGTTGGCCGTCTGCGGCAGCGCTTTCGCCGCGTCGATTCTGCTTTTGATCCCGACGCACAGGGTGTGAAGCGCGAAGCTGATGTCCACGACGGCGAGGACCGCGCTCATCGTTCGCGGATCCTAAATCGCGACGAGAATATCTTGAGAATATCTTCAACCTTCGCGACTAACAACGCGTCCGCGTCCCTCGAGCGCGTCTGCGAGGCACGCGCGCCCACGAATTCGACGCGTCGCCGCTTACCGCGCGTTCGTTCCCCGCGCGCGCGCGAGGTCGACGTCCGACGCGAGGCGCCAGGGCGAGTGGAAGACGACGGCGTACCAGCCCAGCTCATGAAATCGAACTCTAGGGCGGGGCCGAAACCCGGGATCGAGATTTCGAGAGGCGCGACTCGAGTTTCGTTTGGTGCCGTGACAGAACGCGTCGCAACCGCGCGGAGCTATCTAAGCGGGTTTGAAGCTCTTCATCGCGATCGCGTCCACGCCGCTGACGCCATCCTCCTCAGCCCCGCCGCCCCCGCGATCCGCCCCCACCCCCGCGGCGAACATCTGCGTCCGCAGCTCGTCGCGAACGATGGGCAAGAGCTCCTCCGCCTCCTCCAACGCGAGCGCGAGTCGGTGGCTGTCCACTAAATGTTTCACAACCTCCACGGACCCGCCGCCCCCGGCGTCGTCCTCGCCGATCGCGTCCGGCACCATGCGCGCCTGCGCGAGGTCGTGCTCCCACGTCCCGCTGTGAATCCGCACGCTCGCGCCTCTCTCGCGCGTCGCCCTCGACACGGCTCGCGTCAACGACGCCTTGTGCCGTCGCATCCACGCCGCGGACCGCCCGGGGCGTATCGACGCGGACACGAGGTCCACCTGCGGGCAGAACGCGATCGCGGCGTCCGCGACGTCGGAGAAGAGCAGCGCCGCGCTCGCGCCCATGCTGTCCCCGAGGTGTATCACGCGCGCGTATTCCCCCGCGACGCTCGAGAGCGCGTCGCGCCACTCGCGCTCGGCGTCGCCTCTGAACCCGGCCGCGTCGACGCCGCCGCCGTACCACGACCGCGACGTGTCCGCGACATACAGAACGTCGAATCCGGCGTTCGCGTGCGCGACCGCGGCGGCGGCTTTCGCGCCCGCGCCGCCGACGTTGTTCTCCCCGCGCGTCGCGAGATCCGTCTTCAATTTTTTCAAGAGCCCGCCCCAGTTGGGCACTCCGGGCGCGGACCCGAACGCGACGACGAGCACGGGCGCGAGTCGATCCTCGCTCCACCGCACGCGCTTCCAGTACCCCCGCCGCTGCCCTTCTCCGGGTCCAGGATTAATCACCTCGGAGACGACCACGTGCGCGTGATCGCACGCGATGCCGCCGCCGTTCGCCCGAGACTGACGCGTCCGCATCCCCGCCGCGGCGATCGCGTCGACGTCAACGCCGAGTCTCGCCGGCCCGTTCTTCCGCCCTCCGCCGGGGGCCTCCATCGCCTCGATCAGCTCCTTGAGCGGTTCGCCGTCGAGCCCGCAGCCCTCCGCCCACACCTGCTTTAGGCTCACGTTCTTCGCGAGCGACAGCGGGAGCGCGGAGAGGCGAGGGTTCCCGTAGAGCGTCAACGTCGTCAACATCGCGGCGTTTCCAATCTTCTCCGGAAGCGCCTCTAGGTCGTTCTCCGCCGCGTTCAGCGTCCGCAGCCGTCGCATGTCGCACATCGACTCCGGCAGCCGCGTGAGCGCGTTCCCCTGGACGCTGATCTCCTCGCACCCGCGCAGGGCGCCGATCGACTCCGGAAGCGACGCGATGAAGTTGCCGTGGAGGTCGACGACGCGGAGCATCGTCGCGGAGCCGATGGACTCCGGAAGCGACGCGAGCAAGTTCCCCGGCGCGGACAGCTCCTCGAGGCGCGCGCACTCGCCCAGCGTATCCGGCAGCGACGTCAATCGGTTCCCACCGAGCATGAGGTGCCGCAACTCGGTGCAGTCGGCGAGGAGCGACGCGGGGAGCGAGGAGAGCAGATTCCCGTGCGCGTAGACGCTCTCGAGACACCGCATCTTCCCGACCGAATCTGGGAACGTCCGCAGGCGGTTCCCCGCGACGCCCAGGCGTTCGAGCTCGACGAGGCACCCGATGTCCTCGTGCAACTCCGTGAGCTTGTTGTTGCTCAGTTGCAAGTCCACGAGGTCGCGCAGCGTCCACACCTCCGGGGGCACGACCGAGAGGCCGAGACCCGCGAGGTCGAGCCTTCCGCCCTTGCCCTTCGCCGCGTTGATGCGTTCGATCACCTCCCTCGGGGTGATCGTCAGCCCTTGGAGGCACGCGTCGGACTCTTTCGTGGCCGCCTCGTGCGGCGCGAACTTCCTCTCGTCGTCATCCCACAGCATGATGGGGTCGGCGGACGACGCGTTTGACGCGGGGGCGAGGTTGCGACCATCGTGATGATGAACGCGGCGGCGGCGAGACGCCGACCGCATTCTCGCGGTGGACGCGCGCGACGCGACGCCGCGCGCGCGACGCGCGGACGCGGTCGACGCGAACGCGGTCGACGCGGACGTCGCGCTCGCGCGCGCGCGGGACGCCATCGCGGCGCGCGTCGTCGTCGTCGTCGTCGTCGTCGGGCCCAAACGCCAGGGATCGAACCAGGGACCTCCAGATCTTCCCGGCGGGTGCCGCGTCGGAGAGTGGGCGTCGCGTCGGCAACGAAAACCTTCCGCGCGTCGCCCACGCCACGGCGGATATCACTGTTTGCAGATCTGTTTTCGCCAAAAAGATGAAACTTTTCGCTGACCGAAAATTTTCATCGGGTGGCCATCAGATTTCTGGGTCAAAATCGAAACTTTTCCTGAACTTTTTTTATATGAGCATTTTGTCTATGTCCCGTCAGGTCGCCGTCAGGTCGCGGTCAGGTGAGCCATCTCTTTTTCTGGAAACCGATGAAAAAAGTTCAACTTTTTGGCGAAAACAGATTTGCAAACAGTGATAGACCAGTTGCGCTAACTGATTCATACAAAAAAGCCATAGAGTACGAGTACGAAAAAAATCGTATGGAAGCGAAGTGGCTCACGTTCCGAACTGGACGACGTTTCGGGGTCACTCCAGGGTCGCGCGCGCCGGCGACGTCGCGGGAGGCGCCGACGATGGCGGACGCCGACGGCGCCGCGAAGCCCCGGCCCGGTCTGACGAACCGCAAGAACGCGGCGGCGGCGGCGGCGGCGACGACGACGACGACGACGACGACGGCCCCCCCGGACTCCCCGGAGCCGCGGTCGATGTCGCGCACGCCCAGCTTCACCTCGGACGTGATCGACGGCGGCTTCGCGTACCGCACGTGCGACAGCGGAAGCGCGTCGTCGCTCGCGTCGCTCGCGGAGGACGAGGTCGCGAAGTTCGTGAAGCCGGACCGGAAGCCGGAGAAGATCCCGCACAAGGCCACGGGTGCGTCCTCGCGTCGATCGCCGCGCGCTCGCGTCGTCCGATCCGTCGCGTCGGAGCGAGCGAGCGATCCGCCCGAGGAGGGAGATGAGATCTCGCGACGCGCGGCGTCGTCCGCATCTTTTCGGACGAGCCCGGTCTCGTCTCTCTCCCCGCCGAGGCAGGACCGTCGTCGCCCGTCGCTCACTCCGCGTCTCATCACTCCCCGCGCGCGCCGCTCACCGCGCGCTTCACTCGTTCAAACCACGCGCGCTCACCGCAGGGCTGCTGTTCTGGACGATGGTGATGTACGCGTGGTACCAGATTCTCGGCCTGCTGTTCATCCCGATCGGCGTCTACTTCGCCGTGCTCGCGTCGCCCGCGTTTTCCCCGAGCGCCAAGTTCGACTCGCACGCGGCGCAAGTCGGCATCGTCGTGATGATCTACGCGTTTCTCGTGAGCGCGCTGATCATCTGCCCGGTGTACTTCGTGGTGTGCGCGCACCCGTACGTCCGGTTAGCGTTCGTGGGGTACGTGTCGTGGTACGCGCTGGTGGACGCGAAGACGCCGATGAACGGCGGGCGGTTTCTGCCGTGGTTTCGGCGGCTTCCGTTCTGGGCGACGATGGCGGATTACTTCCCCGTGCGTCTGCACAAGAGCGTGGATCTTGATCCGAAGGGAAACTACCTGTTCGGGTACCACCCGCACGGGATCATCGGCGTCGGCGCGCTGATAACGTTCGCGACGAACGCGACCGGGTTCGAGCAGGCGTTTCCCGGGCTGGACCTGCGTTTGCTCACGCTCGCGTCGAATTTCTACTTGCCGTTCACGCGCGAGATCTTGCTCGCGATGGGCATCAACAGCGTGAAGAAAGAGAGCGTGGAGACGAACTTGACGCGCAGGCCCGGCGCGTCCGTCGCGATCGTCGTCGGCGGCGCCGCGGAGGCGCTCGACGCGCGGCCCGGATGGGCGGTGTTGACGCTCGCGAGGAGGAAGGGATTCGTGAAGCTCGCGATGAAGACGGGCGCGAGCTTGGTGCCGGTGTTCGCGTTCGGGGAGAACGACATCTTCGACCAGGTGGATAACCCGGACGGGTCGCCGCTCAGGCGGTTTCAGACGTGGACGAAGCAGCTCATAGGGGTGACGCCGCCGGCGTTTTACGGCAGGTCGCTCTCGAGAGGGATCATGCGGCGGATATTTCGGAGCGGCGCGGGGGTGATGCCGAAACGCGAGAGCATCGAGGTGGTCGTCGGGCATCCGATCAAGTGCCCGAAGATGGCCGAACCGAGCGTGAAACAGATAGACGAGTACCACCAAAAGTACATCAGCGCGTTGAAGGAGTTGTACGACACGCACCGGCGGTTGTTTCACAAGCTGAAGCGCGAGGGGAGCGAGGACGACCTCGCCGCGCGAATGAAGAGGATGCAGAGCTTGCGGTTCATAGACGAGTGAGGAGGAGGAGACGAGAGAGAATAAGAGAGCGAGAGGGGACAAACGACGAACGAAACGCGCGTGGTTTGCGACGAGGAGAGGTAAAAGTAATATGAACGCGAATAGAAGAACGAACGAATGATATAACACGCTCTTGTTCTGTTAGTAATATCTCTGGAGCGCGTCGACCGCCTTCGCCGCCGGCGCCTCGAGAGACCCGTTCGCTCCCCGCCGCTTCGCCTCGCTTCCTCCTCCGTTCCGTCCGTCCTTCAATCGCAGCACTCTCCTTCCTCGACTCACTTGGCGCCGGTGAACCTGAGGAGAATGCCGTCGTTCCCGAGGACGAACCCTTGCTTATTCGATTGAAACCGCACGCGGTACAAGTTCGCGGCGACGTTGTCCGTCCCGCGATCGCGCTTCCAGCTTTTCCCCGCGTCGTTCGACACGAACACGCTCCCCGACCCTCCGACGATCCAAAACTGCTTCCCGTCCGGGGTGTACGACAGGTCCAACAGACCAAACCCCCGGCTTCCGATGCGACCTTCGGAAAAGTCGTCGTCCTCCTCAGGCAAGGACGCGGTGTTCGAGAAGTAGATCCCGCCGCCGCGGGTGAGCTCCCAGATCCCCCCGTCCGGCCTCCACCCCATCGACTGCACCCGTCGTCCGCTCGAGCGGTTGTGCGGCTGCCAGTACGCCTGCCCCGGCGTCCACGTCATGTAAAAGTTCCCTCGCGAAGACAGCCCGAGGTACTCCCCGTCGGGGTTACGCGCGATCGTGGACAGCGTGCCGGTGTAGTAGGACGCGCCCTGCACGCCCGAGGACACGGTGCGGTTGAGCGTGGCGGAGATGGTCTCCTCCACCGCCGCCTTCCAGTTCCTCGCGGTGTCCGTGGTGAGGTAGATGGCGCCCTCGTCCGTCACGAGCTCCGCGACGCCGTTGTCGCTGACCGCGGTGATGAGGACGGGCGCGCCGGGGAGGCGCGGGGAGAGGCCGATGCGCTCCCAGTTGGCGCCGCCGTCGATCGTGTGCAGCAGGATCGCGGGCTTTCCGACGATCCAGCCCTCTTTGCCCTTGAACGTGATCGAGTTGAAGCGGTAGTTGACGTCCTCGTCGAACGCCGCGGTGATGGCCTTGAAGTCCCAGGTTTTACCGCCGTCGAACGTCTCTAAGATGGTCTGCCTCGTGCCGAGGAGGAAGCCGTGGTTCGGGTCGCCCTCCTCGAACGCGATGTCCAGGAGGATGATCCCGGGCTCGAGCGGAAGGTCCACCTGCTCCCAGAACTTGCTCACCTCCTCCGCTCTCGCGGGGCCCGAGGGCATGGCCGCGATCGCGGGCGCGGCGAGGGCGGCGAGGGACGCCTTGCCGAGATCGCGGCGGGTCACGCCGGCGGGGGGCTCCTCCGAGGACGCGGCCGCGACGACCCGCGCGCGCGAAGAAGACTTGCCGAGAGTGGCGGATTTGTGCGCGACGGCGACGCGCGCGCCCTCGAACGCGGACTTGCGCGTCGCGGCGGCGCGCGCGGGCGCGGCGACGCCGGCGGCGGTCGCGAGAGGCGTGTTGACGATCGCGGCCATCGTTTCGAGTGAAGTCGATCGACGTGCGTGCGTGGGACGCGGCGATGGGAGTGCCCGTCCGCGCCGGCGGTCGCGGAAGGAACCTTATCGGAAGGACACGTCGACGGCCAGTCGACGGCTTCGAAACGTTTCGATGGCCCTGAACGATCCATCATCTCGCCTGACCACGTTGCGCGTGCGGGGAAAAACGTATCGTACTCAGCTGTACTCGACTACTAAAATTTCGTTTTTTTCATCGCGCGCGGAAAAGTCAGAACGCTAAAAGTCTGGCGCGCGGTCCCCTCGCACGCGCGCGCTCGCGCCGCCGACGTCCTCAACCGCCGCCGAGTCCTCCTCGCGATCGAAGACCCCCGCGCGATCGTCGTCGGAGGAGGAGGAAAAACCGCCGAGGGGTCCCGCTGGCCCGCCGTCCGCGTCCGCGCGAGAGTCGCGCGGCGCCTCGAGCCCGACCTCCTCGCGCGGCGCCTCGAGCCCGACCTCCTCGCGCGGCGCCTCGAGCCCGACCTCCTCGCGCGGCGCCTCGAGCCCGACCTCCTCGCGCGCGTCCATCGCGTCGCGCGTCTTCTCGAACGCCATCTCCGACGGCGTCGTCGCGTCCCGCGGCGGCTCCTCCGGACCCGAGCGCGGGGGCTCCGCGGGAAATCTTAATCCTGATCCTTCCGGCGGCGCCTCGAACCGCGCGAACGACTCGCGCTCCTCAGGGCCGTTCTATACAAAGCGATGTCGGGGTGGAGTTCAAAGGCGTCAGTTGGCGTTGAAAGGCGTCGATGGCGGGGATTGAAAGCGAGGGGTGGGCGTAGAGAGACGCCGGCAAAAGTCCTTAAGGAACGGCGTTCACCACGCCGACGGGGTCGTATGGGAACCAGTGTATAGAACGCACCTCATCGAACGCGTTCATCGTCGTCGCTCCCTCCGGCGGTCCGGACGCCGCCTCTCCGCCGTCTCCGAGCCGGTAGTCTCCGTCTCCGCCGCGGGAGTCTTCTTCCCGCGTCCGCGTCGCGATCGCGGCGGAGCTCCGTTCGCGGTCTCGTTCGACTCCCGGCTCGGACGCGTCGTCGTCGCGGCGACCGCCGTCCCTCTCCTCCGGAGTCAGCGGCGGTTCCTCGACCGGCGGACGCGGCCGCTCCGGCGCTCGCGACGGCGGTCGCGACGCGGACGCGTCGTCGTCGTTTTTGCTCTTCGCGCCGCCGCCGCCGGACATCCCAGCGACGTCCTCGAGGGCGTTCCACTCTCTCTCGTCGAAGATCCCGACGTCCGACGCCGACGGCGCCGGCGCCGGCGCCGGCGCCGGCGCCGACGCGTCCCTCGACGTCTCCGGTCGTCGCCTCTCCTCCTTCCCCCCGCCGCCCATCTCCTCCTCCTCCCTCCGCCGCGCCTCGACGCCCTTCTCGTACTCCTCGCGCGCCGCCACATCCGTCGTCGCGCGCGCCAGGTCCTCCGCCTCGTGCCGCGCCCTTCGCTCCGCGTCCTCTCTCTCGTGCCTCTCGCGTCGTTCGTCGTCCTCGCGCGCGTGCCTCGCGGCTCTCTCCTCGTCCGTCTCCCCCGCGGCTTTCATTCGGTCGTCCTCCGCGTCGCGCTCGGCGGAGGTCGGCTCGTCGTCCGCGGGGAGCTTCTTCTTCGCGGCGACGGACGACGCCTCGAGGTCGTCGAGCGCGCCCGCGCTCAGCTTCTTCAACTTGTTCATCATCTTCATCTTCTTCTTCGCCGCCGCCGTCGCGTTCTTCGCGATCTCCTTCTCCTCTTCGTACTCTTCGTACCCTTCGTACCCCCCTTCGTACTCGTCCGAGTCGTCGTCGTCGTCGGCGGCGGCGGCGGCGGCGGCGGCGGCTCTCTTCGCCTTCGCCTTCGCCTTCGCTCTCTTCTCCTCCAACATCTCCGCGCGCAGCTCCGCTCGCAGCTCCTCGCGGCGCGCCTCGCGGTCGTCCCCCGTCTTCACCGCGCTCGCGGACGCGGGGCTCGGCGTCGTGCTCGCGGACGCGGGGCTCGGCGTCGTGCCCTTCTCCTGGACGATGAACGCGGCGCCGGCGCCGCCCATCTGCGTCTGCGCGATCGCGGCGACGGCGACGACGACGACGAGGAGCATCGCGCACAGCATCGTCCACGACTTCCACGAACACGAGGAGGAGGAGGAGGAGGAAGAGGAGGAGGAGGACGGCGATCCTCCGCCCGCTTCGTCCGCGCGCGATCCCGATCCCGGGGTCGCGGGCGTGGACGGCGAGGCGCCGCCGAAGATCGACGACGACGCCTCCGCGTCCTTCCGAGCCTTGAGCTTGACGAATTTGTCCACCGTCTCCACCTCGCTGAGGAGGTTCTCGAAGTTCGCCATGTCGTCGTTGCTGAAGAGAACCTTGCGGTAGTTGGGCGCCTTGTCCTTGCGCTTGCGGCTGTCGCCGCTGCCGTGCATGCGCGCGGCGATGGCGCTGTTTAGCGCGGCCATCGCGCTCGACCGCGTCCGCGCGCCCCTTCAGTGGCGAACCGATTCGACGCCGCGCCCTTTTCTCTCTCCTTGGGGCTCATCACAATGTGCAAACGTTTTTCACCCACCACTCGGTTTCAATGTTTGATCGCGTCCCCTTTCAACACCGATGAATTTCTTTTTTTCGTGCAGCGAGCCGCCCGCGGCGCGGGGCGGGGGATCGACCCGTCACAAACGCTCGCGCCTCGCGCCGTCGTCGCGCCGTCGAGCCGCGCGCGGCTCGACCGCGGCGTCATGGCGTCCGCGGGGTTGATCCCCTATCACCACACGACCGCCGCGGCCGCGCTGTCCGCGTACTTGGCGAGGTACGACGCGACCGGCGGCGCGACGACGGCGGAGGCGGCGTCGAACGCCGCGGCGTCGTCGTCGTCTCGCGACGCGTCCGACGCGTCGGACGCGGTCGTCGCGCGGACGCCCGCGCGGTCGGCCGGCGGCGAGCCGCGGGGAGGAGGGACGTCGACGCGCGAATCGCCGATATCCGCGGACCCGGCGACGCCCGCGGCGTTCGGCGCGATGACCGCGCGCGTCGACGATCTCTCGGTCGCGACGACGGACGACGCGGTGACGCGGCGAATGAACGAGCGGCTCACCGCGGGTCTGTACGTGAGCTCGCCGTATCGCCCGTCCGACCCGATCGCGGCGGCGCTGTCCAGAAGCGTCCTTGAGTGGGGCGGGTACGACGAGGACGAGCGCGGGGATCCGCGCGCGCTGACGACGACGAGGGCGGCGGCGTCGGACGACGACGACGACGACGACGACGACGACGACGACGACGAAGACGCGACGGCGACGACGAGCGTCGACGGCGACGACGCGCCGGTCTCCCCCGACGCGCTGAAAGCTGCGCGCGTGGACGAGATCCTCGCCGCGCTCGAGCTCGGGAACGCGTCTAAGGCGGAGCAGCTCGCGCGCGCGCGCCGCGGCGGCGGCGGCGGCGGCGGCTCCGCGCGCCGGCGCGTCGCCGCGGATCTGTCGTCCTCGCCTTCGATGTCGATATCGAGCGATGACGATAGCGATAGCGACAGCGACGACGCGTCGTTCTCGAGCGTTTCGCCCGTGAGCTCGGCAAGCGGGGAGGGAGAAGAGGGGACGGGCGCGACGACGGCGACGCGACGAGCGACGCTCGCGAAAGACATACAGTAGATTGATCGAATTAACCTTATTAGACGTCGACGACGACGTGAGACGGCGACGCGCGCCTCTTCTCTTATCTCACATGCACGCGCCATCTTCCTCGTCCGGCTTCCACACCTGAACGATCGCGAGCTCTTCCCCGCCGAAGTCGTGCGTTTCTACGAAAAAACGGCCAACACCGGAGCGTTTCGCGACCGCCTCCGCGTCCCCCGCGCTCAAGACGCTCTCGTCGAACCGCGCGTCCCTCAGCGTCTCGCCCGCGGTCTCGATCAACGCTCGAAGGCACTCCCCGGTCACGCCGTTCGACCTCGTCGCGACGAACACGCTCAGCGACCCGCACGCGCGCGCCAGCGCGAGCAGCCCGTCCGCGGTGACGCGCGCGCAGCCGGAGACGTCGAGCTCTTTCAGCCGCGCCGCGCCGCCGCCGTCGACGAACGCTCGCAACGCGTCGTCGTCGACGTCCGAGTCGGAGAGATCCGCGTGCGTCAGGTTCGCGCACCCGGCGGCGACCGCGGCCATCGCGTCGGCGGACACGCCGCGGCAGCCCTTCACGGAGAGGTGCCGCAGCTTCGGGCAGCCTTCGCGCGTCGCGGCGAGCGTGCTGGCGACGACGAGCCGCGGGTCCGGGTCCTGGTCCTGGTCCTGGTCCCCGCCGCCGGCTCCGGCGGCGGACAGGTCGAGCGACGGGCCGACGGACATCAGCCACGCGTCGACGTGCGAGGCCCAGTTCTTGCACACGGCGCGGCAGCGCGCGGCTTCGACCTGGGATGACGCGCAGGGCGGGGGGGGCGACGGTCGCGGTCGGCGCGGGGGGACGGAGACCCGAAACGGGCGACGACGAAAACGGCGCGCGCGATCGCTCGCGCGCGCCTGCCCGTTGGCGCTCGCGACCGCGAGGAGGATCGCGGTCCCGACGTCGAGGTTCGCGTCCGCGAACCCGGTGTCCGAACGCTCCGGGCACGCGATGGGACGCGTCGCGAGCGGCGGGTCGGGGGACGCCATGTCGAGCCGCGCGACGAAATGCGCCGCGCGGGAAGAGGAAACGGCGGGGTTCTGTTTCACGGACCTGCACCTGAGGACGACGACGGGAGCGGGACGATCACGAAGCGACGCCGCGCGCGCGCCGTCGCGTCGCGTCGCGCGGTCGCGTCGCGCGTTCGAGCGCGGGTTCGGTCGCGAAGACGCGGAGGCGGGCGGCGTCGTCGCGCGATACCGCGCGTCGGGGTGTCCCGCGCGGGCGTCGACCGGGGACGGCGCGGAGGCGGAGCGTCGGGGTGCCGCGGCGTTTGGTATTCGCAGACTGGGCTCGCCGAGGTTTTAGAGGTGGCCGCGCCGGCGCGAGAGCAGTGAATCCGAGCTGGTGGCTCGCAGGACCTGGAGGGGAAAAGAGCCGAGGAGGACGCCGACGGCGCGTCGCCGCATTGCGACGATCGCGCGCGCGCTGGCGTCTCCCCCGCGGGCGCGAGCTCGTCGGATCCCGGATCGGATCGGTCTTCGTCCTCGCGCCGCGGCGCGCGATCGGCTTGGGACGACGCGCTCGCGTCGCGCGCGCGCGAACGCGATCGAGCGTCGACGTCAGCGCCGTTGCAGGTTCGTCCGTCCGTCGTCGGTTTAAGTCGCGCGCGCGACGATGTGCCCGCCGAAGACGGACGGCCGATCGTCCCCGCGATCGCCGCTGACGCGCAGCAAATCCTCCGCGGAGGCGCTCGACGCCAAGGACGCGTCGACCGCGCCCGTCGATCTCAAAACGCTCGAGCCGCACGAGCTCGCGGCGACGTTCGAGACGCGATGGGTGCGCGTGGAGGACGTCGAGTACGACGTCACAAACTTCAAACACCCGGGAGGCAGCGTGATATTCTACATGCTCGCGAACACGGGCGCGGACGCCACGGAGGCGTTCAAGGAGTTCCACATGCGATCGCTTAAGGCGTGGAAGATGCTCAGAGCGCTGCCGTCGCGCCCCGCGGAGATCAAACGCAGCGAGAGCGAGGACGCGCCGATGTTGGAGGATTTCGCGCGGTGGCGCGCGGAGCTCGAACGCGACGGGTTCTTTAAGCCCTCGATAACGCACGTCGCGTATCGGTTACTCGAGCTCCTCGCGACCTTCGCCCTCGGCACCGCCCTCATGTACGCCGGGTACCCGATCATCGCGTCCGTCGTGTACGGCGCGTTCTTCGGCGCTCGGTGCGGTTGGGTCCAGCACGAGGGCGGGCACAACTCGCTCACGGGGTCCGTCTACGTCGACAAGCGCCTCCAAGCGATGACGTGCGGGTTCGGGCTGTCCACGAGCGGGGAGATGTGGAACCAGATGCACAATAAGCACCACGCGACGCCGCAGAAAGTGAGGCACGACATGGACCTGGACACGACCCCCGCGGTGGCGTTTTTTAACACCGCCGTGGAGGACAACCGGCCGAGGGGGTTCTCCCGCGCGTGGGCTCGGCTTCAGGCGTGGACGTTCGTCCCGGTGACCTCCGGGCTGCTCGTCCAGGCGTTCTGGATCTACGTCCTGCACCCGCGGCAGGTGTTGCGAAAGAAGAACTACGAGGAGGCGTCGTGGATGCTCGTCTCTCACGTCGTCAGGACCGCGGTGATTAAACTCGCGACGGGGTACTCGTGGCCCGTCGCGTACTGGTGGTTCACCTTCGGCAACTGGATCGCGTACATGTACCTCTTCGCGCACTTCTCCACGAGCCACACGCACCTCCCGGTCGTGCCCTCGGATAAGCACCTGAGCTGGGTGAACTACGCGGTCGATCACACCGTGGACATCGACCCGTCGCGCGGGTACGTGAACTGGTTGATGGGATATCTGAACTGCCAGGTCATTCATCACCTGTTCCCGGACATGCCGCAGTTTCGCCAGCCGGAGGTGAGCCGGCGGTTCGTCCCGTTCGCGAAGAAGTGGGGGCTGAACTACAAGGTGCTGTCCTATTACGGCGCCTGGAAGGCGACGTTCTCGAACTTGGATAAGGTCGGGCAGCACTACTACGTCAACGGCAAGGCGGAGAAGGCGCACTGATCGGAGAGCCGATCGTTCGCGCCCATTCTTTTAGACTCTCTTTACGCACTCTCATTACAGCACGCACGCGACGCGAGGTCACGTCGGTCTTACACCGGCGCGCTTGTAACGCGCCATCGATCACAACATCCTAAAACAACTTCACTTCTTCTCGCTCAACTCGCGCGGTGCGCGTACTGATACGCGTTCACCCCCGCGCGGATCTCCTCCTCCGTGCGCCCGCGGTACCCCACGCGCTCGCCCTCGACCCAGCCGTCGTGCCACCCGCGCTCCCTCATGCGTTGCTTCAACCCGACGGCGTGAAAGTACCCGATGCGATTGTCAAAGTCGTCCAGCTCCGCGAGGCTCTCTCGGACCTCCGCCTTCGTCTCCCTCGCGAGCCCAGCCTCCCTCTTCCCGCGTCCCCCGCGAATCTCGCCCTCGCCGACGCCGACGATCGTCCGCGAGTGATCGACAAAGTACGAGCGAAAGGTGTCGTGCGGACGATACGTCAGCCCTCGCGCGTCGTCGAGCGACTCGGCGCGCTCGTCCTCCTCCTCCTCCCACACCGCGCGCGGCCTCACTTCCGGCTCCGACGGCTCCGGGGCGGTCCCTAACACCTTCAGCGCGGGCACGAACGACGACTCCGCGAGCTGCGTGGCGTACAGCGTCGCGTTCTCCGCGAGTTTCGCGACTCTCGCCTCTTTGATTCGCTCGCGCATGCGCGATCGACGCTCCTCGATCTTCTCGCGCTCCTCGAGGATGACGCTCACGCGCTCGGCCTCGATCGTCGCGTTCGTGGCCTCGTACGCGAGCGCGCGCCGTTTTTGATGCGCGTTCAACCCCTCGGTCTCGTACGAGTAATGGTCGCACAGGACCTTCGGGTCCGTCGTCTGGATGATCGCGTGCTCGCGTCGGAACTCGCGCGCGTGAAGAGGCTCGAATTCCGACAGCTTCTTCAGCCGACGCTTCGTCGCGAGGTACGCGTCCATCCCGAACGGCTCCCGGGACCCGGTCACCTCGAACGCGCTCGCTCCCGTGCCGTCGAGGACGCCGCCGCGTCCGCTCGTGCTCGCGTCGATCGGGCTCGAGACGCGGTCGAGGCTGCCCTTTCCTTTTCCGATCCCGATCTGGTTCTGGCTCGCCGGCCGATTCGGGGTCGCGAGCGGCGACGCCGCGCCGCTCACCGGGCTCGTGCGCGGGGACGGGTAGAACGT